GTGTGTATATATATATATATATACATATGTATATATATATATATATATACATATGTATATATATATATATATATATACAGATATTATTTTGTAAACAGACATAAAGTCTACACTGAAGGAATACTCATGTCATCCGTGAAGAGATACTCATCAGAGACATTACATATGTATTTGGTTCACTATTATTTTAAAAGAGAGAGAGAGAGCTTTTATTCACGGGGCGGTAAAATGGCATGCTTGATTTAATTGATTGAATTTCGTAATATGAATTTTGAACCGCGCGATCCTACGCTCACTCAGTTCAAAATTCATATTCGATCAACAATAAATGTAATCAACGCGGGGCGAACCAAAGAGATCGAAATAAGAAGATTAATAATTAAGTAAAGTTAAATGAAGAGATTAAATTAAGTTAAATCCGAGTAATTTTAATTTTAAGTATATTACATAGTAACAAATTTCCATTTCAAGCCATCAAGTTGAATCTCATGCTACGCTCAAGATTCCACTTTATTTTAACTCTGTGAATTTTCATTCCTTGTGACGGAACCTACATTTTAACTTGCCTTCTTGAAACATGTTTCTTTTTAAGTTACACAATTTTTTAATTTTAAAGATGTGATGTGTTTGCTTTAAAAGAATGGTTTTAAAAATAGTTCTTAAAGTGTAACAATTTATTTGGTCTTGGAAGTTTCCGGTTAGAGATATTTTTATCACATAGCAATATAATAAGGCATTGACTGTTCTAACAAGTTGGGTGAAAAGGAGATCTGCGGGGGTAAAGTAGCGTTTGTGTAATGACAACAGCTAGTTATATAAAAACGTGGCCTGATTTCGGCGCACTCTCGTCTCAGACTTGATGGAACTTTATTGTTTCAGATCAAGAATACATGGTATTCTTACAAAATATTGGTCTTCAGTTGTTTTGTATAAAAAATCCTTAAATCACATAGTACGGGGACAGTACTACACGTGTTGGTTATAGTAGAACTATATTTTCATTATATATAAATTAAAAAATGGAAACAATAAATTACATAATTATAATAGATAAAAAAGTATCGGTTCTAGTTGTTTGCATGCGAACCGGCGGCCGGGCGGTCTGCTGGCGCGTGTGGTAGTCTCGGGCTAGTTCAGCTGGTGGTGGTGGGATTCTTACGCGGCTTCGCCGCCTTCCTCTTCCTCTGCGCTGGCGGTGAGCATGGTGATCAGCTTGGTAGTGTCGATGAAGCCCTTGTCGTCGATATCCATCTGGTCGTAGGCCTCGTCAACCTCATCGGCCGAGAACTTGTCGCCCCAGGTCATGAGCGCGTGCCTGAGCCTCTCCGAGTCGATTTTACCATCCTCGTCGAAGGTCTTGAAGGCGTTGATGACGACGTCATCCTCGTCGGAGCCACCAGACATGCGTCCAGCGAACAGGGTCAGAAGTTGCGTGAAGTTGATAGGGCCAGGGGCCTCATTTACCATCTCGTCGAGCTCCTTTTCCGATGCCAGCCTGCCGAGCGAGTCGAAAGTGGCGCGCAAGTCGTTCTTGCCAATGATGCCATCCTTGTCATGGTCCATTAGTTGGAAGGCCTGTGCAATAAAGAAAGCATCTTATAAAAATTAATAAACTAGACGAGCTTCTGGGAACTTCCTTAAAGTGACAATATTGACAGTGTAAGTTATTTGCAAGTAGAATTCCACTCAGGATTTGTTTATGTATCTTGCAGGGGTTCCTTCGTAATTCTAATATCTAATTTTAATTTCATAACTAACAACTAAAATATTGTATATATAAGTGCGTAAGTGTTATGCAAAAATATATGTCAATTTCATCAGTTTGGAGTTAAATTATTCCCAGGGCACGAGACATAATGGTGTGTTTACAAAATACTGGACGGGCGCGAGCCAAGCAAGATGAGCCTTTGTGGAATCGCAGCGATTGTCGTTCTTCACAGAAACAGTTGCTCCGACAAAGATCCTTTGTCTGTTTATCTCTAGAATTATCGCAGTTTTTCCGGAGGTGAATTGCTATCCGCGCTACACGACGCGAATGGACTTGTAAGAATAAATGTCTTTAAATTTAGTTTTATGCAATTTGATTGGTCAGTGAAGATGTAATAGAGATCCCATTTTCATAATACATACATTCTCTCAAGCGTGTTTCCATGTTTTTTTTAAGTGGCAAGCGACACGCTTATTCATAACAGTTGCAGTGCCACTCAGGGCTTTAAATTGCAAAGATCTTAAGGGTACTGCCACTGCGCCGGTCACCGGGTAAGTTGACAAGTCCATTGTGCCTGTAATTTCGCCAGCATCCATTACACTCCGAAATCGGAACGCAGTGATGCTCACATCACTGGTTGGCGGCAGAAACAGGTAAGGTGGCAGTACTTCCCTGGACGAATTATTTGACAAGGAGCTCTACTGCTACTAGAACATCAATACTTCCACACATGCACGTCGATGGTCAATTGCGGACGGTCTTTCTGATTAATATGTATTTAAGGACTATTTCAACGGTGAAGATTGTAGACGCACCTCCTTAAATTCGGCGACTTGCTTCTGGGAGAACATAGAGAAGACATTGGAGCCTGTGCGCTTGGCCTTGCGGCTACCGCGCGACGATTGTCTGTCGCTACCGCCGCCAGACGCGGGCGCCGCCGGCGCTGGTGCAGGTGCTTCCTCTGCAGGTGCATCTTCTTTCGCCTTCTTCTTCTTTACCTTCTTATCCTTATCCGCCTGCAAAAAGACAGGAAATGCAAATATTAGTTTAGATGTTTCTATGTATGTTAAGAAATTTGTTATATTCAATCCGCTACAAATTGCATTGTTGTCGCGAACCTTCATTAAGAATCCTTGATTTCCAACTCATGTTCCACATTTTGGATGTTAGTCTCTTGGTTAAACTTTTATTACATTGATAAAAATTTTGGATTATGATAAACTAGTTTGATATAAAACAAAAAATTGCTTTAACTGGTATATTAAGTACATGGACTGCCTTCGTGACCGAACGGTTATCATGCAGGCTGCCACGCAGAGTTCCCGAGTTCGATTTCCAGGTCAGAAGAACTAATTTGTATGATTTACATTTAATTCTCTCGTGAGTTTGAGTGTAATTTGTAGTTGTCTATATGTTGAACACACGTTCATGACACCAGCGATATAGAGACTCCCTATTGCGGGGCTATGAGTGTGTGCGTTATTTATTATTATTTATTTTACATCCCTACTCGATTATCAAAAGCCGCACCATTTGGTTTCATCAATTTACTATGACATTATTTTTTTTTTACTACAATTTGAATAGTATATTATAAAATCTGAAGCCAAGGTATTTGTTCTAGTTTCGATCTAATTCGGTCTTCAACGGTTTGTCTTTCAGCGCTCGCTTCCCGTTTAGGCGGGGCACGCGGGCGCTGCGCGGGCGCCGCCGCTAATTTTGGACGTCTCCGCTTACAATCCAAATTGCTTAGTTGACGTTACGTAAAGGCCAGACATTCAGTGCTCTAAATAGTACAGTAACTGTAGATATCCATTTAACGATTTGTGGATGATAATTTAAAACAAGTTTTATCAATTTTCGACTAAAGATAAAGGTAAGTTTCAGTTTTTTCAGTTGATTAATCAATTGGTTTTTACTGCATTCTCTTAAAATCTTAAGTATGTTTTCACTTTTTTGTTTTCTCTTTTTTATTCAATCATTGACATTGACAACGTGTATTGAAAATAATGAAGTTGCGTTTTATTCAACCTGAGGTGTAATGCAACTGTAACCATAAATATGGAAATCATTAGATGACTAAAGTCAATAGCGTGGACCATAGTTATATGTACCTTATTTATTTATAAAACTATCATTATTATTCAGGGGCTGTTTCTTCCTAATTATGTTTGCTGTCGTTTGGCTATATTATTGTTGCCTTCGTTTGTTTTAATCATTTTATATTGTGTATTTTACAAATGTAGCTTTAAAATGAAAATTAAAAATCAGTGCCGAATGTAGATATTACTTCTTGGAGATAAGTTCCGTTCCGTTTTTAATGTTAGCTGTTAATTAACATTTTAATAATTTCACGATTAATTTATATTTAATAGTAATTTGTACACGTTTAATAATATTTCATTTGTACTCGACGTTGTTCTGAATTTTATATTGCAACAGTTCCCCGAAGTGCACTACGTGCAGTAGGCTCTTCTTTATCATCACTCGTGTCACGTCCATCACTACTTTCTTCACAATTCACAATCCGGTCTTCACTCACTTTGTCACTATGTGAACTTACCATTGTGTTGTGTGTTGGTAGACCGACGAAGGAGAGACTGAATCGCTCGGCAGTCCCACCCTGACTCCGAACTTTCGTTCCCACTCGACAGTCCAGGAGTTATTCCCCCTCCCTCCCCCCGTCTCCCTCTTTCGACTGTGGCGTACACGATTCCATATTTAGTTCGACAAATGCGATAGGTACCCGTTCGATCAGCATCACAACTCTTTCAGCCGCTCCGGAGCTCACTGGTTCACCCGCCTCTTTCTTTTGTTTAAAAATATATACATACTCACCTGAACTGTTTTAGTTTTCCGGATTTTCGACACTTCATTCATTATCAAGGTTTTCTAGAGATCTTCTTGTATTTTATTTGGATATAGTAGCAGCAAGTGCGTTTGCATATCTGCTGTGTTTATTGTACGATATTATAAATAGTGTAGTTTTTGACAGTACGATGCGGTCAGGTGCCTGAGAAGGTTATTTCTGTAATTTTACTGACTACAACTTGTGTACATACTTTGCTCTTTATGAATACCAGAAATTACTTAGTCTACATTTTAACATGCAGTCAGAGTACTGACCTTCTAGTATTGAGTAATTTGGAGTCGAGCCTGAAGATATGTAATATTAGATCAAGGTTATTTCTGCATTGGTTCTGGTCTGATGTAGGACATATTTAGAACCATCTTATGATGTAAGATTTCTGATTTCTGGTTTTACGTTCATTGTTTGATGTTTTATTTTTGTGCTTTTGTCGTTATTGTCAGGGGTTACATGATTATATAAGAACAACCAACAAACGCGCTCCATTATGACATAGTGTCGTAGTACCTAAATTGTAAACTAAACTCACCTACTTCGCCTTTTATGTCATCTTTTCCAGATATTGGCAATCACAAGGACGATAGCTGACGACGTATCACTGTGCCGCCATTTATAAACACAGTGAGTACATTCTCCTATTAGATACACTTAGTAGGTAGGTACACTTATTTCTTCTTTCTTTCATAACGTAGGCAGGGGAAAGGTGTACGAGACGATCCTTGGAGGTAAGATGATCGTTTTCAATTGTAGTGAAACTAATAACGTCATCTAGATATTTTCTTTGTGCCCTCAATGTCTGGCCTCAATGTGCCCTCTAATCAGTCAATTCGTAATAGCGATGTGAGTAACGAGTTCATTATTGTGGAAAAAAAAACAAAAATTGTGTGAGTTTGATCGTTGATTAAAAAATCAACTTTACCTTAGATCAAACTCACACAATTTTTGTGTGAGCTTAGGCAACTTCCATTCTAAGCAATCAATTGCTAAGACTTTTGTGTTGGTGGCTTTGTATAATGCTCTATTTACTTATTTAATGGTATGGTAACAGTAGATAGTATACAGGCTATTTTGCCGAACAAAAAATAAAAATAAGTAAATTGGGGCAAGATGATTATGGTTTTGGTGTACAAGACGATCCGTGGGGATCATCTTGTACTATGTATAATGTTAACGTACCATTTTTAATTTGTATATTTTCTGAGTACTGAAATCTCTTAATTAAATAGCTTTTGCAATACGAATAAAATAGTAGAAGACTGGATTTCGTTTTCATGATCGATCTCAATCAAGAATAAATATAAATTCCTTTTTCTTATTTTAGACCAGGCAAGAAAAACGAATCGTGGTGGGTAGTCGGAAGACTATGATCTAAAGAACTAGAGACGTAAAAAGTTGGTTGCCACATAGATTGGCAAGTAAATTGGTGGCAATAGGTATGCGTTATGTCATTAAAAAGACGACGGGCTAAAGGTAAAAATAAAGGGTCTGTTGGTTCAATGAAATATTTAGGTGAAAAAAATTGTTTTCATCAGATGTGTTAAACAGGAAATCGAGCTCGTAAAGTACATTAAAGATCCATTCTAGACGAGGATGTATGGGCTATTGAAACAAGATGTTTTGTCAATGTCAAAAACAATATCGCCCACCCGTAGGTACCTGTAAGATATTAATTAATTAGGATTATTTGTTCTATGCCCAGCAGTGGGCATCGTATGCCTGAGTGACGTGATTTGCTCTCGAAGTTCCGTAACTGTTGTTTCATATACCTAGATTAACATAAGTAAGGACTTTGTTAAGTCTAAAAAGTTGTAACTTTAATTTGTTTCTACCAAAACCTAGAAATTTTCCTAAATAGGGGCAAGATGATCTCCTGGATCATCTTGCCCATACCCTGAGGATCATCTTGAACACCCCGGTAAAATATTCAAATATAATAATGAAACATCAAAAAATTAAACGTTTTTAATAAAACAACAAGACAAACTTTCTTCAATTCAACGCTTTTACATCTGCTTTAAGCTGAATATCTTTTAAACTACCACCATTCTCCCGTAAGGGGATCATCTGGTACACCTTTCCCCTACCTTATTGACACCTGATTTGAATTGGCACATCGTTGCACGTTAAAACGTTTAGCTTGTTAGCGTATTTATGGTTTCCATAACGTTAATAATATTTATTATCTGGCAACAGTAACTACAGATTATGAGATTTTGTAACTAGATACCTTATGGCGAGAACTGTACTTACGTACAGTTTACGTTTACGTTTACTTACGTACGTTTAAATTTTTATTCGTGTTCGTGTATGGACCAGTAAATAGAGTTTTTTCTTAGTTAGCTGTAGGGAAAAGTAAAGACTTCGTTTTAGTCTTTGTTTGTAATGCAATAAAAGTCCTTCAGTCTTTACCATCATGCAGCTGGTCTCACGCACATACTTACCCCAAACAAATGCGTTGAATGTTTTAAGCTAGACGATGTCGTGTATAATATATTCAGTTTTCATTACGTACAAAAGCGAAAGTTCATGAGTAGACTTGTGAAGTTTCGAACTCGTAATGAACCAGCGTAATGGACAGCATTTCTCAAGGAGCCTGGTGTTTAGCATGGGGAAATAAGTATATAGGTACATGTAATATAAAAGAAACAGATTTCCCATTTATTAGGTATTATTTGTTTTTCCGGAGGTCTCATTCCAGCCAAAATCAGCTGATACATAGGTATGGAAACGGTAAAACTATTCTAAAATGTTAAACCAATCCGGGACTCGAACCTGGGTTACTCGCGGTGTGGATTACCTTACCTTATTTCAGCTGCGATGAGTCACAGTCGTGAAAATAGCTGAGCCGCGGCGGTGGCGCGGGCGCACGTGACGTCATACACATTACTGTCACTCAGCAATGAACTATAGAAGTAGAAGGCATTATACAAAAAGTAAAGTAATCAAATTCAATAAGGTAACACAATATTCATGTTTTTTTGGATATCTTCTAATACAAATGCTGATAATTGTGGCAAGATATCATGGATAAATTTTAAAAAAAATTTAGAAGGGCTTACTTTGTTATGCGGTACGTATATTTCCAGTTAAGTATCAATATCGTCGTCACATAGATGTGTAAGCAGTACGTAACGTTGCCTCTATTGTTCAAAACAAGGACTTAATGACGTGACCTGTACTGCCTGAACCCAGCAACTTGGGGAACGCGTTTTGCATATTAACAAGCGAACCGCGAACGTCCCGTGTGTTAAGCGTATTAAAAAATTATGTGTGTACTACTGTAGCTAATTACAATAACAATTTGCGTCATTTTATTTTATTTTATTTTATTTAATAATTTATTGTACACGAAAACACAAACCACATTTTTAAAACGGAATCACAAACAAAAAAAAGGTATACTGCTTTTTTCTAAAATAAATTTCTTCCTGCAGACCAAAATACAGCATACAATAATTACGATATCGGGTTTACATGTACAGCAATACGAAATTAAATTATATAATAAAATAATAATAAAACAATAGCAAAAATGTTAAATTACTATAGACTATATAAATACTTAGATAAATACATATTTCATATTATAATATCTATAAAATGGATTTTATTGAATTAAAATTTGTAATAATTATTTTACCCACCGAACATTCGCTAATATGAGCCATGGTTTGTGCTAAATGTGTTATGATATGATTTCAAAGAATATTTCATATGATTATTGATCGTTCATTTCGTCACATATATAACGTAAAGAACGGTATACGTATACTTATATTTACATTCATGCAATTACAGAATACTACTTACTATTAGGTTCGATAAAGATTTGCGACGTTGTCTTATTTCGGCGAACTGTCCACAGGTTAATTTATGAATTTCGGTGTTATTTTGCAGAAATATTAATAGTGGTTCACTTGCTACTCCATGACCTCAGCGAAGGTTAAAAGGTACAACATAATAAATAATAAAAATCAATAAATATTAGACAACAGCACATTCGTTGCTCTGATCCCAAAGTAGGTGTGCAAGTCACTCGACCACGAAGGTCGTCAAAAACAACATAGCCGTGTTTCATGCAGTTCATTTTTCCTTTTTCGTCACAAGTGCAGCTTTTTTGCACAATTAGGCACCCTTACGGGGTTCGTAGAGCAGCAACTTAACTTACTCATTTCGGTAATTTTCAGGTTAGTTTTCTCTACCTAATTTCTGTGTACATTTTTATTATTTAAGTCTCCAGAGTATATTATCGTAAAATATTAAATATTGTTTCAGGTGACTATACTTTTGAATATTAAATAGTACTTCATGATACTATTCTAGAATATTTAAATATTGAAAATAGAAAACGAATCACAAAATTACCCATTTAACTTTTTCTAAATTACTTTTATTTATATTTATTTATACTTAATTCAATGATTTGTAATGAAATGAATGACGAATGATTTGTAATCGACAAACGTTAAAAACATCAAGTGGTTTCTTTAAACTTTTACCATTTTGTTTACAATTAAGAACCATAATATACACGTTAATTAATAAAATGTAATTATGTAATTATGAATTTGTTTAAAATCACCGCTGGCCGAAATCAAAGCACACATTGCATTAAAACCGGTCAAAGGAAATTCCATTGCCTCCATGCCTTCGTGACGTCGTATATTTTGTCTCCCTCTAACAATACTGACGTTTCACGTAAGTTGTACTTGAAGTGTTTGATTCATCGCCTTTCACTTGGCCTGCGTGTGCGCACACAACCCGTACAACATGGTCTTGAGATCACAAGAGTGACAAAACGTTTCTGAATGAAATGTAAAGAGAGTTTTAACAAAAATGTGCACTAAACTTAGTCATGTGTTACCAAAGTTTTTTGTCTTAGTTTTAGTATTTATCGGTAAGTTTCTTACGTTTCTTTACTTTAAAATTAAGAAAGAACTATTCGCGGTTTCACTTACATACTGTTTATTTACTTATTTATACACAACTCACATTTATGAGGATGTATTTAACACCGCGCAAAGAGCACGTGTATGATATTATGCACGACAAAATATTCAAATGATATATGAAATGGGCTAATAGACACAAGAAATATTGAACTTTGTGCACTATTGAATTGGAAAATGATACTCCCATATTACAAATTGTATCATAGATGTTTAACAATGCTTGGCGTTCAAGTTGTCGTGGTATAATAGTACTTTAAGAAGTTTTAAACTTATTTTTAATGGATATGTTTTATTGTCAACATTGCGTTCGTTTGATAGACTCAAGAAAAGCTTGGTACCTAGTGATCAAAATATCTATAGCAATATGTAGAGTCTGAGATATTTGTCCTTCAATCTTGTTCGCTTTCGATTGCTGCTGGGCAAAGGAACTATTTATATAATCATCAATGATACGTGCACTTAGTATCAAAAATATCGTGTCACCACTGATTACTAAAATAGGTAGTACCTATTATGCAAAATGAGTTACTGTTGAACAAAACCATTGATGTTTTCTATGGGCCTATAGTGTTAGTAAGATTTACAGGTCGTAATAATTGTTGTAATAAAGGATTGTGAGTTTATGTCAGATTATAAATTATTGACGACGGCGCAAAACTGTTCAATTTGTAGCTTTATTCGACCACATGTTTACCTTTGAATCCAACAATTAAACATTTAATTAATATTAAAAGTATTACGCAATAAACTTACCCTAATTTTAATAGTCATTAAACGACTTAATCATTGTTACCTGTTCAAGTCGGTAGAAAGTGAAAACCATAGTAATACATCATTTTTAACAATGAATTTTGTAGAATACTTTTATGTATTCTACCTCTTCGGCCCCTAATAATCAGCCTATACTGTACAACATTAGAATGTCAATGTCCGAAACTGGTCTTCAAATAATAATAACGCACACACTCAACATAGCCTCGCACTAGGGAAACCCTGTGTCAATCAACAAATAACACCCAAGCTCACGAGAGAAACAAACGTAGACCATACAAATATTTCTCCCGACCCGGGAATCGAACCTGGGACCTCTGCGTGGCAGGCCGGCATGGTAACCGTTCGGCCACTGAGGCAGTTATAATAAGCAAGTGCTTACCTATATATTTCTTAAATTATAGATATCACGTATGGCGTGGTCCTCCGCGCGTACGTGTCCCAACATGGGTTGCATGGCGAGATCGAATTCAGCCATAAGAATAACACCCTCATCAGCATCAGAACCAAGCTCAAACCGACCCTGCAGTTCCCCGACGGGGTCTTCAAATGGTCCATTCACGAATTTCCCGTCGACTACACAGACATCTCCAACGAACGATGTTCAGAATTAAACCTTGGCAGGGAACTCATTGATTTAACTGAAGAATTAGGATATCTCATAATACCAGGAAAAGATCATGCAGAATTTGAAAGCAAAGTTCCTCTGTTCGGTCTTAATGGCTTATGGGGAAAGAGTCTGGTTTTGGAAACTGCGGAAAGAGACCGAATAATTTGTTCATCTATACATTCGACTGACAAACAGCAAGAACGTTATGCCGTAGCGAAGTTTACATCTCCGGTAGCTGGGACATTGAATTTCAGGTGGATTTCAGTCAATGAATTTGACGAGTCCGATTCATACATTATAGCTGATTTGTATCACACGAAAGCGGTGTCGGATAAGTTGGAGCACACAATGCACAAGTGGAAGATCTTCGTGACCGATATCTTCGACTCGGATAAAGGTAACCATGAAGACAACTGTAATGTTCTACAGTTAGTTTTTGATCCTGAAAATGCTGGCGACGGAATGAGTGTCGGGGACCTAGATAGTCGCCTAGGACTTGTTAAAGTTGCGACAGATGCTAATAAGAGAAAAGTGAGGACTCTATATAAGGATGACGTCATAAATATGTTAAGAAGTGACATGGAGGTGACGAAGAGAAGTCTCTACGTTGTAGTGTATGATAATCGACACCCCGACAGCTTTTTGGGATGTGCAAAACTGAGGCCTATTCCGCCCAAGAGTACTAAGTAAGCAAAGTTATTTATTTAATAAATTATAATGTATTTAATATAGCTAATGTAATATAGTATTTGTTTATATTTTCTTGACTTTACTTATGTGTACCTTTCAGAGCACTTATAAACATGGACGGAATCCGAGGAACGGTAGAATTCACTCAGCGTTCCCCTTTCGACCTGACGTGGGCGAACTTCCAGCTCGGTGCCGCGGACATGGATTACGAGTCGAACCTTCGCTTCGTAAGCTCCATGCTGCACTACAATGTACATGAGCTGCCTGCAAAGCTCCTGAACGCTGATCTGGTGGATAACATGTGCAATACTACGGGGAGTTTGTTCAACCCCACCGGTGTCGACATTAATAATATGCCTCCTCCAGGTTTGTACGATAATATTCATAGTCATAGTCATAGTCATAGTCATAGTCATAATCTTTATTGCATCAATGTTGTAGTACATGGTGTTCTAGAGCTAGTGACGGTTCTCAACATTAGTCCTGTAAGGGCATTGCAATAACATAAGAATAAAATTTAAAATGTCAAAATGAAATGAATTTAGTAAATTACAAATTAATAAATGGAATACATAAATGTCTTATTGAATAATGAATGAAACATTATTTGAAATCCCTTTTAGCAAATTTTACTAAAGGTGTGTTAGCTAAGGTTCAAGTTTAACTTTAAGTAACGTTGATCAGAAATTTAATTTAGGTTACGTACCAACGATTAAATATCGAAAGACAAATTTAACTAACAATTGGCTGTAATATGGAGAATCATTCAGCCATACGACCCACTGCTGGGCATAGGCCTCCCCCAACGATCTCCACGACGATATTAAAAATATTGACTTGAAGTCGGAGATTGCTATGAAAATCTTTCGGTTTACGTTTAATTTTGTGGAAATTGATTAATGGCCACGCTAAATTTATTACCATCTGAGTATCCTACGCCAACATTTCGCTATTATCATAACTTATTTACCGCCCGCCGTGAAAATTTCATGATAAGACATTTTCACAATTAGTTGATACGCAATTTCAGGCTTAGCAATACATATGTATATTTACTCTTCTTTGAAACCAGCCAGGTCGTAAGTATTATTATAATATATTGAGAATGTTTGATATTGAATTTTCCATCCAGACATTCAATATTGCTATTAATAGTATACACGTACAATCGCGTGTGGGCAAAATCGGTCAGTTGGGCTGCGCGGGCGCTGCGGCGCGGGACGGGAGTTTCTCCGGTGTGTTGCTGGTGCCAAAATTGTTTATGCGACAAACAGCTTTGTGGAGGATTCCGTATAAATTCATTTCCAATTACTCACTTTTCTAATCGTTGGTACTTGGACAATGCTTTTCACACATTTGGAATGTTGTAAACGAAAACCATTAATTAATGATCACTTAAGGAAAAGTTCACTTCTAAAATAATACAAAATAAAAATGGTCTAGAATAAGACTTTACGGAAATTTGTATCAGATGTAAGCTTTTTTTAAACAAGTTGATACAATAATAATAAAGGTAAATTTATGAATGTAGGTGTCTGTGGCGTTTTGCCACGGTACCTATTCCGTCGCTAATACTTCAGACAAGCAAGTTGAGTCTCACGTGTTGATTTATGAGAATGTAGCAATAGTGCTTTGTCGGTAAACAATATAGGCATTTGGTATATCACAAACAACACGAGCCAATTGCGCAGCGTCTCTGTTGCTAACAGTTCAAATTCTGTACTACCTTTACTATCAATAAAAATTAAAAAAGTGCTACTTATAATAAGTAAACATTGTTCATGCCAGTACGAATTTGTTGTTTTCGACCTTTACTCGAGCCTATTTCATCATCAGCTTACACGCATCCACTGCTGGACATAAGGCTCCCCTTGAGCACGCCAACTCTCCCGGTCTTGTACCCCATCCAGCCGCCGCCGGCCGCCTTTCTCAGGTCGTCCACCCATCTTGCCTAAGGGCGTCCCAAACTACGTTTTCTTTGACGTGGTCGCCATTTCAGAACAAGTCTGCTCCATCGGCGATCAACCCTCCTGCAGACGTACCCGGCCCACTGCCACTTAAACGTCGGCCACTTTAGTTCTCTGACGTATGACCTCGTTAGAGATTACTCGTATCTAATACTGATAGTAATTATAGATGGGTACAAGTTTTGTTCTTTGTTACTTAAACTAGGATATCCTTATCGACGAGCTATATTAGTTCGCTGACTATATTCAAGACAGCTTTGTTTTTTTTTTTATTTCGTACAATTATATAAATACATGTTATCGATACTACAAGTTATATCTTAAGTATATGTTATTATTATATTTAACATCACGACAATTAAGTTATCGTCAACTTTAATTAAAATTCTCTAAGCTCACTACTAATTTTCTGTTCGTTTATAAGGCTTCAAAATTTATGTCATTGTGGATAACTACGAGTATTTTGACCTAAGTTTTTTAAGACAAAAGTTCTAAGAAAAGAGCTCGTTGTAAGATGTATTTAAGTTGGCTGTTGTTATTCCTTAATAATAAAATAAAAACAAAGAAGCCATCGATTTGTATATAAAACAAAGATAACACAAAATCCGCTTGAAAAAATTCACAAGATCGATGGTCTATACATTGTTATGGTAAACTTCATGACGCTCTAGGACCCTCTAAGTTAATTAGATGTAGAAGTAACCTAATGAAGTTTCATTTAAGGTATGGGCACGCAAGACCAGTATCCAGTGGGCGCTCTATACGGCAAGTACAAGGATCGGACAGAGTATTTGAACCACCATTACATGCTGCCGGGCCTGGCCATCGAGCTGAGCGGCTCTTATTGGGACGTCTTTCTGTCACTGCAGGGACAGAACAGCATTGTGCATAGGGCGTTGGTGCTTCAGAGGTATATTCTTTATTAAATGAATTCGGTTCTTCCATGGCCTGCGGGAACTGAAATTTCTGACCCGTTTTCGTGGATTGTGCATGTTCTGCATAGAAGACTGTCCGTGATACCTAAATTGAAAAGGTGTATATTATTATGGACCATGATTTGTTCGGGCGGCAGTTAGTGAGCGTAGTTCTCGAATTTTGTTTAAAAAATTTTCGGAATAGGCTAGCGTTCAGCGCTGGGAGTGCTAGCCTGTCTAGAAACCGCAAAGGTTGTCCAGATGCTGTTATACGAAGTTTTTGTACCTTCGTGTATCTATAGTTGTTCTGCACCATTGGTAGAGGAGGGACACTATAACAACAAGTACAACACACAACAACAACACACAGTAACAAGGAGTACAAGGAAATGTTATGATTAATTGAAGGGGAGAACAGATGTTTCACAACAGTTTTGTAACGTCCAGCCTAAATGTTAGGAACCTCCACTTTATAACTAATTTTAACAATAATTATCCTAGACGAAATCCGAAACACGACCTTTGTGGCACGATCCTGCTGTACGAACATGGCACGGAGTACCAGACGCCCATGACGTCAGCGCAGGTCATCTTTAGATACCCCATCGTCGGTCAGGTCATATTCCGCCAGCCGCAAGACCGCCCCTGGGAGGATACCACGATTATTATAGAGAGCATGGTAACATTATTATTACTTCTTAATTTTATTGCAGATGGGCAATCTGCGGTATACAGTGCTACACTATCGCTTTTACAAAAAATAATAATAATTTTTTAATAAATTCAAATAATACTTTTGGCCTTGGTTGCACGTTAACTACAAAACTGTACATCGTCTGTCAAAAAGCATACAGCAAGGAATTATACAAAGTAAAGATTTTTATGATCAGCTGTTTCTTTTCAGGTGCACGCGGACGGTGCGCACGTGAACAACACGTTCGAGCACCGCTGGGCGATTCACGAGCACGCTCCAGGCTCTGACTACTATAACTGGACGGGGCGCTGCCTCTCCGCGGGCAAAGTCTTCGAACCCCACGGCATCGACATTGACACACGGCACCCGGACCAGTACTGCCGGAAAGGCCTGGAGGGGCTCTGTCGCCTCGGGGACTTTACTACCAGGCTAGTAATACAGGCACGGGCGTCTTCCAGTGAAGTGGAATTTTCAAAATTCGCTTCGGCGTGCTGTTTCATCTTTTTCTTTCCAGTTTGCAATGTGATAACCTTAAAATTGTAGCTTCAAGTACGATCTCCATCAAATATTTATCTTCTCCCGGACTCGGTCCATGTAGTTTTCGTTGTTTGAAATAGATTTAACGCTCTATTACTCTCTCGTTACAGGCACGGCACGTTGTCAGTGGCGGGCAAGAAGGCGGAGAGCCTTCGCCTGACGCGGCGGCTGTTCACCGACCCCGTGGTGGCGATCGCCGGCAAGTTCTCGCTGATGAAGAAGTCACTCGTCATCTACGACGACCACGGTCCCGTCGCTAGGGGCGAGCGCATGGCTTGCTCTATGTAAATATTACGCGCAATGTTTCTACTAGCCACTTATGACTTCAACAAATTTGACTTCCCGGAGCTGCCGTGGCGAATTATGATTCACAAACTCCAATCGGACCTTTCTCTGACCTGCAAGAGGTATGCGGATAAACATCAATGGCGTTGGTTCGGTTTCTCTGTTCCAGCGTAAACGGACTGCACCGCCGCAAGGCAGTGGTCCGCGACTGGTTCGGTAACGGCCAGCAGGTGCACTTGCGCGGGCGCATCGAGATGACGCAGCAGTCGCCCTATGACGTCACCAACGTGCAGGTGGCGCTCGACGGGCTGGACGACGTTCGCAACTACCGGATACATATGGTAACACCGCAGAACCTACTCGTGTTTATTGCGATAAATAGAGTTAAGTAGTTACGTACAGTGAGTGTTTTGCGTGACTTCACAATTAAACGAGATTCCTAAGTAAACGTGTCCCTTTACGTTATCCGACGAACGTTTCAGACTCCAGTGGAGAAAGATCTCGAGTTTCCTTGCGAGAAAACTACGCTTTACGACACGTACAACCCGTTCCACGTGGACAAACATCGCAGCCCGCCGCCCACTAAAGGTTACGAATTAAATTAATGTTTAGAGAGGGAAAATTCACCCTGCCATGTTTTCGCGCAGCGTTCGTTTCATAACTTAGGCTGCTAGCAGATTGTCGATAATGATTTCACGCATTAACCGCAAACGTACAGTCGATCTGTTAGCGGCCTTACCCTGGCACCTGGGACTTTTCGTTCGCTGCGTTCGAGGAAGAAAACAAGCAATAAAGGAATCTGACAGGCACCGCGGACCAGTACGAGCTAGGCGATCTGGGCTCGAAGTACGGCCCGATCGAGGGAGCAGGCAGCTTCAGCGCGTACTACAACGAGACGCAGCTGTCCCTCTTCGGGCCTCACACCGTGCTGGGGCGGTCGGTGGTGCTGCACCGCAGGGTGAGTGGGCGCCCGTAGCCCGCCTCTGCCCGAGGCGGCGTGTGCGCAGTAGTGTTAAAACTTGAAAAAAAAAAACTTTTTTTTTTTAAATAAAAACTTGAATAAAAATCGTAACGCCCTAGTGTTTTCTAAATTTTGGTTTATTATCAGAAAAAGTAAGATAGAATAACTGAAATAAACTAACTAACACTAACTTTTGTTTTAAGAATATATATATTATGTGAATATATATAACATGTTTATAAAAATCAATTACCATGATAATTATAACAATAATTTAATCTTCATTTGTGGTGTTACTATTGTTACAGGTGTTACTCACACTTGTAATGTCATTGAAATTTTCTGTGTCTTCGTTTCCTTCATTCAAATCCTACCGATAATTTTATATAAGCGGCTTGCTAAGAATGCTATCAAAGTAGAGATGCAACAGCAATCGATAGATTTAAAAAAAAGGTAAAATATTAGAATCCCCGCATTTTCCCCACATATCGTCAACCCCACAAAATGCCCAATCGAGTTGAAATTCCCCGCAATTTGGGGAATGCGCACCAAATTGACAACACTATGAGTGTTGCCCATTTATTTTGAGCAATTAATCTATGAAGAATAATATTAACAACGAAAGAGGAAAGTAGTAAAAAAATACAATTGTCATATTCTTATTTTCATACTTTTAGGAAACAAACGGTTTGTTTCACGTTCTTTGAACAACACGCGCAGGAGGCGGACCGCGCCTGGGCGTGCGCCAGCGCCGAGCGCGGCTACAGCCCCTCGGAGGCGCGCGAGCTGCGCGCCGTGGCCTCGTTCCACCACCCGCAGGGCTTCGCCTGGGGCTTCGTGCGCGCCTCGCAGCTGCGCCACGCCGACGGCAGCGCCGGCGACACGCTGCTGGAGGTCAACCTGCGGCACCCCGGGCCCAGGGACCGCAACCGCGTGAGTGCCCGCCGCCGCCGCCGCACGCGCCGCCGCTCCGCGCTGACTCCGGTCGCTTCCGCAGACCGCGGGCCACGGCTGGGCGATCTTCGTCAACCCGGTGGGGGTCGACGCGACGGTGAAGGTGGCCGACACGCGCTGCGTCGCCGGCGGGTACCGCTGGAACCCCTACTTCACGCAGCTCGCCGATCCGCTCAACGTAAGTTTCCGCGTGTCTTGGTGAGTAGCGGTGACGGCGTGAACGAATGAGCGACCGTTGGGATTGACCAATATCCATCTCGAGGAACAAAAGTTTAGAAATAAGCAAAGGAATATACTAAAAGTTATATATATAGCTACAAGGAGTGATATAGAGTTCTTAAAACCGCCAAATTTGAAATCATTACTTTTTTCTAATTCTGGATTCCCGGAAATGATTTTACTGCATCGTAGGACAAAACTACTCATTCAGGAAGCCAAAGTTGGATTTTAAAGTAATTCTAGTGGTGCCATGTAAAAAAAAATGCAATAGATAACTGACTTGTCATTACAGTAAACCTGCCTGATGGAAGAAATAAATATGGTGCCATCACTGGACGGACTCCTTCATAAGGAGCTTTACTGCTTCTAAAATGATCATAATGACGAAAATGATAATGATGCCATTTTTTCAAAATCTGTGAATGCCAATCAAAATATCTTCAAATTTCATGAATAGCCTTCTAGAACCGTTTTCCTGTAACTACAACGATTAAGGTAGCTAGCCTTGCTGCCCCGTCTCAAATTTACACCCTGTATAATGCTGACGATGCTGCATATGCTGCAGATGCTGCTGATGGTGCTTTGATGCTCGTGGTGCTTATGATTCTGATGGTGCTGATGACTTTGATGCTGCATTTTTTTTACATAGCACCACTAAAACTGCTTTAAAATCCAACTTTTAAAAAACAACTATCCAACGATAAGCATATCATTCCTTGTAGCTATATTTGTATACGTATCTATCTATGTGGAACACCTTTTTCCAATCCATGGTGATGAGCTTCAGTTTCCAGCATTAAATAAATTGTCATGATGCAGCACGACCTGTACAGCCAAGAGTGCGGCGCTGACAATCCCCTACGTTGCGACGTCGGAGACCTCACCGCGCGATTGGGCACCATCAGTGAGCGCTCTTTTTGTTATTAAGGGAAATCGTTATTGTATCTCAAGTGTAACCAGACACGTATATAGTACATCATTACACAAATCAAGAACTAAAGAATTACGAACGTACCGTTCAAATCAGGCCGTCTCCCCGTTCCTGCCGAGATGCATCCAGTGTTTTTCTCAAACAATGCCAGGAAATAATAGACTAATGGAAAAGAAAAATATATGTAAATATATATAAATATATGTATAAATAAAATAAAATAAAAATAGCCAATATCAAAAGTGAAGTAATATATGATACAACAAAAAATTAAAAAATACTTTCGGACGACTGTTGAAAGAAAATAGGACATTGTTTAGTAAGGGCGGTAAATAAAAAATGACTAACGAATACATATTCACTTCGTCCGGCCTAAACGGTTTTTGCGTTCTCCTCACGACAATAATGCAAATATTTCTGAGCACGTTTGAGAAAACGGTACTCCATGCGACGTTTAGTGCTCATTCCTCCCGCGGAAAGTACAAGTTCGGTGCAGGCGTGGGCGGCCCGCGGCAGATGTTCGTGGACAGCAACTTCCCGCTGGAGGGCGCGGTGAGCGCCGTGGGCCGCTCGCTCGTGGTGTTCGCGGCGGCGGGCGGCGCCGCGCGCATGGCGTGCGCCAACATCGAGCCCGACAAGGACATCGTCAAGTACGCCAACGTCATGAAGACGCCCCGCTTCGTGCTGTGAGTATGGCCCGGGCCCGGCCGCCGCCCGTCGCCCGTCGCCAACACTCGTGCTAACCCTCGGCGTGCGCAGGACCCAGTTCTTGCAAGAGGTGCGCGCGGTGATGGGCGTGCCGCCCTGGATGGTGACGGTGGACGCGCGCAAGACCCGCGACCTGCACTCCGGCGCCTGCCTGCAGATCCTGTTGCACTTCACCGGCCCCCAAGCCAACCGGCTCGAGCTCGACTTCAGCAAGTGCGTCTGGCTTCTTTCATTCTTTTGCTCCGTGGTCGTTTAGCGAATGCCACTAAAATTTGGCGTTCGGGAAATACGCACGCCGCCAGCGTGTTGCGTTCCTTTGCTGCGCACGTCGGGAACAAACTTGTTACTAATTAATTGTACTAGTATCAATTTATTCACCTATTCGCATCGTTCGACCGGCGAATGCGCATCGCGATTCGTACGTTTTCAGCGAGTATACTTACGAATCTCTGATCTCAGACGAGTGGCACTTAGAACCTGAATTGCACGCGATTAATAATTACCTACCACTGTATGTGTCCCTTGTTACGATGTAACGGCGATGCTCCCGCAGACTACTCGCGACGGGGCGCCTGGACTCGCCGAGCATCTACATCCCGGGCCACGTGGACAGCAAGCGCAAGTCCACGCTGTCCTACCGCCAGTGCGGCGTCACCGACCCCAACGACAGGAAGAGTAAGTTGCGCCGTCTCGTGTCGACAGACCCAACAAAAATAAAAATAAAACTATGTTATTTCATTCTCGATACTTACACAATAAACTTACGCAACAAAATACCACTGTACAAGGCGGGATAGCGTACCACGTAGCAGTGAGACCGCCATTTGTACCGTATGTCTACATCAGTAGTATAATTGACGTACAAAACACACACATACTTGAACATTTATATCATTATACTACGTGTTGTATTGCTTTATTATACACGTATCCCAATTACAGGCAAGTTCATCACTGACCAAATACTGTCCTATGGAATAAAAATAGTACATTGCGTATTAAGGGCGGCAAAAAAGAGTTCAATATCTACCCGAAGCCGAAGGCTGAGGCTGATTCGCGTTTGGAATTTTATACCGCATTTGCTACATACAACATTTTTCATCATATTTGCGAGGAAATAAATGAAATGATAATTTATTTCTTGTATGAATAAATATCGCTTCACAACACAATTACAGATACTGGAAATGGCGGGTTTTTTTAGAGATGCAACGGATATCTGGTAACTATCCAGCATCCTGCCTATTTTTACTATCCGACCGTTGTTCTGCATTAAGTGCTAAAAGTTCATTCAATTTATTTTCCAAAATGAGACCAACTTCAGAGGATAGTTTTTCACTATAAACTCTTGCAAACTTTGTTAAATGTTATCTACTACTTGTTATTGCCAGACGATTATATGAAAGAATTGCGATCACGATCGATTTGATCTGTCTTCAAATACAATGTGTCCTTACCTACAATAATCAAACGTGTAAGTAGATTAAAAAAGTTTTTTGGCAAATCTGGTGTCAAGATTTAGAATTAGTTAGGTCACACAAAAATTAATGATATCAATTTAAACAAAATAATTTTAATAAAAAATTTAAAATAATTTAAAATAATTTAATAAAAAAAACGGGTGTATCAAGTGCTAGGCTTATACATGTAACAACTAGAAATTTTAATATAGCCAAAGAATGATGTAATTGCTTTTATTCTTCTCCACCTCGAGAAATTCGCATTTGGCACAACAAACAAACAGCACTGATAAAAAATATTGCCGAATTTGCGATTTATTTACTGTTATGTATTTGTTTGTATTACCGAATAAATTAATCGTTTTTATAAAAACCAAGTGACCACAATAAATCAAATCGTCAGTGTGAAAGTGCAATCATTCACTAATCAATCAATGATGGCGATGCGCGCTGTAAACCGGTCGCGACATGTTTACGGCAGTGGGTCAGATATCCGGCGACCGGATATCCGACTATCCGGCCTAGGTGTCCGCTAGATATCCGGTAACCGGCTAAATCACTATCCGTTTCATCTCTAGTTTTTTATACAAACAGATGGCCAGCTATTCTTCCATAGGTAATACAACTCGAACTAAAATGTTGTAAAAGGCAAAAACGCAAAATAATTAATATAAATATATATATATAAATAATTTCAAAATACTGCAGAATTTGAATTTTTTTTTTTTAATATATAATAGACACACGCTTGGCCACAATCTCACCATCTCATCTTACAAAATGAAATTAGTAAAATTTAGTTAAATTGCAAATGTTTAGTTTTTGTTCTACATTTCAGGCTTATACGAAATATATTCATCAATTCAGAGATTAAAAACTTTTTGCTTAATCTTGACGTTGAGAAGCACAGTGTATTAAATTAAAAAATAAATCCATTACTGCCTTATGGCGCTAATGTAATTAAAAATTCCGTGGGCGTAATTTAGGACATTACGGTCGCGTTTGCTTGCATGTTATAACACTGTTTACGAGCAAATGTGATGAAAAAAGGTTAGGTTTTTTATAGCATGCCTACATGTTTTACCTAATTATAAAAATAATCTATAAAACTGTATGTATTTGATTGCTTTTTGTATACATGAACGTCAAGTATTCGATCGAGATAAATCGTTGTTTTACGGTTGTGCCTTTAGTTTTTTTTTTTATTTACAAATAAATTTGCAAGGCAATATCAATTTGCAAGGCAAATTTCATAAAAAAAATTTACCTTTTTGATGGGTTATCATGATCACACCCAATGCTCATTGTAATTGTTGCGGGGTAATTGGGTATGTTTGCCACGTGTTGGTGGAGCGTGTCAAACCGAGAGAATACATACCCAGCATACACGACTAATATGTTTTTATTTATTTGCAGAGAATTCCTATTTCTTCAAGAGTCAGGCCTCTTCCTCTTCACAACTGTTATTCAGCTGCTGGCTCACGATTCTATACCTGCTCAGACTATTGTAACCTTATTCCTCTATAGAAGGGTAGTACTTGCGAAGGAATCTATTCGAAGGCTCACACACATACGTGCACTCATAATAATAGAACATTTTGTTCATCAGTTAAGTGCTTAGTCTAAAATTGTAAATTGACATCAGTTTGTACACTTCCATTTTGCGGCCTTGACTTGAGACCATAAGGAATAAGGCGACCGTCCATATACAACGTACAAGAAGACTGTAAATATATTACGTACCTCAAATTGCAACAATTGTAAATATTTATCTACGTACTTTAAGTAATTATAGAGCTTAATTTGTAAATAAATTATTATTTGTTACAACTCCTTGTTTATTTATCATTAACTTCTTTGTGAAAATGTTTATGTGATAAAAATGTAATCATAAAATAGAGGACTCTCAAGCTAAAAGGGGTTCAGGGTCATTTGTATCATGGATGCTATGGAAATGGATGGGATTACCACATCATCATCGTACTGCAAAGAGATAGATGAACGGTAATAAACGAACAGCGACATTGGCTCGTGTTCGTTGTCATGACTGTGGTTAGCAGCTAAGGAGGAATGATGACTCTATGATGTGTTCAAAAACCGCAAATTACGTCCAGCGTAAAGACAAACTGTTTTGTTAAAACAAATTTTAACTGTAAAAATGTTATTATTGCTTCATAACTATATCGAATTCGATTTTATTATATCATGAAAATTTCGAACGCCTCTGAAAAACAAATTTGACATTATGAAAATTCGAGCAAATGTTACTTCGGGCAAATGTATTTTCTGACTTCTGATAGGTACCTAATCCCAAGCCGTAAAACGATTACAACAATATTTTGTTAGTTATTGCTAACGTTCAATAAAAAATCATTTTAAAAATAAGATTAAAATCAAAGCGACTCTATAGTTTCTTTGTTTTAAATATTTCAATCACTTGTAGTTCGAACAATTGAAAATGATCCAGAAGTTTATATAAGCTTCTTAAAATTGACGTAATGGGTCTCTTCCCATCTTTTGCGCATGCAATGTGTAGAAAAAGGATAGTTAGCTATTTGATATTTTGTTTGCTTTTATAATTTATGTTTTCGATTCATCTATGTATAAATTAAATACTATACAAAATAGCTTTTTAAATGATAATTATGATAACACAATGTATTTGTTTAGTGAAAACATGATACAAAATCCTGTTTTTACACTTTACTGCAGTAATTATAGTACTGCATGACACCGCGCTGTCAGTCGAACAAACGAAAACTGTTGCGCGATTACGCTCTGTATACGATTTTAACGCTTTATAGGTGCGGACACTTTTTAGCGCAAACCCGATGTCCATTTGTTGGTAGGTCAATGTCAATAGCCTTAGTGGATGGAAAACAGTAGCAAGCAATTTTGACCAATTTCACACGTTACTTGATATCGAACGATACCATAGTTGGGACCGACTCTTGTTTGTCTATGAACTAAATAAAAACTACGCGTGACATGCATGAGAGTGAGAAAGTTTTTATTTGCCACCTTTTACTGTTACATATAATAATATATATATATATATATAAATATATATATATAATTAAAATAAAGTATAAATATAATAAAAATAATAATAGTTACATATATAAAGCTATAAGTTTAGACTCACTGATAGAAATAGAACGCATATTTCCCGATATGGTGGAAAAAATATATTTATACCATTGTACGCGGATAGGTTTTAAAGCAAAGAATCAAATATCAGATGACCTGAATGTGGAAAATATAAAAGTATGATCAATGGCCTGCAAAAACTATAACATATGAAGGGAACGTTTGCGCATTTTTATGAGGTACACCCTGCACAATTTCCGCCGGAAGTAAAAAATGTTCGAAATTCAAATAAACAAGATGGCCACCATACAAATTTCCTTAGCGCATATAGGATGGGAGGCGCTATTAGCGTTATTTCTCGAACAAAACTTTCTGCCACTTTTGGGGGGAGGGGGGCGTAGTACTACAAGCAAACAGGTGCACTCAAATGCAAAATTGAATTGTGTCACTATGGTCTCACACAAACAAAAGTCACACTAGCTTATTTTTACAAATAGTGAATTTCTTTTTTCAATTTTGTGTGTAGTGTAACAGTGGTATTGTTTTACTTGCATTTGCCAGAGGAGATACCCATTGACTTACCAATAAATGGATGACAATATATACAATCCAAAGTCTAATCCAAAAACCGCGAAAAAATGTCCGGCGTTTTTTTTTCAGTTTATGGCTTTTCGCGGTCAGCGTTGGAGCCAATGACAAACATGGCCGGAGTTAGACATGTATAGAAGTATAAAAAAACTGAAACATTTAATTTAAACTGTAAATGTATTTGTATAAATGTATAAATGTAAATGTAATAATAATAATAATAATAATAATAACGCACACACTCAACATAGCCCCGCACTAGGGAAACCCTGTGTCGCGGGTGCCATGGACACACATAGACAAACACAAATTACACCCAAACTCACGAGAGAAATAAATGTAGGCCATACAAATACTTCTTCCGGCCCGGGAATCGAACCTAGGACCTCTGTGTGGCAGTCCGGCACGGTAACCGTTTGGCCACAGAGGCAGTTATGTCATTGCAGTATTGCTTAATTTTGTTTGCCACAATTCAAAGGCCCAAAAATTATCCATATTCAGCTTCTACTGGAAATAACAAAATGCACCACATTTAGCTTCCAGTGAAAACTACATTGAACACAAGAGTAATGGAGTAGTCTTAATGTTAATATAAATTAATTTTATAGTATTATGTTGAATTTTATACGAACTCACTTACTCAAACTCAAACTCAAACTCAAAATAATCTTTATTTCATAGGTAAGCATTATTACACTTGAAATCGTCACAATGGTTAAACTCTACCGCTCATTCGTAAGGCAGATTCTCCTGAGAAGAATGAGCAAGAAACTCTAGGGGTTGCTCTTTGTAAATAGCATTTACAATATTTTTTTATTTTTATTTGAAACATCAGAGATCGAGACTACCTCCATGAGCTAAACGGGTTACTACCACGGATTTTTGTCATCCAAATACGCAGAAGTTGTATAATAACCTTTAGTATAAAGTTTTTGTTTCACTATAGTTTTAAACCTCGAGAAAGGCAAATTTTGTATATCAACCGGAATCTTGTTATAGAAGCGTATACATTGCCCCTTAAATGATTTTTTGACTTTGTGAAGACGACTATCAAGAAAAGCTAGTTTATTCCTATTCCTCGTATTAATGTTATGTCTGTCACTATTTTTCATAAATAAATTACTATTCCTTTTAACATAAATTACATTTTCATAAATGTACTGTGAGGCTAGTGTAAGAATGTTAATTTCCTTAAACTTATCTCTCAAAGATACTTTGGGGCCCAGATTGTAAATTGCCCTAACTGCACGTTTCTGCAGGACAAAGATTCTATTGATATCGGCGGCATTACCCCAAAGCAAAATGCCGTATGTCATTAGACTGTGAAAGTAACTGAAGTAAACCAATCTAGCGGTTTCGACGTCTGAAAGTTTCCTTATTTTTTTAATCGCGTACACTGCAGAGCCGAGCCGTTTTGATAACTTACTTATATGGGGACCCCATTGCAATTTAGCATCTAACGTTATACCTAGAAATACAACTGTATCCACAAGATTCAATTTTTCATTTCTAACTACAATGTTTGTAACCGTCTCTCTAACATTGGGTAATGTAAATTTCACACAATTTGTTTTTTTCTCATTAAGAAGTAGGTTATTAACAGCAAACCAATCAATTACTTCAGATATAGCATTGTTCACATCGTCATAGGAACATTGGTGCCTTTTAACTTTAAATAATAAGGAAGTATCATCAGCAAACAATACTATCTCATGTTTTATACTCTCCATAAGGCTAGGTAAGTCATTAACATAAACTAAAAATAAAAATGGGCCTAGAATTGAACCTTGAGGGACACCCATGCTAATTGCAGATCCTGACGATCTCGTACCGTTAACATCGACCCTCTGTACCCTACCACGCAAATACGATTTAAGAAGGTCGAGATCACTTCCCGCCACACCATAATGGCGAAGTTTCCTGACCAGTGTATCATGGTGCACACAATCAAAAGCTTTGGAAAGGTCACAGAGTACACCAATAGCATCATGTGAAACTTCCCATGCATCAAATATATGATTAATCAACTCGACACCAGCATCGGTTGTAGAGCGACCCCGAGTGAAACCAAATTGCTTAGGAGACATTAAGTTATTACTATAAAAATGTGCACACATCTGATTTAGAATAATTTTTTCAAATATTTTACTGAGAGTTGGTAGTATTGATATAGGTCTGAAATTGGTGGGGTCAGAAATACTACCAGATTTGAAAAGTGGAATAACTTTACTTTGCTTCATGAGGTCAGGAAAGACACCATCATCAACACATTTATTAAAGACACAGGCCAAATAAGGCGCAATACAATCAACTATAGAACTAATTACTCTGACTGAAAGACCATCAAGATCAGCTGTATTTTTTATGTTTATAGACTTAAAGGCTTTAACAATATCGTTTGGAAATACATGACGGAACCTTAAATTAGTGATACTAACTGCATTATTTTCTTTTAGTAAGGATTCAGCGGCGGTGGGAGATGAATTTAACGACTTAGTAGTCAAAATTGGAATGTCAGTAAAAACTTTTCAAATATTTTAGCAACTTCTGCGTCTGTGTTTACAATTTTGTCATTAAATCTTAGTTGAAAATCTAAGTTACGAGGTTTGACCCTTCCAGTTTCGCTGTTTATAATATTCCAAGTCGTTTTTACTACATTCGCGCTGCTTTTTATTTTATTATTTATAAACATTGCTTTGGCTGCAACACAAACACGTTTAAACATTTTCGAATATTTCCTAACAAAATCATTAAAACTGTTACTAGTGTTATAAGTCATTTCATCGTAAAGATCATATAGTCTTTGTCTACTTTTGTGAATTCCCACAGTCGCCCAATCACTAAATTTCAATGAATTATTAATAGTTATGATTTTGGACCTAAAAACGTTATCACGTTCACTTTTGACTATGTTGAAAACTGAATTATACAATTTATTGGGATCGTTAACGTACGGAAGTTCAGTTAGTTTAAGCATTACATTATTTCTATAAGCTTTAAGTCGACCATTATTTATCGGAACACATGTGATATCCTTAAACTTCAAGTAATTAGAGTTGTGCAGATATATAGGTATTGTAAATGTGAAAATAACTGTGTCACTCTATGGTAGTTATGACGTGCTGTAAGAAAGATATCGATGATTCGAATTTTTAGATTCCAACTAGAAGTAAACTCAAAGTTTCATAATCTCGAAAACCGATTTATAACAAAACCGTTACGCTTTCAAGGGATTTTGGTTGCTTATTACAAAGAAAAGATTAAGTTGTTTTGTAATATTGTAAAATAACCTAAAAAAGTCTATTTGGGATTACAAAAATTCGAGCAAACATTACTTCGGGACAATGTATTTTCGGACTTCTGATTGATGACTTCAAACAGTAAAACGAATACAACAATATTTTGTTAGTTATTTATTACTAACATTTAATAAAAAGTCATTTTAAAAATAAGATTAACATTAAATCAACTCTATAGTTTCTTTGTTCTAAATCTGAATATTTCAATCGCTTGTGGTTCGAAAATTGAAATTAACGTAACGGGTCTCTTTCTGTATTTTGCGATGTCTTGTGTAGGATAAGGACAGTTAGCTATTTGGTTATTTTTATTGCTTTTGTAATTTATGTGTATTGTATGTATGTATTCGTATATATACTTTTTCTTTTTCTTTTTTTCTTACAGTACGGCATGACTTATGATAATTTATATTAAACAATTACAATTTATGTTCATTATTTATAATTTATTACCTTATTATTTAATATACAATATGGCTGAGTAATCAATTTGAATAAACTTCGTTACATAATCTGTCGATAAAAATAGGAGCTAAAAAACCGGGTCGCTTCTCTATATAACTTTAAGTTTTGTTTTTTGATGTAAAAAATAGGTATATGTATGATATGTAATTCGACCTCCTTGGCTAGACTGGATGCAGCAGAGATTTTTTTGCAAGTTTACATAGCGCAAGACGACATGTTTCGTGGAGTACTTGACGCGGTGAATGGAAATGAAAAAACATCAATTTGAAAGTAGTGTTTATTGTGCGATAATTGTTTTTCACCTCAGCAGCTCGAACAAGGCTATTTTGCTGTGTGAAATCAGTGAGCAAAATCTTATTTTGCTCACTCCGTGAGAAAAAGTAGCTTTTTGCTTTTTAAGTGGAGACTTGTCATTTAATGCGAAGGGGTCTAATACAAATTCGACTTTACGGTGCGGGAAGGGTCACAATCCAGCTCAACTCATAATGAAACCTCGACCACTACTCAAGTAGCAAACACTACGACGATTACTGTTCCAAATAAAACAGTAACTTTTAATCTACAGAATTGTACAAACTTCACGTTCCACTTTTAATTTTTTGTAAATTCTGTATTTTTGTAAATATACAATGATGCATTTGCTTTCATGACGTGTTTTTATTACTTGTCCCTTTAGTATATATATATGTTCTCGCTGCTGAGGTGAAAAGTTGTATGTACCACGCGAGAGCAAAGTTATTTTGCAGCTCGTATTTTTGAGTCCCTCGCTTCGCTCAAGATTCTAATTCTGAATCACTCGCTACGCTCGTGATTCAACTATAGAATCTTTCGCTTGCTCAGGACTCAAAAACAGCACTCGCACCAAAAAACGACTTTGCTCTCTTGTTGAACAAATAACTATTGTGCTTGTACCTTGACATAGGGAATTGCCTATTGATGACGCCTCTAGTCCTATATGCTCTGAGCAAATTTCAAAGTCTTCTATCATGAATACAAACTTTTTTGGCGACACATAAAAATTTGCTTTAATTCGCCTGACAATCGGCATGTTTGGGTCTCTATGTTATTTTTCGGCATTTTTCAATATGGCTGCCGTACAAATTGGCTATTGAATACAACAAAAACTTGCTTCGCTTGGGATGAAAATTGGCACGAAAAGATTCTAGGATTGCCTGACAGTAATTTGTGTAGATACTTATGTAGTATACGGTGACTCTATTACGAGTACAAAACCTCACAATGAGGTACTTATAGCTTTGTTGTATCTCGACTGTCTCTCTGTTAAGTTCCATGTCGAATCGTCAATAAATCAGCTGGTTATCATATCGTGTTCGTATGGAAATACGCTTATTAGAACGAGTCTTTTATTCCGAGTAAGATAAGTATAACAATGCTGGAGAATTAATAATACTGTTTTTTTTTTTTTTTTTTTTTTTATTGTGAATCGGCAAAATGACTGCACCGCGCCTGATGGAAAGTGCGAATACAGTCCAGAGATGAGAGTAACGGATGGAAAACACAAATATCTTCACTCCGTCACTATCATTTTGCCGGTCTGGCCAAATGCTTCTTCACACTACGTTTGAAGGACCCGATGTTATAGAGAGGAGGGAATACATGCGCCGGGAGTTGGTTCCACAATTTGATGGTTCGGCATAAGAACGAATTGCCAAACTTTTTAGTGCGGGACGGTATTGAACTGACCGTCCAACTGTGGCAACGCAGTCCGGCACGGTTGGTCCGCTGATGGAAAGGAGAGGAAGGGATAAGGTTGAATAACTCTTCAGAGCACTCACCGTGGTACAGGCGATAGAATACGCTAAGAGACGCTATATCTCTGCGAAGCTGTAACTGTGCTTATACATCGTCCATTGGCATCGCGCTAGTTTAAAATTCTAAAATTGAAAATAGCTCTTTAATGGCGGCCATGTTTTAAAATTGCAAAAATATTTTTTTACTGCAAATCAGTGAGCTTGCTGCAAATTATTATCAAACACCTATAGAGCCACCCTCAACACGCCAATTTTCAGTCAGGTTAGAGCAAATTTTTATCTGTCGCCATTGACCTACGAACACAAAAGGTCAATGTCTGTCGCCAAAAAAGTTCGTATGGCGGCCATATTTCCAAATGGCGAAATACTAGTTTTGATCACTTAGGGATATTTTGTAATTCACGCTAAATAAAACTTCAAAGGAAGATTGTAAACTCAGAACCATGAGCCTTCGAATTTATATTTTTCCAATTTTTCGATATTTTTCCGGAAATATTTTCAACATTTGAAATTATTCAGAAAATTACCCAACATAAAGGTATGGGTCGTATTCCAGAACTCTACTCACTGCTCAAGTCAGGATTTGAGTATGTTTTCAAGCACTGGAAATACGACCCTAAACGCAAGGACTTGAGTATAATTTCTAGTACTTTAAATCATACTCAAGTCCTGACTTGAACATTGAGTAGAGTTCACGACCATCAGAGTTCTTTTAACGTCAGTTTCACTTTTGAACGAAAGTTAAAATGTCACCGACCGACACGACACATGACTGTTTCATAGGCTGTTGTCAACTGTCGTGCTTTTAAGGATGGAAATGTTTATGTGATAATTAATGTCAAATAGACGTTCTTTATCAAGAAAATTGTTTGTTCTGAGAAATGACCGCAGAAACAATTGAGAATACAACGAAGTTATTTAAGTTTTCGTTTCCAACATGCACCAACGAGGATGTCCTGTTCAAACTCGAAGTCCCCGTTCTAATTCCGCACGACGGCTCTACGCGAGAGCTCGTGCAACGCGTTCTAAACATGTTCCACATTCCAGTTTATTTAGAAGAGGGTTTGAACTATTTATCATTATATTTACACATTAAACTTAACATAAACTCGTTTTACGTTAATTTGTTATATGCAGAGATCTTGGTTCTTGTAAGTAAAAATTAATAATATATTTAAAACATATCGAGTTCTTAGGTTTTCGCGATTGTTACACATAGGAAATGAAACTATTTTTCCGGATTTAAATCGCGTATATTTGTTTTTTCAAACAAACCGATTTAAATCCGGAAAAATAGTTTCATTTCCTATATTTAAAACAATTAAGTATTATAATATATAAATGTTCACCTCAAACCTAACGCCCACTATTGTGTTTGTTTAACTTAGTGCTTAACATAATTATGACTACTAACATAGTATTATCGCAAAATGGCTTTAATTTATATTAATATTAATATTTAATTTCAAAGCGACAGTGTTGTCCTATCACTTTGAAATTAAATCGCTTTCGACATATCAAAATAGCGAAATTTTGGAGATAAATAATTAATATAACACAACTATGAGATGAAATATAACGCATTTTATAGGATAATACTATATTAGTTGTCAAGTGCGATATGTACCACTACTTATTTTGTAAGAATTTGTTTAGTGACAAGCAATAGCATAGTGAGGCCAAAATATGATTTGCATTACAGAGTTGAACGAGAAACTAGCAGAATTTGTATCAAAGGAAACGAAAACATTCCACGATGAACGTGATGCGGCACTCATCAGCCAGCTTAAGAACAGTGAACTTAATGTTGATGGTATCGTCAAGAACTGGGAAAAGCTTTTCAAGGTAAATAACAATAATATAACCAACCCATAACCAAAGGCAATGTTGCTTACAGATAAGCAGCCAGTTGCCAGGCATGGCTGGCAACTATTCCCATGGGAACTGCAGACCTAACTTTAGGTGGAATGTTGTGTGAGATGGGAAGCGGAGGTGTTAGTTTTACTTTCACAGTTTAATGTCAGGATTTGCTCAAAAGTGTTAGAACAAATAATTATGTTTCCAGGACAATGTAGTAGAGTTTGCAGAACAGAAGGGCACTTCAGACGAGGAGGTGTTCGCTGCTGCATACCACAAGCTTGTGCACTCGCCAGCACTCGAGACCATACTGCAAGTGGAGAACTCTTATGCGAAGACTGTTATGAATACATTAAAAAACCGAGATGAGGATATTAAAAAGCTCACTCAAAGGTACTCAAACTTACTGTAGATTTTATTTACATTTCACAGAACAGGAACTGAGTTCTAAAATCAGAGGCAGTCAATATCTTAAAAATACAGTAACTAAAATATACTGCAGTTTAAAAGTCCATTAACTCAAATTATATAAATACACAAAAATATTAAAATATTTATTGTCTATAAAATGAATAAAGATTGTAGAAAACATTGTCAGTTAGTCATTTCCTTAAAGGAGCCTTGACTAGAATACTTTTCAAAAGTTTTAATTAATCAGCAGTCTGTTATAAATTCTGATTGCTGTTATGTAAGTGTGCATTACTGTATTTATTTATTTTTACAAATTTCATAATAATAATGTGCCAAGCACTGGTCTCAAACTAGGAAATCCCTTGAAATATGAGCACCAAAGCAAAATATTTATCTCCAGGGGCATTACTCAGAACACCCAGATCAGAAGCAATTTAGAAATTTTGAATTAAAATAATAAAATTTCATTTGTAAATCTGTTTTTCCGGGAATCGAACCTGGTACCTCCTTATTATTATCCTCCTGGTGGTCAAATTTAGGAAAGATAAATAAGAAACTAGCACATTAACTGCCTCCGTGGCCGAACGGTTACCACGCCGGACTGCCACGCAGAAGTCCCAGGTTCGATTCTGGGCCGGGAGAAATATTTGTATGGCCTGCAATTATTTCTCTCGTGAGTTTGGGTGTAATTTGTGGTTGTCTAATAGTGTGTCCATGGCACCCGCGACACAGGGTTTCCCTAGTGCGGGGCTATGTTGAGTGTGTGCGTTATTATTATTATTATTATAACATTATTTTTGTCTTATATGTAATTGCTCTGACTAAAAGCAGATGTGATGATGTTAAGTAGATGGAATTATTCACCATTAGGAACATCAGGAGTCCAATATATAATTAACTGGACTGTCAGCTCAGTTCTATTAACTGATTTGGTCACAGGCAAAAGAATGCATGTCGAAAACTAATAAATTAAAACAAAAACTCTTTGAAACAAGTCACTGCCGAAAGATACCTAAGAATAATGTGGGTTACGTTACAGAAGAAAAATGTGCACTCTTGACTACATGCGTAATGATTCGTTGTTAATATAACCAAAGACTAAATTATAAATTCACTTAAAGGTCCCGACTAAACATTTACTCAATGAATCAATTATTTATTTGCCTGTAGCTTTACAAAATTACAAACGCAATTCGTTTATATGGCGTGCGAGCAAAAACTTTAACAAACTTTCTGCCATTTACGATTTTGACTTATTTAACACTAGCTGTGCGTGTGTTAAGAAACATTAAACTAATTCATTTTTATGAATACAGTGAGTTGGCGGGTTTGAGTGGTGATACATTATTTGCATAGTGTGAAGAGTATGTGTGTGTGTGTGTTATGTTATATTTATATTGTTAATGTTATATTGTCTTACTGTTATCAATGCATCAAATATTATTGTATTTTTATCAGTGTTCCCTGCTGATAAAAATACAATAATATTTGAATTTATTTTATATAAACTCCTCATTCTTTCGTGACTTGAAATATAGGGATATCATCATCGTCATTTCAGCCGATACACGTCTATTGCTAAACATAGGCCTCGCCGAATATCGCCACAACGACCACCAACCAGCCTCATGCTACTTGCAAAATAGTATACATACACGGGTGTAAAGGCCGACTATCTTTAGCTAAGGCCTCATTGTATTGAAATCGATCTCCGCCAATAAAGTCGGGTACTCGTTAGCGAGCTGTAACGTAACAGATGCAGTAACGAGGTTCTAGTGTACGCGTGAAATAATTCTCACTCGCTAAAACGAATATCTGGTTATCGTCGGGTTACTGCGACTCGCACGCGTTCCGCGCGCGGCAAGCTCGCGATCCACGTTACACACTATGATTTTTGGTAACATAACATGCAACGGTTACTGCTACAGCTCGCTAGCGAGTACCTGCATTAATACAACGCTATTATTAGTTCTTCGAGAACTGTTAAGACAATAAAAATGTCAAGTTAGTCCTAATGCTGCCGCCTAATCGTCGGTGTTCTCGATCAGTATTCACCGACAACGCGCATCGAAACTGACACCCCAACTTCGGACCCGACGACTCAACTAGAATTTAGGGTTTTCACCCGCCGAAGGAGGAGATTTTACCGATCGGATCGGGTGCTCTCCAAAGTGAAGCTCGTGGATTTAAACTTGTTCAAGAATAAATGAGAAAAGAAATGTCCGTGTCGCACAGGCAAACGGAGGAAATGGAGGAGAAAGTGCGTCTCCTGAACACGTCCACGACCGAGGAGGAGATCAACGCGCTGGCGGCGGCGCACTTCGAGGCGCAGAGCGTGGTGGCGGGCCGCTGGGGCTCGCAGCTGGACGCGCTGGCGCAGGCGCAGCGCGCGCACCACCGCCGCTGGCTCATGGCCACGCTGGAGGAGTACCAGACCACGTCCGCGCTCAACACGCCCAGGTAGGTGCCGCCGCCCCCGCCCCCGCCGCCGCCCCCGCCGCCGCTCTCCGGTCACTGACGCCCGCAGCAACTCGCCGCTGGCCACGTTCTCGGCGGACTCGCCGCTGTACTCGCCGGCGCCGGCGCCGACGCCCGGCGGGCCGCGCCTGGAGGAGAGCTTCACCATCCACCTGGGCAGCCAGCTGAAGCAGACGCACAACATCCGCATCGTCGCCGCGGACCCGCTGGACCTGTGCCGCGTGGACAACCTGGACAAGTAAGCCCCGTCGCCGCCGCCGGCCCCCGGCCGGCCGCGGCGACTGACGCAACCGACGCGCGCGTGCGCAGCGGCACGGCGGCGTCGCGGCGCCTGCAGACGTCGCTGGCGCTGTACTCCAGCGAGCTGGCGGCCGTGGTGCTGCTGTGCGACAGCCCGCCGCCGCGCCTGGCGCCGCCCACCACGCTGCTGGCGGCCGCGGCGCAGGCCGCCACGGAGCACCACTTCGCCGACGTGGACGCGCAGCTGCGGCTGGTGGCCGAGCGGGTCAAGGGCCCGGTGAGTCTGGCCTCGTTCGGCGCGCTCGCCTCGGCCGTCCCGTCGGCACCGAAACGCGTCGCCGACGGGTTTACTGAACTTGCCGCGCGACGTGTCCGGCGCCGCCGTAATCGACTTTTGAAATCTCACTTTTTTTATAATAATGTTGTGACGGGACGGACGAGTCGCGCGCCCGATGGTAAGCTACACGCCTACCCGTAACGGTTGCAGTGCCACTCGGCGCTTTAAATCGCAAAGATCTGAGGCGCACTGCCCCTGCGCCCGTCACCCTGAGACGGAAGTTACCGAGTCCCATGTGCCTGTAATTTCTCCAGCATCCTTACCCTTCAAAATCGGTACACAGTGATGCTGACGTTACTGCTTGGCGACAGAAATAGATAAGGCAACAGTCGAACTCTTTCACGAGGAGCTCTACTGCTACTAATACTTCAAAACGAACAGTAGAAAAGCAATTTTTGCTTTTTTTTAAGTGATCACTTCGACATTGTAATTCACGCGCGATCACCTAGCGAATGAGAGCGAAACGACATATCGACGATTTGTGGCTTGTTCTGATGCTGCCACTTTTTGAGCTACAGTGTATCTACCAATATTTATGATCGTAGGAAGTAGTGGTTACTTTGTCATTATTTTAAGTACCTAGCACTTGAACCAGCTCAAGAGGTATTTTTTATTCCGCACATCGTTCCTTAGCAACAGTTTGTTAAATATTGTTGCAGAACATATAAGTACCATAGTTCATTTTACATGGTGTGGATACGGCGACATTTGACATTCTTAAGTTTCTCATAGAAATGTAGTGATGTAAAATGGAATGAAAAAAAATCGATTTAAATATCATATCGAAATAATTTGTAACGAGAAGTGAGAATCGATTTACAGACTATAGTTTAAGAACGAATAATAAACAAAATAAAAAGAATTCAATATATTATTAAGTTACTAAAAAACTACACAACTAATAAAATAATCAACAACAACCAAACCAAACCAAACAAAAAGGCTTGAAATCAACAGCAATGAAACGAAAGTTGAACAATTACTCCAAAAACATCACGCAAAGATCAAAATAAAAGGTGTATTTTATTTCAACTTATTGGAAGACCAATGGCTATCTCCAGAGTATAAAGTTAAATAAAAATGGAGAGCCAATTATAGGGCCTCACCGATAATCACAAATGAAATTGGTTATTGAGCATTTGAACCTCAGGGTCTTTGTAGGGGCTCTAAGAGAAATTTTGGATACGAGTTCCAGGGAGTCCACAACACCAGAAGCAATTTTTCGTAAAAATACTGGGTTTGCAATCTGACGTCGCACCTCCTGTGGCAAAAAACGATGTTTCATACACATATTAAGATACCGGTTTGATTTGTACCGCTCCCTAGTTTGAAAACAAAACCTAATAAATCTTCTTTGTACATTTTCAATTCGCGATATATAGGCAAGGTATTGGAGGCTCAGACCTGCGATGGTTGCGGACAAATGAGCAATTTAAAATTTTCAGTGTCTGGGCCTATCTGAAATCTCTGGAGTTACGCATCACAAATCCGAGAGCTTTGGGGGCTTTTCAAAAAATAAGCGTCGACATGTGAAGCAAATAGCACTCATGAAGCACACCCCGATCCTTTACGAGAGTATCACGATGTAATTTAGTACCTATTTTTCAATGAATAGTTGAAGTACAACTAAATTAGCTACTTTTACGGCAAAAAGTGACGACGCTGCACTTTAACAGATTAAGGTCAAGTTGGTTATCGGTACAGAAGCTGTGGAGCCTCACAAGGTCTTCTTGAAGCAGGATTGCATCAGACACTGAATAAATACGTGTATAATCTTCATATACAGTGAATGATTTTGTCAACTATATTCTTGGCAGCTTAGACGGTAAACATAAAGTACTTGCTATCTTCCTGGATCTATCAAGGGCTTTTGATACTGTGTCAATACCAGTTAATACCCCTACTTATTGATAAAATGGAACTTGAAATTAGAGACATACCACAAAAACTTTTTCAGAATTACCATAGTAACAGCTCTCAACGTACAAAAATTTATAACGGTTTGAATGATGATGTCAGCTATGGGGTTCCTCAAGGTAGCATAATTGGGCCTACCCTATTCTTAATCTATCTGAATGGTCAGTGCTAGTTTCAGATTCAAAATGGTAAGATTCTTGCATACGCCGATGACACCGCACTTTTGTTTCACGAAAAATCTTGGAAGGATACTTACAGTTGTGCCCGACATGGCTTTAATATAGTTTGCAAATGGCTACTAAATAACTAATTAACACTAAATGCCGATAAGTCAATGTACGTAACTTTTAATGTAAAAAATACAAAATCACCATATAAGTAACTCATTCCATATAGTAGCAAATTCATGTTCTCTTTCATTTCCTTGTAATTGCACAAACTGTATCATGACCTGTAAGGCTAGCACGATAGGGCGCGACTTACGCGAGAGAGACATAAAGCGCGAGATGTCTATGCGTCAATAGCAGTATCTCGCGATTTATGCGCGCAAATCTAGCCCTACTGGGCGGAGCTTGTAAGTACAACAAGCTAACAAAGAATTAACCTTAAAGTTTGTAACTCTCTACCTTTTAGATTTCCTACCTATGAATTGTATCAACAGTGGAATGTTCTGACGGTGCGACTATTATTTCTTTAATGAAAAAAATATCATTATAAAACAAAGCGCTGTTTTAACACGCAAATCTTAAGCGCGTAGAGACATCTTTTTTTTCTCTACCGATTGTGTCTCTACTCACTAAGAAAAACTCTACCGTAGACAAAGTTTTCTGTACGTAGCGATAAATGAATTGCGGCAACTAAAATTCTTTCATTCTCATAGACGTCACACTAAACCGAATAATTTTTAAAGACACAACTCCCAACTTCATTCATTTTCACGCCATGAAGTTTTTTTAGGGTTTATGACGCGCATTAAATCAATGAAAATAAAAGGTAACAATTTAATATTTGGTAATATCTTTGTTACGCAAATCATATTCATATTTTTGTTGAGTTGAAAGCGCATTTGGACGAAAAAGGAAATGGCAGAAAAAAAAAGCAAACCATCTTGTGTGTACTGTTTGTCTGTTGTTCTTTCAAATGTTCATGAACTTTGTCACCGAAATTTACGGGTCAAATTCTGGGTATAAACGCGTGTCTTCCTTTCCTTCACTTATTTTGAACTTACTTTATATACTGCAATTGTAACTTAAGAAAGAAAAGAAAGAAAGAAAGAAACATTTAACTTAACACTTAACAACTATTAACTGAATATAATTACAACTGAAACAACTATTGTTTATAACAAATTTACTATTTCTTTTTGTAATCTGCTTTAAAACGTCAGTACGCATTAGTCGCTCAGTATCGACCTTTTTGTTCTCGTTTCACCAGGTGGAGAAACGCAACTCGCAGAGGTTCAAAGAGCAGGCGGAGAACGCGAACAGAGGCAACGGCAGCGGCGTCGCGCCGCCTCGGCCCCGGTCCAAGCGGAATCTGCAGACCGGCGACGTCTTCGTGACGAAGCACAGCAACCTCGCCGACGTGCACGTCGTCTTCCACCTCATCGTCGACGACTCCTCGCTGCGCTCAGGTGCGCGCCCTCGCCGGCGCCGGGCCGCCGCCCGCGGACTGGGTCGCGCGACTCAAAGCCTTCTGCGGCGCAGGCGACATCACCTCGCGGCACCCCGCCATCCTGGGCCTGCGCAACATCCTGAAGGCGGCGTGCAGCAACGACGTGACCAGCATCTCGCTGCCGCTGCTGCTGCGCCACGAGCACTCCGAGGTGCGGGGCGGGGCGACGGGGGCGGGGCGGGGCGGGGCCGGCTCGTGACGCTGTCGCCTTGCAGGAGATGACGCTGGCGTGGTGCATGCGCCGCGCCGAGCTGGTGCTGAAGTGCGTGAAGGGCTTCGTGCTGGAGGCGGCGGGCTGGGGCGGCGCCGAGCTGCAGACGCTGCACTTCCTGCTGCCGCCCGACACGCGCGCCGACCTCTTCACGGCGCTGGCGCACCAGCTGCCCAACATCTTCCGCCTCTCCAACCCCGTCAAGGGCAAGCCGCCCTCCGCCGCGACTCGAGCCGACGAGGGAAGGTGAATCGAGTAAACGAACCTTTGCATTCCACCGTTTATTTATCAAATGTAAATCGATTCAATTATATTGACAATATTCGCTTTAAAATACCGACTACCTCTAGTGACAAACGTACTCTTTACGATTCGCTTCCTACACCTCGATCGCCGGCGTAGTGGGTTCGCAACGAGCGCCTCGGTTGAGCCGGCGATACTGTAAAATTTGTTGAAACCCGACACTTTTGCTGGCGACCGATGTATTATAAATTATCACGCGAGCCTGTCGGACAAAACCCAGGCGCGCATTCTTACCGCTATGGGCGCCTTCAAATTGGACACCTCGTAGAAGCGCTGCAGTGATTTTTACTGCACTTAATGTGACTGCAATCGGGCGCGGCTGTGGCGCCAGTGGTGCCACTGCAGCACTTCTCTAAGCGTCTTAATTTGATGGCGCCCTAACGCGGAACGGGCGCAACACTTTACTCTAAAGGATGTATTTTACGAAATAAATATAATGTATACATTGTCTATTTTTTTTAATCAAATATTTCCGTGATGAGCCCATCCCACGTTATCACTCGCCTGGTACGAACATCACTGCGGACGTAGATGTTCGGGGGGCGAGGGCACACCGAGTAAGTACAAAATACATCTGTAAATTATTAACACTAAAATGAATCTACACGGACTACACATAATAAAACTATATAAAAGTAATGCATTGAAATGTTTCTGACCGTAAAGACGCAATTACTACTATTTAAATAAACAAAATTACAATTAAAACACGATAAATCGAAAAACAAAGTAAACGAAACAGTCGGCTGTGTAGAAAGTTAATATGTAAACTATAATAACTTATGTCACAGAACTGTACTTCCTATAATGTAAAATGTTACTTGTGCTGGTCACAAATATCCATGTCAACAAAATAGTATTAATTGAAAAATTGATTTGGCTTACAAGATTTTTATGTATTAAAACGACAAAAACCAGATGGTCGTCTACCTGAAGAAAATCATATTGGAAAGCATATTATGGCATATTAGGAAATGGTACAATTGGGTGTTCCTTCGAGTCCGAAATTCTGTATTATCCGGTTCATCACTAGACTCGGTACAATTTATCTTGATTACAATGAAAGATAATCGCTTAAAATATTTGTAGTGACTTCACCACAAAATCCTCTTCTGCCTATCTGTTGTTTAATAGCACTGTTTCTCGCGACGCTGTTTGCCATAACTTCATCACTGTTTTTGGCATACTCAAAATAAACACTTTCTCAAAGGCATGATTAAAAAAAAAAAAATTTTATAATAAGTCTGTGTGTATTTACGTACTTTATTTTAGTTTATATACGCGACATACACGTCCGATACGGCTTCAGGATCTATTGAAAACCAGCGTCACAGCCTTATCTCAGCTATGTGGCTGTATTTATATATAACTGAGTGATTTTGCATACGCCACAGCCGAACACATGACAGTATTTAAAATTGCTATGTTTGTTTCGGTGTTTCTTTTTTCTCTTTATTTTAGTTTTTATTTTACTGTTATGTTTTTTTATTCTTTCGGTATATTTTTGTGTTGTGGCGTTGCAATAAATGTCTTCTATTCTAAAAGACAATTGATTCTTCCAGACGATAATTTCAGTTAGCGGTAACTTTATTAATATTACTTGAATTATTATTTTTTTAATTACTCGTGTTGTTTTGGGCTACAATGTGTTATTTGTGATGAATGTTTATCGTGTACTACTATACTATTTTCCCGGTTACGTTCTATGACAATTAAACTGAAAATCAACAAAGTAGTGATGTCACGCATATAATGTCGAATATGCGTGACATCACTACTTTGTTGATTCATGAGGCGGACCCTATTAATGAATTATTGAGTTGATTGCAGTTGCCACAATTAAAGTACGTCATATGTCAGTCGATATATTTTACCATCGATTATCGATTGCGCTGATCGTGTCCAATCAGTGGTTCATGAACTTTTGACATTTGACAATTTAGTGATCTCCGTTATTACTATTGAAATATACTCTGTACACAAACACAAAAGACGTAATCAATTTTAACGCACTGAAAGTAATTAATTCAGATTCAGGCGTTACTTCGCGAAACCAGTGAAGGTTAAGGTTTTTTTAACGCACTGAACTGTACTTGAAGAGCAAAATATATGTCCAACATTAAGTATTTTGAACATTTGTTTCTTTACCAACAACTAAAATAATCGTTTGGCTGAATGAAATCTCAATGAAAACATGCACAACAATGTAAAATCCAATTCACACATAATAAAATAATTTTTGTCAATATCTGATGTCAATGCTTATGCCTAAAATATGCAGCCATCTTAGATTACAAAACAATAGGCAGATGAAGACCGAACACGAGAGTGAAGCCACCAAAGCAAATACAAATTCGAAATATTTTTTTAATTTGATTATATAATTGTTTTTTGAGATTCACACGGAACACAAAACCTCGACATAAATTCGTATGTGTTGCCAGTTTATATCGAAATGGGTTTCCTTAGATTAAGTAAATATGCATTGGTCATAGGAGCGGTTTGTACTTTTGTATATAAATAAAATAATGCGTGGATAATACGTACGGGTGGTCTATCCACAGTGATCCAAAATTTTTTTATGTAGAGGACTTTGTAACGGCCCTTTTAAGATATTATAAATATTAGTTGCGCGAAAATAAATTGTTTATATATTATGATTTTCTATTCTTGTCACCAAAACTACTCTAGTTTTTAGAGCAAAAAACGTAGGCCAAATATTCTCGACCCGGGAATCGAAGCCGGGACCTCTGCGGGGCAGCGTGGTAGTCCAGAATAGTGACCGTTCTGCCACCGAGGCAGAATGAATGTAGTCATGAATTGAAACTTGGTGTATTATCATAATCGTTATTCGAATAATGTTAACTTAATTTCTCAAAAAAAAACAGTAGTTCAACTCTGATTTACCTAAATTATTCTTAAACAATCCTCTAATAGCCATAATGTACACAAAAGATAATGTTCAAAAACAGCTAAAATGTTCACCCTACAGATACAGAGAATTTTCATTGTTATGTGCACGCGTCATAAACAAAGTGATTTTGAACGAAAACGTGTCAATACAATGAAAAAATGATCACGTGTGTACAGATTCTACCGAGTTTATTGGGAATTAAAAAAATGTTGGTAAAATAGACGATCATCAGTACTATGGAATTGATCACAAAGTTAATTTAATAAAAAATTTAATAGAAAAGTATTTGATGGTCCGATTGCACTAACAGCAAAATTAAAAACGAATGCTCGATGTATAGACGCGAAACGGCAGTATTACAAATAAAATTGTACAAAATAAAACCTATAATGCAAAATAACATTTCCAGTTTGTAACATTTACTGTTATAGAAAGCAACAGAAACATTGTACGGGAGTTTTTTCCATCCAGCTGGCAATCTTACACGCACGCAGATGCTCATGTCTCTACAGTACCCTTCCTACAATACCCTTCCTAGTTGTCACGCACACAATAAATGAACGGCAGCTCCATCTGCCTATTGTTTTGCAATCTGCGGCAGCCATTCTAACAATTTCACTCGCAAGTCAGTGCGCAGCAATGACTCGTTCAATTAAATTCTGTATTATGAAAGCACCTTATGTCTAAAAACCTCTACTATAATCTATTGTTACTTTAGGTTTCTAAAATGCATTATTGTGCGACCTGTTTCATACAACCTAAAAAAGCGGTCACTGCGGAACGTACATCGTTGTCCATATACAGTAAACGTTTACGGACCAACAACAAGCTTTCTCATACATTTTTGAATATTTAAGCGGTCTTATTTTCTTGTCTATTAAGATGCTTTTGTCTGCAACTCAACGCCACGTATACTAAAAGTAATAACCAATAAAAGTAATCTACTCAGTTCTAAAGGAACGCAACTAAATACTACGAATAATAAGTAAATTATGAATTAATACGCCATCTTTCCGCAACATAGGTCGGCGTCACTGCGCTGCGGCTGCAAAAGAAGATATATATGTATAAGATGCGTGTTTTGGTCAATATTCTGGTATTAATGGGAGCAATCTAGAATATATACAATAGCTGTTACTCAAATTCAAAATATCATTATTTCATAAGGAAGCAATTACATTTGGAACGTCAACAACTGATTAGACTCTACTATTAGCAAGGCAGATTCCCCTGAGAACAATGAGTAAGAATATAGGAGTTACGTGCTATAATACATATACATATGTTCACAATATTTCTCATTTACAATATTTATTTTAAAATATCATAGGTAAAAACAACCTTAAACAGCTAGACAATCCACTTCCAGGAACATACAGTGACGTGATATGACCAGTATTAACCAGTATGAAGACGATGATAACGAATACATAATTATGGGCCCAACAGATTTAAGAGTTTATGCCCTGACAGATGCGGGATCAAATACGACCACCAAAGACCGAAAAGAAGTGGAGTTTTAGAACAATATAAGCAATATTTTGAATAAATGAACAAAACGAACAACAAAATTAACGAATTATTTTAATGGGTAGTGGCAGTAAGCACGATATATATGAAAATGTAAGAACTCCATATGAAAATGTAGTTGGAAGGTTTGACGATGACAGAATTAATAATAATGGTCTATTTGAAGCATGTTTGAAGTAGAACCTTTTGGGGACAAACACTATGATTGAACTAAATACACTTTTTACACTAAATACACCTTGACTTCAAGAAAACGAACACAAAACATAAAAAATTCAGTACCGCTACAATCACCCCCACCGAAGAAAAGTAGTGTTAGCCCATCCATAAATTCAGAAATAACAATATACTATTATTTAATATACGTAATAACAAATATTTGAACACAGCCACCTTAAATTATGACTTAGAAAGATTCACTAGAAATTATATAAATTGTACATTAATTAATATTAAAGATCAAACGTCCTGGAACTCTATTGTATTCAAACTAAATGTAGAGATCGACTTTTTAAATTACAGGAGAGAGTTCTTTGAGAGTGGCATTAAATTGCGTAAGTTACACAACTCTAAGCCTTCAGCTAACGGTAGTAATTTTTTTCGCCCGTAACGTAGACATTCAGAAACCGACTTGTTATCATCTTTGTAATAATACAATAATATTCATGAACATTCGACATCTAAAACTCATAATGACAATTTTATTATTTTTAATCAGAATATACAAGGTCTTTGTAGTAAATTAGATCTTTTAGAGGTCACTTTTAAAGAATTATATGACGACGGCAATGAGGTTGACATAATATGCTTTAGTGAAACATTTGTAAAAAGAGGTTCGGAAACTAACATAATACTTAGTAATTATAAATTAGCGGCAAATTATTGTCGCGAAAACAGTAAAGGGCACATGCATTTTAATACAAAGTATTTTAGACTTCAAACCCCTACCTATCGTTTCGAAACTATACTTTGAATGTTGTGGTGTGGAAATTGTAGTTATTGGTCTCATTGTAGTTAATATATATAGCATTCCGGATCATACACAAACTTTCGTGGGATTATTCCTGCATAAACTAAACACTTTACTCCACCATCTGTCCGTCAAATTCAAATATAAAAAAATCGTTATTTGCGGTGATTGGAATATAAACATATTACAGGAAATTACAGCTACCAAAGATCTTCAGAGCATTCTTCAAAACTATAACTTTAACATTCACATAAAATCACCAACTAGATTAAACTCGTGTATCGACTTAATCGCCAGTAACATAAAATTAGTAAAAGCAGACGTTCACATTCTGGCTCTTTCTGACCATGAAACTGCACAAACGTTGACTTTGAGCATAGGGAGGCAAAAAGCTGTCACCACTTGGTACGAACAGCGGCGAGACTATAGAAATGAAAAAATTCAGAAGTTCTGTGAATGCGTTTCAGCTCTTTCTTTTTCCGGTATCTTAGGCTTAGACAATGTAATTCAGGCTTTCAACAACTTTTATGATTTAATACGACTATTTTATGAACTATGTTTCCCAATTCTCAGAGTTAAAATTAACAATAGCCAAAAAAGCTGCTCTGGCTAACAAAAGAACTTAAAAAATGCTACAAAACAAAACGATTACTATATTTGAAATACAGAGCATCAAATATTAATAACAGTTAAATACAAATAAATTTAAAATGTATAACAGTATCCTAAGAAAATGTATGTTAATATCTCAGCAAATCAATAATAATCTTTATATCCACAATAATAAAAACAAATGTAAAGCGACATGGAATACCATTTCATCTACAATTACTAACAATACCTGTAAAAATGACATAAAACATATACGACATAACAATATGACATACTCAAACCCAGATGACATTTGTAATATTTTTAACAATTATTTTATAGATTTGACAAATAAAAATAACCTAACCCAACTTAACTTGACTAAAAACTGCATGACATATCCATCTAATTCATTGAATAAAAATTCCCATACAATATTTTTGGAACCGATAAATGAGAAGAAAACTTATAACATAATTATGTCTTTAAAAAACACCAAATCCAGTGGCTATGACGGTATAACAACTAAAATACTTAAAATGTGTGCCTCTTATATCTGTCATCCGCTTGCACATATTATAAATTTATCGTTTAGTGATGGTCTTTTTCCAGAACAGCTAAAAACTTCTGTTGTCAAACCCCTATATAAAAAAGGCGATAAGGAAAGCTGAAGTAACTATAGACCAATTACTTTAATCCCGACTCTATCCAAATTATTTGAAAGGGCTCTGCATTCCAGAATAAATGCATTTTTAGAGAAACATAAAGTAATATATCACTCTCAATTCGGATTTAGAAAAGGTAGTTCTACAACTATTGCATGTTTTGAGTTTTTGCGCATTGGAACGGAAAGTATAAACGTCTCTACTCCTATAATGTGAGTCTTTTTTAGATATGACTAAAGCCTTCGACTTTGTAAATCACTCAAAACTACTTTACAAGCTAGAAGCATACGGCATTAGAGGAACAGCCCAAAATTGGATAGCGAGCTACTTAAAAAAACGGACACAGTATACTGAAATAAGTAGATTAACAAAAAACAAATACAATAATAGATTAGAAAAACAAATTTTTAGATCACAACTTAAGACGACTAATGCTGGAATACCGCAAAGTAGCGTCTTGGGTCCGTTACTGTTCCTACTCTACATTAACGATCTCCCACATGCTATTGATCATAATTGTATACAATTTGCTGACGATACAACTCTTATAATAAAATGCCAAAACAAAGCGACTTTTAACACTGACGTAAATAAAGCACTGACAGACGTAATAAGTTGGATGGACATCAATGACTTGAATATTAATATGAGTAAAACCAAAGTTATGACATTTAGATCTTACAACTCAAATCCCATACCGGTTAAAATTAATTACAACTCTGATACTGTAGATGAAGTTTTTAACTTTCTTGGGTTAACAATCGACAAGAATCTTAACTGGAAGGAACACATTGAACAGATGTGCATGAACCTAAACAGATTTGTTTACGCTTTACGAAGACTAAGGCAAACTGTCTCGCGAGAAGCTGCGTTGACGGCCTATCACGGCTACGTTTCGTCCGTGCTCAGCTACGGTCTTGTGCTATGGGGTAACTCAGTAATCTTAGAAAGAGCGTTTAAAGTCCAGAAGAAGTGTATTCGAGCAATTTGCGGTGCGTGGTTCTATGACAGTTGCAAACCGCTGTTTAAAAGGCTGAACATATTACCTTTGCCATGCATGTACATTAGGGATATCTGCGTATTTGTCAACTCTCATCCTCAATATTTTAAAACACGCGGTGAAGTCATTCAAAGGCAAACTAGAGCAAAAATTATGAACCTCTTATACCAACCTCGTTGCCATAAAGTAATTTATAAGAATAACTGCTTCAACATGTGTATACTTATTTACAATAAATTACCAAACGAAGTTAAATTGTTACAAGGACATACTTTTAAATTAAAATTGACAAAATGTTCTATAGTAATAAAGAATACTTATAATTTACAAATTCATTACATTAATAGAAACTACAGAGACTAAAGAAACGTTGAATCCCATTAATATTTGCACATCTGCTTGCAGGTTGAATACAATGTACCTAATTTTACTTAAGACCTTTGTAATTACTGTATTCAGGCAAATAAACGTATTCTATTCTTCTATTCTACACGAATTCAAATATGTATTAAATTAATGAAACTTACCATTTAATAGTTTGTACTTGTGTATTGAGCGCTGTGCACTGCCGTTATCTACGGCGGATGTGCGAGCTGGCTGCTCGCCCTGAGAAAATGAAACACTACAATGATGAATCGGTAACGCTCGAATGAAGCGCCTTCCCGATGTCGATGTAAGCTGTAAATGTACCTTTAGCTGGCGTCGCGGCTGGTCGGCTCCTGGCCGGCGCCGCCGCGCCGCGCTTTCCAGCGCGCGCCGGACTGGTCGCCACCTGCGAACACACCATTCAATAAGTGCACACTGACGACTACAAGTAACCCATTGCTCAACAAATGATAATGAATCCCACCTTGTTCCCTTTCACAGGCTCGGTCGCCTTTGGCTTCATTTTTATAGCTTCCTTTTCCGCTTTCTTAGTTGTCTTGTTCTGAACAGTCTTGCTGTCTTTAAGCTTCTCGTTCTTCAATGTTTCCTTCTTATTGTCCTTAGTCGATCGTTTCTGTCGTGCCGGAGCACTCGGGTTAGTCACGTCTGTGGTCTTCCTGCCTCTAGTGACTTTCGTATCACTTTTCGCGACTTTAGCCGGCACAACTTGTTGTTCGTCCTCACTTTTCCTTTTGCGCCCTTTTCTTGTTTCTGATACTAAGCTAGTTCCCTCCGCTTTGGTCCGCGGATTTCTTTTGCCAGGTGCCGCTTGAGTACTTTCTTGCACTGCAACCTTTTTGCCTTGCGGCTTCGTTACAGTTTTGACCGGTTGTATTACATTACTCCTTGCAATACGCCCTCTTTTAGGGTATGTGTCAACCGATGTAGACTTCACTGTAGTCTTCGGTTTTCCTTCTGACTTTTCAGCTATTTTTCGACTACGTTTGTTTGGTGGCTCCTCTACAATTACGCTCTTGTTTGCAGTTCTACGCCCCCTCTTCTTGGGTGGGTCTGGTTTACTTTCTTGCTCAACTTTAGAGCGTACTTTATTTTGCACTGGGAAAGTATTTTGTTCTGATTTATCAGCATTTCTACGCCCCCTCTTCATTGGTAAGTCTGGTTTGCTTTCTTGCTCGACTACAGAGCGTCCTCTACTTTGATTTGAAGAAGTATTTTGTTTAGGTTTACCCGTATTTCTGCGCTCTCTCTTCGTAGTTCTAGACTGAGATTTCTTTGGAGATTCTTTTGGCGGACGTTGAATGTGCGCTCGAGTTTTCACGTGAGGGTTCATTTTTGGCGAAGGCGTCACAACTACCAATTTAGCGCGAGTTGTTTTCACTGCTTTTTGGGAGGCTAACTTTATTTCAGATTTTGTTCTCAGAGTTGACACTACACGTTTAGATTTTTCTGTTATTGGAGAAATCTGTTTTTTGGCTTTGCGTGTGCTTGTCGCAGCATGAGGACTCATTACAGGAGGTTTCTTGCCAACCACCAGTGACGTTCGACGTTTCTTTGTATTGGAAACTGTTTTATCTTCGGTTTTATTCCTTCGACTTCGTGTACCTTTAACAGGACTCTCGACAGTCAAATTACCTTGACGAGTCTTTTTAGGCAACGCCTGATTTTCTTGTGTTTTTGCTTGGGTCCCTTTTGGTTTCAGCGATTTCTTTTCCGCGAATGGAACTTGCTGTTGAGCATTTCTAGTTCGCTTGGGTGTTAATGCTGCTTCTACTGGTCGATTCTCAATAATAACCTGATCAATTTTCCGTTTGCGTCCCTTACCAGTTTGAGTTACAGAAACACTATTTTCTGCCTTAGCTCGACGGCTCGATCGGCTTTGAGTTTCCTGGGTTATTTCTCTTTTACTTTGATTTACCATGTTACTAGATTTAGTTCCTTTCCTGCTTTTTGTAATTGGCGAAGGCCTCGTTTTACTTTGATAATCAGCTTTGTTCGTGTTTAATCTAGCTCGTGTCCCCCTCGTGAGTCGAGATTCGGTGGCAGGCTCAACTTCTGTAGTTACTTTCCCTTTGGTGACTCTTTTACTTGTTTGTTTAGGTGTTTCTTTGACTTCATTGGCCTGTTTTCTAGCCCCTATGTTTCCACCTCTTTTTGGTGATTTTGAAGATACATTATAAATTTCAACATTTACCTCTTGTACATCATTAGTTAATTCAGTGACTTGTTGCATTTTGCGTTTCGGCGATTCTTTAACTTGTTGCCGTCTGGAAAAAATAAACCCACTTAAAAGGATGAACTGATATGAAAACATTTAAGTGTCATTATTGTACAATGAAATCATTTATTTCGTTACATACTTACACTTTAAATACCATAATAAAATAAAATAAATTTTATTGTGGGCAGAGGAAAAAAAAAGCGTCTTGTATACATGTAATATGCTTACCTGTTATTCTCTAAGTTTTGAGTTTTATCGACAGCAACTATGGGTGACACGCGGCCCAACTCCGACGCATTCATAGTCATATTGTATCGCCCCTTCACGGGAGTGGAATGTACCACAGCTCTCTTTTTTATTGGCAGTTTATTAGATTTGTCTAATTTCGCACTTAGTTCCAAAGGAGTCTCTAGCAGAGACCTCTTTTTGATAGGCAATGTGTGGGAACTGTATATCTGAGACGCAGACTTCTTTCTCCCTAAAGCTTCTATGTGACTTTGTTGTAAAGTACTGTTTCGCACTCTAGTAGTTCGCAACGGTTCATTCCCTTCAGTCGTATCTATCGCTAATTTCTGTAATTCCTTTGCGACTTTGGATTTGATACTGTCATCTTTATGGACTCTCTTTTTTAATTCCTCTTCTAACCACTGCTCTACATTATTAGTAATTAAGTCTATAGACTGGTGCAGAGATTTAGTTTGTTTTGCTCTGCTTGGTTTCGGTCTGTGATTTTTTATGAAAGATTTGGAATAGACTGCTTTAATCGGCGGTTTTCCGATCAGCTGATCAAATAAGCTTTCTGCGTCTCGACGGGACGCGTTGGACTCGTTAAAAAGTTCTTCTACTCCGCTCAAATCACTGTAGTCGGCCTGCTGTTTCTCTTGTCTGAACATTCGTCTCACTCCTCGCACATCCGTTAGGTCATTTTTTGGCGAGTTCGTGTTTTGTAACGTCTTTTTTACAGCAGAAACGTTTCTTAAATCATTAGCAGCATTCCTCCTCGTAAATAAATTTCGTACACCTCTTACATCACTCAAATCATTCTTAGGCTGTTTTGTCTTTTTTGGAGATTGAAAAAGAGTCTTAACTCCAGATACCCTCCTTAGATCATTTTTAGGTGACGCCTCGAAAACTTTCTTCACACGGACGTCACTTAAACGGTTTCTAGGAGATCTGGCGAATATATTTTTGATCCCACTAATATTAGTCAAATCATTCTTGACAGACTTCCTTGTTCGAGGAGTACGTAACAATTTTTTAACTCCTTTTACATTACGCAAGTCATTGTTAGGAGTATTTACTCTGAATAAAAGTTTGACTCCACGTAAGTTAGGACTGCTTCCTGGTGTACTTAAAGGACTGACGAACATCTCGGGGGTAATCTGCCCGGTTTCGTCCAGAGCAGAATTATTAGGCGTTCTGCCCGTTAACGCTACTGTGTTGCGCTTCGGTCGTCTTGCCGCTGCGTCATCATTATCAAAGAGTTGCTTCCTAGAAAATTCAGTCATGCTCTGAGAGAGCTTTCTCTTTACAGGGCTGTTAAATAATTGTTTAACAATGTCAGATTCATTTAGAGTATCGATTATTGAACGTTTCGACTTCGGTTTTTTCGCAGTCGAATGCTTGTTTTTCACTGCTTCTTGAATCAATTTTACAGCGCTCTTTGGAGTAACAATTTCATCGTCAGTCTGTGAAATGCAATTATCAGTCTTAGAAGCATTTGGGGATTCTTTTCTCAGTCTTATAGTTCTTAAAGATTTCTGAATAGCGACGTTAAATGATTTTGACCTGCCGACGCTGCTTCGAGTCTTTTTACTTCCCGAAAGAACAGCTCCAGTAGTTTTTCTTTTGGTAGTACTTGAATTTCGCGCTTTCTTTGGAGATGAGTACGATGACCTAGAGCTTTGACTGGAATCTAGTAAGCTCCTGATGCTTAGCATAGGAGTACCCACCTCTTCTGGACTGTTCCTGTTCTCGGGAGTGACTGTTCCTTCACCTTGAGAGCTATTAGCTAATGTAGGGTTTATCGTAACATTTTTACGAAAGCTGCTGCGTTTATTATTAGAGCTGAGATTACGTCGACTGGTACGTAGATTGCTTCGGGTGCTTAATCTAACAAAAGAATCGTTTCGAGGGCTTTTAATCGTAACATTAGTGCTATTTTGGGATGAATTCACTTTGCTGGACTGTCTAGATGACTTGGGCGACTCTTTCTCTTCAGAATCTGTAGTGGCCAATGATACAAGCTGAAGATCACTGTCGCTTATTCGAGACCTGCTCTTAGACGCACGTAATATTTTAGTAGTATTTATAGAGATGTGCTTCTGTGTGCTTTCAGGCGTTAAAAGCGATTGCGATCGCCGTGATCCAGAACCTTTTGCGAGTCGGTTTGGAGAACTTTTGCTGCTGGATGGTCCAGGAGTCGAGCGACTCCTCGAGGACACTCTTGTCTGCCTGACGTACGGCGTGCTGGAGCCGAGCAATGTGGGTTCGATGGTGGAGCGGGACTTCCTTCCAGCACCGTTCTGAGGCGTTCCGAAAACTATGGAACTACTTCGCGTTGATCTGACAGAATCATAAACCGAAGCCGATTTGGTGGATTCGTTGGAATCGACAGAAACCAAATCGACAATGGAATAGGACTCCATATTATTCTGATCCGATGCCCGTGGGCTGAGCGTGCGTGTTTTGAATGCAGATTCAACAGTTTTATCGAAGCTTTGATCTGAGATGGTTTTGGTCGTTCTACGCGAGTATCTACTACCGTTTTTAATGTCAGTTACAGAACTAGCTTCCAGAGCTTTTTGCACAATGAAGTTTCCTCTCAATGATTTTCTCGCTTGCGGGGAGTCAGGCGTCAAAGTTTTTCCCTGAGACACGGGAGATTCCCTTATAGGCGAACCCACTTGTTCGAGAATTCTACTTGCTCGTGAGTGTATAGATCTCCGTGATGATGGGGAACTCGGTGCCAACGTATTAGAGAAACGTAGTGTCATGTCATCACCAGCTGAGGTTTTATTCGCAGACGCGTCCGTCACTAATACAATTTCAGATTCATCATCCTCCGCATGATTTTCGAGATTGCTCAGATCGAACTTTATGGACTCCGTTTTCCTTACACTCTTTACACTTGGGTCTTTCAATGCAGATTTTCGTGGGCTCGGTAGAAGCGGGGAGCCAAGAGGGCTAGTTTTCAGCACAGTGGAAATCCTGCTTCCTCGCAACGAGGAGTTTTGCACTTCGGTGTCGGTTATTTCTAAAACTGAAAGCTGCAAAAAAACACAGATGGATTAACTAAGTAAAGTCGTTTCCGTAGCAGTGAACCTTTCGAGTGCGTAAGGAATTAGTTACCGATTGCCCAACAACGGTTCTCCTACTAGACCTTCGCGAGGCGCCCGGGGAGACTGAAGTCGCGCCTCGCTTTGGGGTTCGACTGGACGACGATTCGCGTCCCAGAGGCGTCGGCCGCGCCAAGGGGCTGGGTTTCTTCAGCACCAATGACGGAGTTCTGCCACCGCTGCCGCCCTGAGGGGAACCCGATAGCTTGGCTCGCGGCGTGTGACCCGCCATAAGCATTATGGCCGCTTGTTTAGTTAAGTCTGCAACAGAACAGAATATTAGCAATCTTCGTTGCGGTACGTTAGTCCGGAAAGGCGAGAGCGCGGTCGCGGCAGCGGGACGCATTACCCATCTTGGCCGGTGCCTGGATCTTGGTGACGGGCTTCCTGGCGCTGTGCGCTTTGCGCAGGACGGACAGGCGCAGCGGCGGCGTCTTGCGCGACTCGATCCACAAGCTGGCCTTGGTGGTGGCTTGCAGCGCGCCCTTGCGCTGACTCGCCGTCGACCGCGGGGATCCCGCGGCGGATCGCGGGCTCGGCTCTGGACAGTCGTTTTCGCATTTCGTACGACATGCTAAATATCACCCAAATCATTATTCATCACACTTGCTCGTAAATAGTATGATTGACACATAGGACAGGTTCAAGTTCAAACAAGGAGGTAACTTAGGTTCAAAAATGAAAACATTCGCTTAAAATGTTATCTAAACAGAAATTTCATTGCAATTCAGCTACATACTACTTAAATACTTATTATTAAAAATTTCTTATTTATTTTAATTATTTTCTGTATAAAAAGAACAATGGCAAACTACCATATAAACTTTTGTTGACATAATTTGTATGGTCTGTTTATGAAAAATATGTGAAAACATGGAGTTGAAATTCCTGAACAAATTTTATTTTGGGTCTACTATTCTGAGAAGTCAGGAATTAAAGATATTCCAGTATGAAGTTTTGGGAGGTTATGTGTTACGTAATTAATTAAAATATATTCGGTGTATTATTATATCAAAATAAACTACAGAAGCCTTAAACAGAATTAATAGAAGCTGAATGGTGCCGTGGGTTTGGGACGTGAGAAAAGGATTTTTTTTTGGATACTGGCACGAAGTTAAGCCATAGTAAAAAAAACTGAGTTAATTAATAACATACCACCATTGACTTACAAATAAATGGACGACGGGTCTAATACAAAAACCACGAAAAAAATGTCCCAAGTCAACCTATTCGAAATTTAAATTGTAATGTCATCGAAGTATCGCGCTGTCAGTCGAACAAATGAAGACTACAGCGGAGTTTGGCGCTCTGTATACGATTTTAGCGCCTTACAAGTGCGGACACTTTTAGCGCGGACCCGACGTCCATATAATTGTAGGTCAATGCATACCACACACTATTGCACTGGTAACTCGGATACAAATTATTTTTTTGTGAAAATCTATCCCCTATTTTGGGAACATTTTTGTCATTTTACCGTTTTCAAGAAATTATAGACTTTATTTTTTGTAATGAAGTAGTTAATCTTTCATTAGCTTATTACAAATCAGTTGAATCAGTACATATGTTATTACGTGAACTAAATGTGGACGTAGATACTAAAATTCGTTTTTTTTTTGCGGCTAGATGTCGCTCAACGTTAAGAAACTAAGAGACTGATAGTTGTAGATATCAGTCCGGTTACATACTAACTAGTCATCAGTTTCTTTTAGGCTCAACTCACACTAGCGCAGAGTCGAAGCGTCATATAGCATATTCATCTCTATTTTCCCGTTATGAAGGTACAAATTTGTATTATGCAAATATGGAGTCGACCCTGGTTATAAGTCGAGCGGTATCGCGCGTCGTCGTACGTTCCTTGCGCGCAGTGAGGCGTCAGACGCCGACCACACTGTGATCCGGGCACGCCAATGCAAGCGGCGTCGCGCGTCGCCATGCGTTGTAGTTGTAAAACAGGCCGCGACGCTACACTTCGACTCTGCGCCAGTGTGAATTGAGCCATACATATGATTTTATTTCCAGACTTCGATAGCCCGCTAGTATAATTTGGAAAACCTAATGAATTTGTAATTAAGACAATATTTGAAAACGCTAACAAATTGTTTGAACTATAATCATAGTGCCATTGTTATTTACCAAATTTTTTTTACAATCCATCGTATTTTTCATAGTCAATACGGGTTTACTAGTGGTAAATCGACTAGCGATGCGAGGTTAGCGTTACTAAAACACGTCCTTGATGCTTGGGAAAGGTCCCAGAACGCTATTGGTGTTTTCTGTGACCTCTCAAAGCCATTTCATTGCGTTGACCATATTACTCTTGTTAGGAAGCTGGAATATTATGATGTTAATGGCAAGGCGTCGGAACTTGCCTCGTCATATCACAACGTTAGAAAGTAGACATAAATGGAGTTACTTTTTTGGGTACTTAGGTAAAAATGGGTGTTCCGCAGGGCTCAATACTTGGACCTTCCTTATTTCTCATTTATATTAATGATCTGTCATTCGTTGTTGTAAGGACCATTACGAAACAGTATTGTTTGCAACGACACATCCTTGATTTTTAAAACATACAAACATGACGTTAACTATGACTACATTAATGATACTCTAAGGTAGTTTATTGGTTTAATGCTAACAATTTATTGCTTAATGCCAAGAAGACAAAGTGTGTTAAAGTTGAATTACCTAACGTAAAGTCGACTAGTCCAGGCATAGCAATAAACGGAGAAAAGTTAGACCTTGTTAATAAAGCAGCTTCTTGGGCGTGACCTTATATAGTAAACTTCAATGGTTTCCACATAATATATCTTCCCTGGCCAACAGATGAAGCTCCGCTGGCGCAGTCCGCTGCAAACGCAGTCCGCAAAATACGTGAGCTTACCGATGTTAGTACTGCTAGACTAGTTTACTTTAGTTTAGTAGAAAAATTTAAGGAGACTGGTATCATGACTGTGGCATCACAGTACATTTACTCACATATTTATATACCCATAAAAATATATTAAGATTATCATTTCTTAAGTTTAAAAACTACATTAAAAATATTTTGATTGAAAAGTCATATCACAATATTGAAGACTACGTGTTAGATAAAGATGTATGGAAAGACGACATGGCTCTAGATTCCACACAAATTTGATTCAAAGTGTATTCCATAGCATTTAAGTTTATTGGAAAAGAGTAATCCCTAGAGTTTCTTGCTCGTCCTTCTCAGGGAAGTCAGTGTAGTGAACGAACAGTAGATTCAATGTGACGTTTTCAAGTGTAAATTTATTTTACCTATGGAATAAATGATTCTTTGACTTTGGCCATCATAGCTGAATGCGTCTTTGCTTTTTACCTGTTCGAGTTGTATTTTCTATGGAAGAATAGCTAGCTAGCTGGACATGTTGATAAAAAAAAATACCCGCCATTTGCAAGATCCATAGATGTGTTGTGATTGTGAACCATGTTTATTAGTACAAGAAATAAACTAAAAAAAAAATTGTATTTATTTCCTCGCAAATGTGATGAAAAACATTGTATGTATCACGGACGGCAAATAAATTGAAAACTGGAGTTATTGCAACCCTCAACTTCGGCTCCGGCTTCTAATAGAGGGTCGTTAGTGATTTCTTATTAACCGTCCTTAATACACAATGTACTATTAAGGCCACGGACAACGGAACTCACCGATGTGCTCGTTGGTGTCTCTCCTTTGAGGTTGCACGATGGCGACTTGCTTTCCGCCAGCGTTAGCTACGGAACGACAAAAGTATTAGTTTACTTGCCACCGGTCCGAAGCGGACCGAGCAGGGACGGACGCTACCGGGCATGGAGGCGCGGTGCCTCATCTCGAGCTCCAGCTGCAGGCCGCGCTCCCGAGCGGCGGCCGGCGCCGCGGCCGACGCGCGTCTGCGGCCGGCCTTGGGGCGCGCGCGCGGCGCGGGCCGCGGCACCGCTGTGGACATCCCGTGCACTTCATTCGAACACCAAAGTGACCCAATGCAAAACACGAACGTCAAGACAATGTAGCGTTCGTTCAATAGCTATGACTGCACAGAAGTATCTTGACTCAGAAAACTCATTTGTTTGTGCAACAACAAACCTGTATAACTAGTGAATTTCATAAACTTTGCAGAACTCGTTATGTGCAATATAGCGTAACTTACCAGGTTGCGTATGGAGGGCTCGTACAGCGTCGGGGCGGTCGTAGAGCCAGCGCAGCGAGCGCCCTCCCAGCGACAGCACGTCACCGTGCGCTAACGCCGCCACGCTCACTGGCTGTCCGTTCACCAACGTCTCTCCATCTGACACGTTGCGCACTACACTCTGCAAATGCAAATTTTTTACAAATGTTATTGACTACATTTGCATTCCAAAAGTAGAATTCATTTTATGATTTTATATATGTACTAATAAATAAATAGTGGACTTTGCTCCCTGACCTTTTAAAATTACAATATCGACTGTGTACTGGCAACCGGTACTATCTCAATTTTGACAACTTTACAGGATGAAGACAGAATCATTTATATAGCATCTGGTTTATTAAATAAAAATACGTAGTGTGCATACACGCATGTGTAATAAAAATATTTAAAAACGACGTATTTTTGTTTAATAAACCAGATACTATATAAATGGCGCAAACAATGTTTTTCTTCATCCTGTAAAGTTGTCAAAATTGAGATAGTACCGATTGCCCGTTCACAGTCGATATGTCATTATTGGTCACTTAAAATTATTTATATTCTATTAATATCAGTTTACTGGTGTTCACGATGTTTTACTACCACGATATTCAATTATATACGGCAAAAAATCTTTAAATCTTTAAAAAAATAAAAAGAAAATATCTGCAACACATAGAAAAATTCATAAGGTGTGCTGGTTCGTTCAGAAGCTCAGTGGTAGAGCGTCAGACACAGTATGCTGAAAGGGCTGGTTTGGGACAAACTTAACGCGTTCTTTTTTTGAAAGTAATGCAAACACTGCCAAGCTCGATTGAGAAAATTAAATAATATATCAAATAAGTACCTAGTGCGACTTTTTAAAATAATAAATTGATGTGATTGACTATATTATATACAATTTGGACGCTCTTATTGAATCTTTGGAAGAGAGTAAATTAATCAAACGAGTTCCAAGAAGCAAAAGAAACATGAAGCCATGGATAACCACTGGTGTTCTGCGTTCCATTAAAAACCGGAATAAACTCCAACTTAAATCTCGAGCTAATCCCCATAGCGAGGTACTGAAGGTCACATTTAAAAGATACCAAAATTTTTGTAATAATTTGATTAAAAAACTGAAGCGTCAATATGAAAGAGAACTTTTAACTAAATCTAGAAGAAATCCTCGTTCACTCTGGAAAGCAATAAAATCAATAAATCAATATAATTGCACAAAATCAGCAAACTAGAGTTATTAAATATAAAACCATCCCCTCGTGACTCAGGTAATCACGTCAATAACTTTCTTGCTAAAAATATTGATAGAACTCTTGCCGAAGATATCCTGAACGGAAATAAAACAGCCAATCCCGTATACAAGGACCAAAATTACCCTAATATCTCCTCATTTGCTCTGTTGGATACTGACCCCCAAGAGGTAAACAAAATAATTGTAGGCCTGAAATCGGATAGTGCACCTGGTTGGGATAACATTCCTGCCAAATTCCTAAAAGCTGTCAAGTTCGAAGTGGCACCTATAATTAATCATTTAATAAACCTTTGTTTTTCTGAGGGTGTCTTCCCTGAACCACTGAAGAAATCAATAGTAACGCCTGTGTACAAGAGTGGTGAGAGAGACGTGGCCAACAACTGCAGACCCATCTCTGTCCTAACAGCTCTCTCCAAAATCATGGAAAAAACAATAAATGAACGTTTCATAGCCTACCTAAACAAATTTAACATTCTTTCTTTTTCTACTTAACATTCTTTTAATACGTATTTCGCCAGGGTAGACTCACAGAGGATGCCATTCTAAAACTTACAACCTTGATTACAAACAGTGTAGATAAGGGCAAAAAATGCCTTGCTGTTTTTCTAGACTTGAAAAAGGCATTTGACACGTCTATCTCCTCATTCTTGTACACAAGCTAGAAATAATAGGAATAAGAGGACACTCACTAAAGCTGCTGAGTGACTACTTGACTGGTCGAACTCAACAAGTCAGACTTGGTAATTACATAAGTGAGGAAACAGACATCACTTTTGAGGTGCCCCAAGGAAGCGTGCTTGGCCCTACGCTATTCCTCACTTATATAAATGGTTTGACAGGCCTCAATATTGAGCTAGGACATGTCCTGTCCTACACCGATAACACTGTGATTGTATTTGATGGCTCAACTTGGGAATCTGTATTCGCGAGTACTGAACAGGGTCTTCGTAGGGTAGCTGGATAGCTTAAAGGTAACCTTCTGACGCTTAACACCGATAAAACTAGCTACATGTGTTTTACTAAATACACAAGTTCTCAACCACTTCAAAACCTGTCGCTTAAAATACACACTTGTAATAAAAATATTACTCAAGAGTGTAATTGTGTAGAAATTCAGAGGGTTGCATCCACCAGGTATCTTGGCATCATGCTAGATCAGCGTCTTTCATGGTACACACACATTGACTACGTAAATGGTAGAATACGAAAGCTCATTTCGCCATTTAAAACACTTAGGGTCGTATTCTAGAACTCTACTCAATGCTCAAGCGGGATTTGAGTATGGTTTAAAGCACTCGAAATCATACTCAAGTCCCTGCCATTAGGGTCGTATTTCCAGTGCTTGAAATCATACTCAGATCCTGACTTGAGCATTGAGTAAAGTTCTGGAATACGGCCCTTAGACACATTGCGGATAAAACCTTACTCGATCAGTTGTATATCATCTTAGTTCAATCCATAATGAGTTATTGCATTGTTGCATGGGGTAGTCTTCATTTGTTCTACTGACAGCGCGATACTGCGATGACAGTACAATTTAAATTTCGAATAGGTTGACTTGGGACATTTTTTTCGTGGTTTTTGTATTAGACCCGTCGTCCATTTATTTGTAAGTCAATGATATCGGTATTAAAATCGTGCTCTAACATGACTAACCTCACCCAACCACTTACTTTGAAGTTAGACGAAAATGGAGGGAAAATGTAATGTTCAATTTGTTTTTATTTAAAAATGGTAGAGTATTTTAGAATTAGAAACATTTTTATACAGTAAGATTCAATACCTACAGTTTTGTTTTTGACTAATAAAAATAAAATGGATATTGACGCTGTCGGTCATTCTGTCATTGATATCCCGTGTTGTTCTTTCACATTTTGTATTCAATAATTTCGGAATAACCATAGTAATGGCATTTCTAAGTAATTCAGAATATTATGAAATGATGCTGTGCGTCGGAGCAGCAGACGGAAGTTTAGACCAAGCCCGAGAAAAATTTATCGATGGTAGACCAGAAGCTGTCAACGCTGTCAACTTCCTTCGAGAGCCTGCTTGCGGAATATGCTTTTGAGGCTTCAAACTACTGGCACATTCCAGAGTGATAGGCCAGAAGGTCGTCCAAGTGTTCGTGATCCTGACACATGGAAGAAGAAATCATTTCGAAAATAATCCGCGGACCAACACTCGCCGAACAGCTGCAACTCTTGGGATTGCAAACCATATGCATACAAATCAAATAAAAGAAAGCTATGTTAGATGCACGTTTTTCATAAAGTATACTTTTGTATTTACTTCGAATTTTTATTTTTGTCTTTGTGAATATTTATTTTATTTATCGAAATGTTAACTGTTGACATGCTAAAAAAGTATTTTAGTGAGCAGCGACATTAAAATGAAAACTTATTGAATAATCTCAGTACAGAGTACTAAAACAACCGACCTCAAAAGTACGTGGAATTACGTCCATTTGCTAAGTTTCATTGAAATATCCCCTAGTTCCCCACTATACAGGACTTGACACTGGAGATAATAAAAATAGGTTCTCACTACGACACTACTCAAAGTATATCGAGGGAAATACGCCTTGAATTGGAGAAATAGCAAAATCAACTAAATAATTGCTAAAAGTAATTGCTCCTAAATTAAAGTTAGGCGCTATTTATAAAAATGAATCTTCAAGCGTGATCAGCCACCCTTAGAGGTGGATGATTTCCTTCAAAATGAAATGGGACCACTATGGAAGTACCCCCTTTCCAACAAAAAAAGAATCATGAAAATCGGTTCACAAATACCGGGGTTATCGCGTAACATACATACAAAAAAAACAAAAAAAAAAGAACATACAGTCGAATTCCTCCTTCCTCCTCCTTTTTTGAAGTCGGTTAAAAATATTTCTTGGGACTCCACTTAAAATATTTCTTCAGTTGAATCGAATCGCGCGATTGGATGTGACAAATCGTACGGCAATTACTCGTAAGCAGGTGAAACCGATATCGTGATCAAATTATACACATTCAAGGTCATATCAGTTTTCACTACCAACCGACCACGCAATCAGAGTATACATAACCCTATAAAGTATGTAGGTATCTAATAATAGCAGCGTTATTATAAACTAAGAAAATCATAAAATCATAACCAATGAGACATTATTGAGTTAGGCCGATGATACTCTTTTTTGAGACAGTGAAGTTTTAATTAAGATTTGTTTGCTAGTGTATGTACAAACTTTTTTGTTACAAAACCATAATCTATGAGATAATAAAGTAAAATTGTGACAATGACATGGTCAAATTATTGCAAAATAAACAAACTAAATGCCTGTAAATTTAAAAGAATGACTTTTAGCACTGAATCTTATAATTCTACTAATTTTAAGTACGAATAAAATGAAATAATAACTAGTGCTATGTAAATAACAATACAAAATCATTCCTAGCACCTTTCACAGTTCATGCTGTTTAACATCGAATGTATCCTGGGCTGCGTTTTACGGTGATTCTATAAAAATCTGTTCTTTCAGTGTTTTCAACCGTAAAATGCGCTATCATATTTGTGACTTGTGCTCAGAAGTACAAGTTTTGTAAGTAAATATATAATAAAATCTATTACGTCACGTATTTACGACTACTTCAAAGCAAGTGCTTGTATGAGATTAGGGATGTTCGAACTCGATTTTAATATCGATGACGACGAATTATCGTAATTTTTTGAAATGAAATTAATTAAATTAGACAAAATATTCAATTAAAATATCAGTGCCAATTTGCTATTTGAAAATAACTCTCTACGTTCTTGGATTTCCACTGCACCCTTCGGTTACACCCTGTATATCAACTTGTTTGCTTTTATTATTTCTATTTATCTCCTTTGTCGCGCTCAATTTTTACGTTCATAAAATTACTGTACAGAACTGTCAAAATGTTTTAAAATCAGCTGTGACCTTGCAGCCATGTTTGGCACTGTGTTAATCTTTTGCAGTCATTGGTCGCGGCGCTCGCGATGACATATAAATGTGACGTCACGGTGTTCGCCCTAAAATTATCAAATGCCGCCGGTTTATCACTCGAATTTGAGAGCTAAATAATATATCGTCGCCTTACTCTACGACAAGACTAAGCTCTCACAAATATTGATTTCTGCCCAGGACTTCATTTTGGAACATCCTGTTCTGGGAATGACTTCTAATGTCATGCCTTTGGGAGGCATGACATTAGAAGTCAAATCCATGTAGTTTCTAACTAGGGAAGACTCTGAAACTAACCTGTCTCACCTGGAAGGACGGTCGCCTTCTTTGGTATAACGACAGAACCCAACAAAGGCTGAAGTATACACGGCGTGAGACCCAGGCTCAGTAATAAGCTGAATTTGGGACAATACTCCTCTATCTTTCAGGCCGAAATGTACACGTAATGGCTTGAGCAGATTTGAACCTAAAGAAGGATACGTTAACAAGTATATTCACAAAAGCTCAAGCTCTGTCACAGGACAGGAATGGCATCAGAATGCTAACTAGAGCCTGAACAGGGCATTATGGCTTAAACAAGCACATGTCAAATATTGGGCAGAGAGAAAATAGAAAGTATGCATTCTGCCATGGATGAAACTCTTCATCTTCTCACTCAATGCTACCCCTGATGGGCGTACAAAACTCCATAAATCCTACCTTTACCCTGCCAGTGGCTGCTGCATTTGTCCAGAAACATCTGTCATATTTTGAAATCGCAAATAAAAGGAACCTTAGAAATTTAAGACATGGGCATAGAATCATACTATGCCCATGTCTTACAACTCGGGCAATCATACCTCAGCATTTTACCACAAAAGCTTATAAGTAATGTCGGTCAAGATATACAACAGCATCCCAAATGAATTTAAAAAATTCAAGTACGAACATTTAATAATGCTCTTAGTAAATGGTTGGGTACTACGTGAGGCGCACTATAAGTTTCCGAAACGAATAAGAAAAAATACTATAAATAGTCAGAAATGAATTTATTGTTTCTCAAAATATTCTCCGTTAGCGTTAATGCACTTTTTCATACGAATGAACCAATTTTGAAAACATTTATGCCACTCCTCCGTGATAATCTATGAAACATATTTTTCATACTCTTCGACAGCCTCTTCAGGTGATGAAAATCGTTGACCGCGTAACTGGTTCTTAATTTTTGGAAATAAATAGAAGTCACAAGGTGCCAGGTCGGGACTGTACACGGGATGGCTCATAAGGTCAACGTTGTTCACCTTCAAAAATTCATTTGTCTGTCTGGCCTTGTGAGAACTGGCATTATCGTGGTGCAAGATGATACAACGTTTACGGTTATTTTTACGGAGTTTGTCAATAACTTCCGGCAAACAAATGGTGGTGTACCAATCACTATTCGCGGTACAACGATTTTCCAACGCGACAGTAGCCACGTGTCCAGTTTTATTAAAAAAAGAAGCAATCATCCGCTTAGAGGCACTTTGCACGCGCGCCACTTGGGTTGGTTTCGGCTCATCTCGAAACACCCATACGCTCGATTGCTGTTTTGTTTTGGGATCGTAACAATAAATCCATATTTCGTCATCCGTTACTATGTCCCACACCAAATTTGACGCCCCTTCGTTGAATCTAGTAAGCAAGGCATTGCACCAAGTGACGCGATCTGTTTTTTGAGCCTCAGTCAATTGTGTGGGATCCACAGAGAGCACAGCTTTTTCACACCCAAATGTCTGTATAGCATTGATTGTATTTGACTCATGCCTATGCCTAAAGATGCCCGATTCTCATGGTATGTCACATGCCTGTCTGTTTTGATCATATGGTGCACAGCATCGATGTTTTTGGTGTTCACAGCAGTAGACGGGCGACCATCACGAAATTCGTCAGAGATTCACACGACCGCGTTCGAATTCTGCAAACCAGCTATAAATAGCCGTCTTGCATGGTGCTTCATCGCCAAAAGCCGTTTGAAGCCGGGCGAAGCTCCGCTTACCTGTTACATTACACTTAAAATCGTAGCAAATCATACTACGAAAATTTTCACGAGTTAAATCCATGGTGATGTAGGCAACCAATTTCTAATGACGCCACAAAGTAAAAACAAGTGACAGTCAGATGAAACAAACTGTATTCTACAGCCAAAGAGTTCCATTTTCAAATGTTGCAATTACTTTTTGAATATTGTTTATGTAAGTGGCCAGTTCCGGAAACTTATAGTGCGGACTATGTATAATGGATAATGATTGAGTATTTATAGTGTACAAGAATTTTTTGACGATAACGACAAATTTGGTGACTAGCGATGCGACATGTTTATTAATAATTGGTTTTTTTTTGGCTTTCATATTGTAATGCAATTTAATTTTAATCTGTGACATTTAATAATATTGTATACCTTATCTGGTAAAGTATAAAGTACAAACCAATGTAATATTTTGAGACCTTATGTAATAACCAGGCATCGGAATAGGTAGCTTATTTATCTAAACTTCGAGAAACATCGACAGAAAATGGAGACTGCCTTACGACAATATTTTTTAGGTCCTGGACCTGTTCGGGATTCGGGAAATCACTTAAGTACGGACAAGGGCACACCAGACTATACATTTTTGTTCGAAAATCGCCTCCAGTGCAATGGAACAAGATACGTCAATGTGTAGCTTGATGTGCTGGTGTGTATACATTAAAAATTGACGTAATTGAGGACAGGCAGGTACACTATATTTTATCTTAACTTTGCGACAAAGTGGGTTGGATCAGCAATATTGCGGACATTGGATTTTTTTCACGATACCTCTCTAAAAAAATGCCAATCAAGAGATCCTATTGTCCTAATTAAATATTGTCATATCACATTTTGCCATAAATCAAATATTTATTAATTGGTTGGTTTTTCGTGTTTATTTGTTTCAGTAGGAAATTAAAACTACAAAAAATACACATTTTATTTTTTTCCTACTAAACTATTACATTTATGGCAAAATGTGATATGACTATATTTAATTAGGACAATAAGATCTCTTGATTGGCATTTTTTTTAAAGAGGTATCTTGAAAAAAAATCCAATGCCCACAATATCACCGATCCGATCCACTGTGCGTAGCAGTGATTACTCAAATCCCAAAAAGGTCTGGCTTAAAAAATATTGTTGTAAGGCAGTCTCCATTTTCTATGTTCTTCGAAAAAACCTATTCCGATCCCTGGTAAAATACCTATAGTTAGGCAATAAATGTATTCTTATTCTTATTGGGAAGGCACATGCCACAACCAGAGGACATAAAATCTGTCCGAGCCAGTACTTCAATACTGTCAGCCTTAGCTCTGAACTGTAATTATTGGTGATCACAATAGATCAGTTGATGGTCATAGTGATGAGGGGCTGCATATGCCCCGAATGAAGCCATCATAATAATAATAAGCAAAAAGGATTACTTCTGATGAACTAGGAGTTGCCCAGTTTTCTCCTATCTAGGAGATATAAATCTTATATTTTTACTCCCTTCATTATGCACCCAATACACCCAATTTCTTAAAATACCTATTAAGTCTTGGTTGTATGTATGTGTCTTGATATACTATGATTGATTATTTATTATTTTATTTTCAACATACTAAGCAGTTAATTGTTCCACATACAATAAAGATAATGTAGTTTCGATATCATAGACAAACCTGATTGGCATGCACCACTACTGTAGCATGATGAGGGCAGATAGTGGGCAGCAATACTCTTATGTCACAAGCTACATCTGAGCCGAGTGTGGCCAGCCCGGAGGGTAGTGGGAACTGCTTGCCATGGCGACCCTGCCGGTCCAGCACCACCAACCTACCTCCAGACATTCCTGACAACGAAGTTGTCTCAACTGAAATTTTCCATTTTAATCATTATTGATATAGAAATAGCTTTAAAAGGGCAGTGTAGTAGTAGTGTACTACTTGTGTTTTAATAATATCGCACTAAACTACATTAACAAACATATGCCGTGCAGTTATACGTTAAGTAGGTAGCTACTTTACATCAGAAAGCGTTTAAAATATGATTCTATTTACATGGGATGTAGTTAGACTTAATACGTCGCAAATGCGATCCAAACAATAAGTTTGTGAACGAAAACCAACGGTTTCCCGCCACAACGCAACAATAACACACCAGATAATTTGTTTCCACTCCCCAAGATCAATGATTGCATAGATTGTTATTACTTTGACAGTGAAATTGCAGGAACAAATAGTCATATTTTGACAAAATCCCCACATAAAGTAATTAAACAGGCATGTAAACACGCCGCGCCGGGGACTCGACGCCGCCTTATTCACTAACCGTAATAACCGTATCAGAAAGTGCTCCACTGTCCAAATACACAAAACATAATCAATCCTTGATAAGTCCTAACAAAATGTTTTACTTGTCACACAAATTAAAGTCAAAACTAATTGTTTCACGAATAAATTTGCTGATAGTATTCACACTGAGCATAAAAAATTACAATAATGGCGTCGCTTGGATTGGAGAAGCGTTCGTTACACTTAGTTGTCTATGGCAGTCGCCATCGCTGTCAAAAAATGCGGACAAAGCATAGACGTATAAAGGTGGATTCACAATGCACGAAGTCGCTACCGTAATTCATCTCTTTGCGCGATATGACCTTGAGTTAACTAATAACACCACCCCACGTTAAAACGTCGCAGCTCCTGCACAATAGCCCGGCTTGGTGTGGTCAGTGCAGAGAATGTCCTTTAGACAGCTAAAATACACGTATTATATACAGAGGTGTAGCCCTAGAAAAAGAAATCCTTTTTGGGTAAATTCTGTGATTAATTTGTCAAGTTGATAAGCAGTGTTTTATTTTTTTGTGATAAATAAGGTAGCGTTTCATTATATTTTTTTAGTGAATTGACAGTTCTGTTAATTTTACGGAACATTGGAAGGGAATTGATGGGATCATGGCGAATTGTGTATCGTGTTGATTTCAACTCTACTAATACCCTCAGCCGTTCTTGAGAAAAAAGTATAAATATATATATATATATATATATATATCGTTGTGTAGAAGGGTATTTTGTTAGACGTTAGAGATTATTGTATTATGTCTGTAGTATTTGTAATGGCTATCAATAAAAGTTATTATTATTATCTGTGCATAGGAGCATCTTTATTCTCAATGCACTAATGATTCTATAATGAAATGTTTAAATTGCGCAGGTCTACTCTTGTTATATCTAGAGACTGTCCAATTATAAACAGAAATTAGAAGAGAAAAATAATAAACCTACTTATGGCACTGTGCTATCCAAGAATTTTAGTATCAAAAATTATCATAACGATTTTCCAACACTACCGCAAAAACCTACCAAATTAACTCCACCAAAAATAATACCTACTGTCTCCAAGGATAAACCTATTACTGTCTCTGACACTAATAAAGAAACCATCTCAAAAGAACAATTTATTAATCGAACAATTAATTAAAAACGAATATGAATTGAAAGGCTTGATTGGTGCCTTGGTGACACTTGGTAATGACAATCAAAAACTTGCAACACCTCATATAAAAGAATTATTAATTAAAGCCCTTAAAAATTTTTTATGAGATTATCACAATTCAATGTAGAAGGAGCCCTTAACAAACAACCATTACTGTTAGGATACTTATATGATAACGATATTGACATCTGTTTGTTAAATGAAACATTTTTGAGAGAGGGTACGGCCTTCAGAGTTCCAAGCTATCATTTCCATTCTCAACATGGTCCTGATGGACGAGGCGGTGCGGTGTAGGAATTTTAATCAAAGATACCTTTAAATATTCAATCATTAATACACCTTATTACGATTTCTTACAATCTATTGCTGTAGTTTTACACTGTAATATTGGAAAGGTAACTGTTTTATGTGTTTATTGTCCTCCTTCAAAACTAGGGAGACTGTTTGGAGAAAGAAGGCTTCAACGAATTTTAAACGATTTGCCCAAGCCAATAATACTTGCTGGTGATCTCATCGGCCATCATGTGGCTTTTGGATGGCTCTTAACCAATTCCAGAGGGTCAGAAATTTATAATATTCTTGATGAAACTGATCTGTGTATACTTAATACAAGTGCTCCCACAACTGTAGGAAGAGCTAATCATAACCAATCAGCCATTGACATCACTTGTGCTAGTCCCATTATTGCCCCACTATGCGATTGGAAAGTTCATAACGACTCAATGGGTAGTTATCATTATCCCACCATAACAGACTTACATACTTCTGTAAATAAATATGAGATAGGTAACCCATTTGAGAAATATTTATACAATAAAGCGGACTGGTCTACATTTAGCTTAGAATCAGAAAAAATGTTTAGTAATTTAGTTATTTCATTAGCTGACCCTTTAAAAACGTATAATAATTGTTGCGAAATTTCAAATGTACCCAAGCATAACTGTAGTTAAGATAGTAAAATATTCCTTCCATAATAGAAAGACTTTTGACCCGTGGTGGGATGATGAATGTAAAGAAGCTGCTTATAAAAGCAAAGAGGCATGAAATTTTTGCAGATCTAATCCATCATTTGAATATTATTTAGAATATAACAGATTAGATGCAGAAAAGAAGACTAATCAACGAAAAAAAAACGAAATGGTTGGCGAATATTATGTGAATCTTTTAACTGGTATACACGGGTCAGTGCAATTTAGAATTACATAAAAAGATTTAAGCGGATCAATAACTGTAATAGGCCTAAAAATGATGAATGGATATCTTCTTTCTTCGATAAATATACACAAGCATTAGATTTCATTTTTGATAAGGTATGTAATCCTGAGGGACATTTTCTTATTAAACCTTTCACATTGCAAGAATTTATAACTACATTAAATGCACGCAAAGATTCTATTCTATATATTCGTGGTTTAGATGATGTTATTTCGATTAATCCAAAATCTACATTTTGGAGTTAAAAAAGCACTACTGGAAATTTTAAATTTAGTGTGGGAAACTGGCCAAATTCCTGTAAGTTGGAAGACACAATGTGTCATACCAGTAATAAAACCTGATAAACCTCATAATGATAGTAATTCTTACCGACCAATATCACTTTCATCCTGTATTGGCAAGATTTTTGAATGTATGCTTATAATTAGATTAGATTTTTACGTAGAATCCAATATTACTTTACCTACCCAGCAATTCGGTTTCCGCAAGAGACTTAGTAGTGCTGAGAGTTTAGTTACTCCGATCGCAATATCAGTAACTCTTTCCATGCTCACTCGTCAACAGTATGTGCCTTCCTTGATGTCCAGGGGCTTTTGATAACGTTGACACTTCCATACTGACTCTCATTCTGAGTGAGATAAATATACCAGGCAAGCACTGTAAAATAGCACTATACATATTTCATTTTCTGTATGATAGAATTATGTACATTAACTTCAATAATATAATTCATGGGTCTAGAAATGTCTACAAGGGTACAATGCAAGGTGCCACCATACATCCATTGCTCTGCAACTTCTTCAGTCAGATACCAAAATACTTAAAAGATAACAATGTAAAATTTCTACAATTTTCCGATGATTTAATTCTGTACTGTTAGATTACTGTTAGAGACCTCTATGGTTGTCCTGACCATCAGATGTTTTTATGTAAAGACGCAAATTTAAATAATGAAGACAATGCAAGTTTGGGTGATAATACTATTGTTTTATTAGGTTATGGGAAATATTTTTTTTAGTTTTTTTCTTTTCTACATAATATCTTGGTTATTAATTGGCAATAGTTTGTGTTTCATAATCTGAGCACCCAAAAAATAAATCGCTTTAATATTGAAAGATTACGTGGACTCGATAATTGGTTGGTAACCCTTATTATAATTATTATAATATAAACTTTTAATTGAGCATACACAAGCTGCAAAACATTGTGAAAGGCATAGAAACTGTTTCTGTACCCCCTGGAAACGAATCTTCGTCTGAAGAAACTGCACTCTCCCAAACTCATTACTAATGAACAGAATACTGAATACACTACCTTCAACGTACCTAGAGTTCAAAAATGCGTGGGAATCTGTGCCTAAAGAGAAGAGAAAAAATTCTATTCTTACGGAGAGCCTTCGACTTCATGAGCAACGTCTTGAAGATTTGGAATAGAAACCGTCTACATCCACCGTTACGACAGAAAATGCTCTTTTAAATGATAAACTCAAAGACAAGTTGAAATGTCCACATTGCAACAAAAACGGACTTACTAAGAAACAATGCTTTTTACTTAAGAAGTTCAAGAAACTGAATAAGTCTAAGGAAGCAATTCAGAAAGACGAAGGTGATGCATTTCTAACTCGACGCGATGACTCAAGCGCTAACTGGATAGTTGACTTAGGAGCATCTCACCACATAACTTCAATTGCCAACTCGTTTCGAAGCTACACGTCTTTTGACACTTCAAGACCTTTGCGACTAGGAGACAGTTGTACTATGTACCCATACGGGCAAGACATTGTTGATGTGGAAATGTCGGTATACGGTAAATGGAAACCAGGTCATTTGAATAATGTTTGGTATGTACCTCAAGCTGGACAGAATCTATTCTCATCAGGTTCGGCTCTTGACCATGGCTATATAGAGCAAGCTGATAAAGATAAGCGCATCTTTAAGGACAAGAACGGCCAAGTTCAGGCGGTCAGTATCCGAGATGGCAATCTGTACAAACTTTTAATGAGAATACGAACTGTTAACGCATGTGTTGTGAAAGAAGGAATAAGCCTTTTTTTTGACGGGGGGAAATCTTTATGGATACCCCTGAGCCCAGGGAGACTCAGGGGTTATGTGGGGACTCTCCCTCTAGACTGGAGGGCCTACCCCACTAAAACCCCCCCGGGTTTCCCTCTCGCCGGTTGAGTCGGCGCCGTGGGATCAGTGAACATTCACCACGACGCCGCCCGATAGAAGGAATAAGCCTACAAATATGGCACGATCGAGTTTGTCATCAGAATAAAAGACATGTCAAGGAAGTTCTTGCAAAAAAAGATATTATTTATTCACCTATTCAAGCTGACTGTGATGGCTGTTTATACGGAAAAACGACCAGATTGTCATTCGGTACAAGGCTAAATCGAGGAACAAAACCCGGCGAGCAAATTAACGCTGATGTTTGTGGACCCCTTGTCAGATACATGTATTGGGGGAAGCAAACACTTTGTTGACTTTAAAGACGATTTCTCAAAGTTTCGAAAAGTGTACTTTTTAAAACACAAATCCAAAGTAGGCATTATACTCCCTAAATTTGTTGCTGAGGTTAAAACAGTTGATCACGTAGTCAAAGAAGTGTTGACAGATGGAGGCAAAGAATTCAATAATGCCGAAGTACGTCAAACTACTACAGAAGCATATGGCTTAAATCACCGTATTAGTAAGCCGTATACGCCTGAAAAAAACGATGCGGCAGAAAGTGAAAATAGGATTCTTGTTGAAGCAGCGAGAAGCATGCATTACAATAAAGATCTACCAAAACAGCTGTGGGCTGAAGCTGTTAATACTGCAAGCTACGTAATGAACCGAACTGGATCTACACATATACCCGGAAAGACACCTTATGAGCTTTGGTATAACAAACCAGTTTACTTTGAACATTTGAGAATTTTTGGCACAAAATGCTTCGTGCATGTTCCATGTCAGAAACATAAGAAGCTCGATAAAAAGGCGACAAAAGGCTATTTGGTTGGATATTGCGATGATAAAGATGGCTATCGTATTTGGATTCCGGAGAAGAATGATGTTATTATCTCACGAGATGTTTTGTTTAGTTCAGAGACTGTTTCTTATGAGTTCTGTAAGTTACCAGTACCTAACGTCGGTGATGATGAAGATCATGAGACATGTAATCATTCTAAATAAGAAAACGATTCTCTTACTAGGAACTGTCCAAGTAGAAGCACATCAGTCAGCCAGTAATGAACGTCAATCCTCTATGGAGCTACCAGAAGTAAAGGATGGTTATAATTTAAGAAGCAGAAGAGTCATTCTTCAAAGTTCCGACTCCAGCTGTTGTGTTTGTTTGTCAGAAGATGAACCTCAGACTTACAAGCAAGCTATGGAGTCCGAGAATGTTGATCAATGGTATACTGCCATGAATGAGGAGATGAATTCTCTAAAAGAAAACAACACCTGGATCCGAAGTGGAAGCGAAGTATTTGTATGTACCTGCGTCAAAGAACATATGTATAGCTGATGTCAAACACAAATCAAAAACAAGTCTGCAATCTACGAGCGTGTCATAGATAAACCTACTCATTCAATGAAGTTTGACAAGCCCCAGGTCCTTGCAAAAGAAGTTCGTTATCTACCCAGGATGCTGCGAGAGGCCATTGAAATTAAAAAACATACTATTTTCAACAGTCCTAGTTTCTCCGTACCACCAGTTTGGGATCCAGTATTTCCTCTGATGAAAAATCCCAAACAGACATAAGACTGCAGTACTAATTAATATGTTTTAGTTTATTCTAATTTCTATTATTAATTAATAATAAATTGAACTTAATAAAAATTCATTCAATAAAATAATTTGTAAAACTTAATGTAGCGTAAATTGGAATGTTTTCTTTGTAAAATTAAAAATAAGGTATTAAATTAATAACTATTGTAACTATAGTGAAAAAATAAGGTGGTTTGCATTAATGTTAAACATAACTGGTTGAAGACTGTACCACCTCAGTCAACCGTGACCATGGGACCTGTAAAGGGCCCGAAACGTCGGTTTGTTTGAAATAACAAATATACGCGATTTGAATCCGGATAAATAGTTTTATTTTCTAAATGACAAATGTAATTATAATTTTTCTTCAACCACAGTGCTATCAAGCTCATAAAGGATGTAGTGTTTCACTACAAGACGAAACATATAGATACGCGCTATAAGTTTCTTCGTGAGCTGTATCAAGAAAAGAAGATTAATGTCCTCTACATACCGTCTAGAGAGCAAGCAGCGGACACTTTCGCTAAAGACCTCCCTAGGGATTGCTTTCTTAAAACACGATCTTCGCTAGGTGTTGTAGACAGACCCTGATCTGCTGTAGGGAAAGTTTTGGAACCTCTATGATTGTCCTGGCTATCAGATCATGTTTTTGTGTTATGACGTAAATTTAAATAATGAATAACAATACCAGTTTGGGTGAAAATACTATTGTTTTATTATGTAGGTACAATGTTAATAAAGATGTAAATATTGCTGTACATAATCTTAATCTAGGCTTAAACCATATTTTAAAATTATTATTTAGGCAAGTTAAAACTTAACATTAGTCCTACTTAAAGTGCTGCCATGAATTTCAGTAAAAAAACAAGAAAATTGCACTTTGAATTCAGTTACGTATAAGGGTAGAGAGCTTCTTTGGGTCAATACTAAAAAAATTTTGGGTGTATGTTTAGATTTAAAATTAACTTTTCAGCATCATATTGACTATATTACTAAGAATGCATCCAAAGGGCTCAATATTCTAAGGGCTTTAGCAGGAGTTTTTTGGGGTTCTGATGGCAAGATGTTGTCCATGTTTTATGAAAGCTTAGTACGCAGTCACTTTGATTATAGCACTTTGACTTCCATCAATGCAAATAAATCAACATTTAAAAACTAGATACTATACAAAATAAAGCTTTAAGGATGATAACAAGAGCTATGTGCTCAACACCAATAATAGCTTTAGAAACAAAAACTTGCATCCCACCTCTCTCGTAAAAATATAATATTTAGGTGGGTACCTTCACATTCTGGTATTCCTGGGAATGAAGAAGCTGATAGAGCTGCACGACGAACAGCAGATGAAGATCATTCCTTTTGTTTGAAAGTACCTTACACAGACTTTCATGCCCAGTTCATGATGTCACTGAAGTCCTTATGGGCGGAATATTGAAGGAAAGCGACTAAAACAAAAGCAAAGTGGTACACCAGCATACAAATGAGCCCGCCCGCCCAACCTTAGTGGAATAAAACGAATCTAGACTCACGGAAGCAGATAACTACCATCAATAGAATAAGATTTGGCCACTGCAAAATTCCTGCTCACCTAAAGAGATTGGGAATCGTTCAAAAATAATAAATGTCCACATTGTACCGAAGAAACAGTCGAGTTACAACTTATCATTTTCCCCTGTGTTCAATACCGTTTTCATCGTCTGATACTTGTGGCAGAAAAAAGGACCTTTGTGATGATGACAGTGATATTCCAAAAAACGTTCAATCGTTACTCTTGAAAAAACTTGTTAGCAATATGTAACTTTATATTTAAGACTGAACGAAATTTAAAATGTTTTCGTTTTACTTTATAAGTGTTATATTTTGAAAGTTATTATTTTGACCAATGGCTCAAACGGTCAAAGTATCCAGAGCCGTAAAAACCAATAAAAAAATGACTTGTGTGGCTTCACAATTGCACACATTCCATGATATTATGAAAGTTTCCCCGTTTTAAAAACAAGTTAGTCAAAACACTTTGAAAGTGGCTAAAATGCTTACCGCGAAGAGCCAAGGGAAAAAAAATTAAATTCTGGCAATATAATTCAAGCTTCTGATTTGTCAAATCAAGGTCATGTCGCGCAATGTGATAAAATGCGGCAACATATTGCCAGAAAATGTGCATTGTGAATCCACCTCAATACAAGGTACTCTTTGGCATAGACAAGAGTAATAGATAGACTGGCGCTCTTGGTAACAATTTGATGGTGTATGTATTATAATTATTTGTGGGTGGGTACTGTGTGTGGTTGCCACTTTGTGGTACGTGTGTGGTTGACTGCCAAAGGCTGGATGCCATAGTGCCAAGAAATAGGAAAAAAAAATGTGGTGGTATGGGGCACAAATTAGAAACATAGAAAGATGTATGGGGCAAAGAGAACTTTCATGGGAAAAGGAAATGAAATGTCGAATTCAAGAATTACATACTAAAAATAATTAATTCCATCCAAATAACGAACGAAGAAACTCGTGATCGTGAATTAATAAAAGATATGAGATTAACTGATGATACTCGTCTAAAATATGGATACCAACGGTAGTCACAATCAGAACCAAGGTTACTGGTTTGTTTTACGCGAAGACCAAGGCAATGTTATATTTAGCAGTAACAACATCACCACCATACAAAATCCTCAAAGTAAGTACATACATTTTCAATATTTAAATATGTTTTCTCTGACCACTCCACCAGTAATGGCTTTATTTTAATGAATTATGCTGCGTAGCTAGTTGAATCGTTCCAAACAGATAAGTAATTCCGAGGCACATTTTTCCAGTTACAACAGAACAAGATTCAAGGTATGTCATAGAAACTGCTGATAGACAATATGAACAGGTGATTGAAGTGGCCACGATACAGGACTCTGATCACTGTGAAACAGTGGCCAAACGTCAAAAGGGTAAAGAAGATGAAAATTTCTGGGACAGACACAAGGTCAAATTACTGCTTACATTGTGTCTTGAAAATAAAAATGTTGATAAAGAAATTCTATGGGAAGAAATAAGCAGTATCATTGGAGCAACTCCAGATGAGTGCAACACTAAGTACAGACACCTAAGAAGGACCTATTTGAGACTATTGAAAAAGAAGAGGATGGGAAGAGACATCAAATGGGTACATTATAGTATTTGTGAAGAAGTCTTCACAGACCTCAAGGCCCTGCCACCCTCAGTTTTAGAGCCTTGGGAAGATAACAAAGTGAGAAGACTTCTTAGTCTTTATATAGATAACCTGCACAGGTTTCGCAATCCTAATTGTTTGCAGAAAGATGTTTGGAAAGAAATGGCAATTCGATTGGGCACTACAAGTTACAATTGTTACCACAAGTTTAAAAATCTAAGGAGGTCATATTTAACCTGGTTAAATAGAAGTCGTGAAACTGGCAAGGGCATTAAGTGGCCTTACTACCATTACTTTGAACGAATCTACCATAACTACAATCCAAATGTTAGGCCATGGGACAGAAATAAAATCAAAGTACTTCTTGAGGCCTATGCTCAAATAGGTTATAAATTCAGGAATCCTAAATTACAGAAAAAGGAACTTTGGAAAGAAATCTCTCAAAAAGTGGGTGAAACTCCATCAGCATGTGATAAAAAGTTCAGGAATCTTAAGCAGACATATGTTAGATTAAAGAAAAGGGCACATGGTGGAAGGCTTACAACTAAATGGCGATATTACAGAGACTTTGAAATAATTAACAGTTATACTGCTAGATATATAGATATGGATGGTCAGAAAATTGTTTATAAAACTGGACAGGACGAAAACTACATACATCACTTACTTTCCTTCTACATTGACAACAAAGAAAAGTTTAGAGATCCCCTCACCAAAAATAAAACGTTATGGAGATTGATTGGTCCAAAGCTAGGGTTAACAGCAGGAGAATGTGATAAGAAGTTTAGAAACTTAAAGCAAACATATATCAGGCTTGCTTGGAAAAAGAAGCAGACTGGAAAATGCACTAGCTGGCCATATTATCGTTACTTTGAAGCAATTTATGATGAGCCAATTGGTGGTGCAACATACAGAAGCAGAGTGGATATCGACGACGTGATGCGGTGCGAGATTCGACGTGCAGTGCGGGACGTGTATGAACGGACAGAAACAGATCGGAAATTCGAGAGACTAGTGCAAGTAGCTGAAGAATCAAACAACATACAGAAAGAAAGAAATGCAATATTACAAGGTTTACTCAATAGAAAATGACAATTGATTCCACCATCAGGATTTGTTGTTAAATAAAATTGAAAAAGGATGTTTAGAAATGGTTTTATTTCGTTCTTATGCTTTTATAATGTATATGTACAAACAAACTATAATAGAATAAGTTTAGTATGTAATCATTCTGAAATGAGAAATCATTAGCAAATTCAATTAAACGTAAATGATAGTCTTAAAGTACACCAATTATGCTTAACTTAACAATACATGTGTGAATTTAAGACTTATTAATATTAATTAAATTTGACATCCGTAACACTATACCACAGTAAGGAATGAAAAAAAAAATGTTTTAGAAAAAATAATTCAGTGAGGAAACCACGCTCGACCAGCGGCGACAGCGAAGGGGCGGCCGCGGCCCTATCACGAACATATCACATCCACTCTCCAGGCGCGCTCCATCGATACACACTAACCTAGGCTGAATTACCACACTATGCAGTTACAACTAGAGGCCCTCGGCCGTGTCGCCGCCCGCGTCGCACCTTGCGTCACAACTGTGGCTTCAGATTCGTCAATTTCATTAAACACTGTGTACGTGCCGTACAGGGTCGCTTCAGTCTTCGTTCGGAATTGGTCTAGCGGGGCGGCGGCGGGCGGCGGCACATGGCCATACGGGCAGAGGACAGGCGGTTCACTTCTTGGCGTTCTTCTTCGGCGACGCAGCCTTGCCTTTGGCGTTGTTTGACATTTTCGCTTTCTTGCCCTTCGGCTCTCCTTCCTCATCATCCTCATCCTGAAAATATTATCTTAAATGTATTGCTAATCTACAACCATAATTCTGGCGTGTACAGTACACCATACTACCCAGTTACAGATTGCCTATAAACACAACTACTATCTACAAATGTTGTAACTTGCCTCTGCTATGGTTATAATAAAATTATAAGCTATCAGAAGGTAAAGGGATGTGGAATGAGTACAGAAAACCAACAGCCAATGTTTGTAGATAATAAAATTTTGAAAAAAGTTAATGTGTAACAGGGAGCAGGTTTCAAATTGTATGCTGAAAATGATTAGCAATGGAAATTATCTGCTAAAATTTTGTATTTGCCATTGCGGCTCCTTTTCCCTCTGTAGAGCACTATAATGTGTTTAGTTGAAGGTTTTCAGTACCTCATTCGGCTTGCGCTTGCCTGCTGCTTTCCTTTTATTCTCATCTTCCTGCAAATTCAGTATCTACTCAATCACTGAAGTGGTTGTAATTGGCTAGAGCTCCAAGAAACCTTAATGTCTATAAACACATTTGGTTAAAGTTGTACTTCAGTCTCAAATGTAAATAGTAATCATTAAATTCGATTTTGCCCTTTACTGAATATTAAATGTGGGGCATAAATAGACTGATGGAACACTAACTGTAAACTAAAATTTACCTTAAATTGGGAGTCATCGCCTTCTTCCTCATCAAGCATCTCTTCCTCCATTTCCTCCATGTCCTCAAACTCCTCAACAAGAGCACCCAGCATGTGCTGCCCGATCAAGTGAACCGGCCCTGAGCCCTGACAAAAACCACATACCTATGAATAAATGGTCTCTTTCATGAACGTCCATCACCTAGTAGAATTTATTTAAGAAACATCAGACAAATGCCTCAAGTAATCATGAGCAGACAATACAGCTCCAAAACGAAGTTGCATACCCATCAATTTAAACATGGTGGTTTTATCATCATTTGTACACTCCTTTATACTCAGTGGACATTTTAAATGACATTATTATTTCAAGATACTATGCAACTAATTCATTCAGCTTGTAATGTTGACAATCTACATGTTATACCTGTATGAGTGTGAATGTAACAGGCGCATCTGGGAACTCGATGTCGAGACGCGCGTGCCGAGTCTCACCAGCTTTCAGCACTGCTACGGGGATCTTGATGGCATCCTGCAGAGACATGGTCTCCACCTGAAAATAACAATACAATGTTTATGTAATAACCACCAAACCAACATATACAGTACAACATTTTGTCAAAATGATTTGTAGTAGTCACAAACCCCACATTACAAAAACGCCATGCCATGCTCATTAAAACACAAAAACTGGTTATTAGTCATTATTACAACATAAAGGTCACATTGAGCAATTATGAATTTCCTTTTTGTAATAATACATTTCACACCTTACGTGTGGTTCAGGGAACATACGCTTTCTAAGTAATTCATTAATTAATTGTAGTATTTAGAAATTTACTTCACCTGGACAACATTAAGTTCATCTGGCTTGGCATCAGGGCCAAGCAACGCCTGGCGGATGAGCAGCTTGTTGCTGCGCGGGTATTCCGCCTTCGCCTCCGGGTCCCATGTCTCCGACTGATGTGACGCCGACAAGGTCACGCCTGAAAATGTTCACTTCATGTCTCTAATATATATATAGATATATATATATATATGTAACAATTCCAAAAACAACCTTCGTTTTCCCGTACTTTTACTGGTGCTGTTATATGTCGCGTCTACTTATCAAATATAAATCTAGATATAAACGACAGCAAAGTAAGATAGGTACACCTAGTTATATATTTCAATATAGCCGCTACATAACCTCAAAACCATATCGATGAGTAATCTTTGAGATATATGATGTAAACAAATGATAATTGCTGTACAAAAGCGCTTGGACAGGTCAGTCTGGACAATCGCATAACGTTAATCACAGTGCAGTGGAGGCACAACGACGCTTGGGGCTTGGACGCCATACTTTCAAATTACGCGCCCAATGACAACCACTGACTCGCACATTTGCAAAATACCATGCTTCCGCAAAAATCAATACCCAGTTTACATCTCGCGTGGGATGAGGGATTAGAACAACATTGCGATATTTGAGTACAAAATCATTGAGGAAATTAGCCATTTCATATACGCTGCTCAGTGAAAATGGCGGCAAGTCGGTTATAACAGAGATATACGAGTAATAGCCACGATGTCACACTTATAATTACATCAATCTATGTAGCGTGGCGTTAATTAGAACAAATGCAAGTGAACAATGAAATTAAATAAAACTGAGGTAGAAAATGGCGAAGTAGCCGGGTGTCAAAGTAGACGCCAATTTTAAAAAACATTTAGGATACTAAGTACAGCCGGCACACAGCAAATAACTTCAAATACTTGAGCAACAAAAATCGAAGAATCGTACTTACCATAGAAATATTCGTCAGACATGGTGATTTCACTAATATACTGAGATTTTTGCGACACGTTCACGTGCGATGCCGGCGCACACAAATCTGGAGGACGATGTTGCCAGTTGCTACGTTCAGTTTAACTTCCTTGTTTATATAGTCGCATATTTACCCGAAACTTATCATTTACCATTTAAATTGAAAACTGAAATTACCTTTTGTTAACAAATTGTTCAATTATTATTCATACAAAATATTACAGATTAATGATCATTTCAAATACTACAACACTAATTTATTTCAATATTGGTAAGCAGCATTCAGATTTAATTTATTCAGTTTAAAATCGTCTCTTTGGTCGATGTAGATACTTAATATTTTCTTAAAGTCTTAATATATATAATCCAATACGATTAACCAATAAATACGTCAAAATTAAAATATTGTACAGTACAGGGCTAGCACGGTAAGATGACTTATGCAAGAGCAACGTAAAGCGGGAGATCTCTATGCGAGAATAGCAGTATTTCGCGGTATATGTTACTCTCTCGCTAGTCGCGCCCTGTCGTGCTAGCCCTGCTATAGCTCTGCTATTTAATAAAAGTAGACTTGCTTGCTATACTTTTAAAAGTAACCCTCCCCTTGCATTGGGAAATGAGAAAGTTGAGCTATAGGTAACATTAAAGCCAAAGACAAAGTAGACGTATCGCCAAACGTTCGAAAATCGTACAAACTATCTACTCTGTACGTATATTCAATGTCTATATGCCTACACACTGGAGCTACAATACAAAAACGTAATAGTATCTTGTTTATGTTGCGTGCTGTGGAATTTAGGGTTTCCGAAAATATACGAGTACTCATTACATACGTAATATATTTTAATATTTATTTTATTTCTTACCTAGATACGGTATGAGTCAAACAAGGATCTGAATTGTAACGAATAATTCTTTTTCTGAAGTGTGGCGAAATCATTTCATGAACACTTTTAAAATTTGGTTTTATAGTAATTCTCCTTCGTGTTCTTGAATACAGTGGTTGATGGCTCACAACCAGTATTTTCTTTTTGAGATTGTTAGTTGTCATTGTTTCCTTTAACTTTAGATGTTTAGTACGACTAGAAGACTCTGTTTGCGTGCAATCCGTCTCTGGCTCACACCTTACACTCAACAAATTGTGCAACTTTTTTTGAGAGAGTTTAATTTTAAGTTGTGTATTTTCATAATGTAAATTTGCGTTAATTTTCAATATCTTAAAATACTTTTTACAGCTATCTGTTACAGTATCTGATGCTGTTATTAGTCTGCTTAATAAACTGTCAATCGATCTTTTGTTCTCTTGCAAGAGACCAACAATATTTTCACAAACCTGTATGGAACAAACCATGATTAGTTAATAAGATATCAATATCAGTACTGTAGCATAACTACAAATACAAAGTTTTAAATAAGTGAAACACACCTTCTGAGTTTGTAACTCCAATAACTCTAATTTCTTTTGCAATGATTGTTTGGAAGTTTTCATTTTGAAATATTTTGTACAAATATTACAAATAACTTCATCTTTCGTTCTTATATGTTCTTTTAGAGAAGCAATGGCGCAGTCGCTGGGCTGCTTAAACATTAAAACAATAAAAATCAGATTTCAATCTAATGAAATCTTATTACCTACAGTATATTAAAATTACCTACACCATCTTGATTCAAATTAAATTCAAAGTCGTTCTTGTTGGTGAGGCGTTTAACTTCTTCAACAAAAAAATCTTTTTCTTTAGCGTGAATATCCCTGTGATAAATCAAAATTTTATAAGAATTCTCAATAATTCTGTAAAATTTTTACTCAAAATTTAATTGCGTGGGTATTATGCAAATATACCTTTCATCCGCAAGTTGCTGGTGCAAATTTCTATTCGTCCTTTGAGCACATTTAAGTTCAACGTACAATTTTTCTTTTTCGCGTGCTAAAGTTCCAATAGCAGCGTCTCTACTTTCTACTGAAACTTTCAAAGCTTCTACAGTTTGTTTCAGGGATTCTATTTCACTCTGTAACTTCAGTACTTCACTGTTGCTAGACACACTCGCGCTCTTTAAAGAGGTTACTGACGACCTCGAAGAACTCTTCGATAAAATACGTCTAAAATTCATCCAGATGTGCATGGGACATCTGGATTAATACTTGAATTCTAAAATAATCTTATAAAACTTGTTTGTGTCCAAAATATCAACATCAGGTGTAAAATCGAAGATACTAACGAAGAAACCACCAAAAATTTGCCATTTACAATGACATCAATTTTTCAGTCAAAATTTTTATTGAAACTAATAGTAGTTTTCTGAACGATAACCCAAGACAGCATAGTCTATGATCTTAATGTTTCCAACAATCCTCATTGGACAAAATGTCTCCTCCTGACAGTTTATTTACCAATAGAATCATAAGATGCAAATTAAAATTTGACAAGCATGCTTTTGTAGGGTTACGGTAAATACATCGATAATTGTAATAACGATAATTATCGAAAATGTATAAAATACAGTCGTATGGTCCTATTCACAAACAAGAAAGATATAGATCATAATAAATTTTACGTTTTTTTCTGAGAAGAGTATTAAAGAGTATTAATGGGGTTCTTTATAACACTTTTCACAATTTTTGGTTTAGGGCTTACTTTGCTTGGCCGCAACGTAGAAGTGGGTAATGATAATTACATAAACTTCAAGGAAGTTACACTTAGAGTGGATGATACTCTGATTGAAATCTCCGAATTATTGTATTGTATTTGGTTTTATATTTTTTGATAACTAGCGTAAAATATTTCGAACATAATGTGTAAGTTAAAATTAAGCAAAAATGTAACCAGCTTCGAATTTTTTCAACCATTTCGCTATTTCAGAGGAAGATGTTATCTATTCTATATGTATTACTTGATGTGACTTGTGCTCTGCGTAATACGATCTCATGTATATATATATATAATTGTATATATATATATATATATAATATATATATATATTTATATGTTTAGAATAATATTCATCGATAGTAATATATTGACTTTATACACATCTCTATTTCAAGAGCAACGAGCCATCTCGTTTTGACACGGAAATTGTCACAAATTTATTTGTCAAAATACCGTATAAACATAATTGCCATTATCTCCGTTGTTTCTTTTATGTTCCCTCCCGTCTCCCCCAGTTTCTTTGACCTGTTTTTGCGTAATTCCCGAGAGTGAAGTGCAGCCATCGCCGTGAAAGTCGTTAGTCGTATTCCATTGAAAGTGAGTGAATCGCTCGAGTTCTCGTTCTTGACCTTACGCCACCAAGTCTGGTGCTGTTGTATGTTGTGTAACGACGCCAAAAATCCCAGACGTGTAATGCCAAGTTTCGTATCGACATCTCATTCACGTTATAAATATTCAGCTGTAGTACTGTTGTCTGTCAAAAGTGTGTTGGTATACAGCGTTGCCTTAAAGTGAAAAGCACGTCAATCTCACTTCGAACTTGCGACATTTCGGTTAAGAGCAGGTCACGCAGAAGGTGGCCATTTCGCTCATATGTGGCGTGTGGTTACAGGTGTCGCAGCGCGGCCGTTGCCGTTGGATCGGCGCACCTGTGCAAACTGCGCAACGGACACTTATGAGGGCCGGAGAATGTGCACCTCGTAGTCAGCGCTCGGCTCGAGATCGATCCATGCTGTAGTGGATGGCAGGATGAGCGAGGAGGCGCAGAATGAGGCGAGCACGAAGACCGCGTCGCTCGCGCTCGACGCCGACCTCGGCGCGGACTGCGGCACGCACTCCGACGCCTCCACCAATGTCTCACAAACGCACCTCTCACAGGTAACCAGCCCCATTGTACTATGTGTCCCTGTATTTTGCCATATCCCGGGGCAACTTTGCTTAATTTGGCTTTGTTTTTGATTACTATAGAGATCTGATAGTTTTTTTCTTTTAATGAACACCAAGTGACTGGATGAACAAATTGCGAGCGTGGTGGTAAGCGACATCTGTAACCTTAATAGTTACAAGGCTAGTCAGAGCTTTAAATTATAGAAATCTGAGGGATATTGCCACTGCCCCTTTCACCCTGAGTCATACAGTTAAGAATGAATATGAAGAACACAGGGGAATACTATTCTCCATAATGTAATCATTTACAACACACTATGGCAAGTACATTTATTTGAGATAGCTAGGTGAATGTTTCTCATAATATATTCTATATTGAAGTGTATTAAGTGTGTAGAAATATATACATTTGATAATATTGTGATACAGAATAGGGTTGATAACAAACACCATGATTGTCCACTTAATATTAAAACCCAAAGTCAAATCATCTTTATCTTCATAAGTAAGCAAATTACACTTTAAATCGTCATTTTAATTAAATTCTACTGCTCATTCGTAAGGCAGATTCCCCTGATTAGAATGAGCAAGAAACTCTAGGGGTAGCTCTTTGTAAGTACATTTGAATACATTATGATCTTTATTTCAAATATTTTAGGTCAAGAATACTAGACAAGTATTCTCGCTGTTGTTATGTATTTTATTTTATTTTGTTTATTAATTCTTTTTATTTTGTTTTGTCCAAGTGTTTTCAATATTTTTTTGTATCTGTGTTGTGGTGTTGCAATAAATGCCTATTCTATTCTTTTTTTTTCTGCCGCCATCAAACGCCTGTAAGGCTGCCATATTTGAAAATGACGAAAACCCCAATTTCAACCACAAATTTTCATCCACCACTCCTAGAGGCGCGTACACGCCAATTTTCAGCTGAATCAGAGCAAGTTTTTTCCTGCAGCTATTCTTTGACGAAAAAAAAACGCTTATCCTAAACATTGATTTGATGATTTGAGCATGCCAATTTTTAGCCGGATTGAAGCAAGTTTTTTTTAATTCGCCATCTTGAATTTTTTTTGACACAGGTAGTTGACCACTGTTATCTTCTATAACATTCCTTCCAGCAACTCTCTGTAAAAGTTTCCATGAAAGAAGACCTTGAAATTTGTATGGTGGCCATATTATTTATTTGAATTTCATAAATATTTTACTTTCAGTGGAAATTGGCCAAGGTGTACCTTATAAAAGTGCACAAAAATCCCCCCATGCGCAAGCTAGTCTTCTCCATATTTAATTTATGTATGGCGCGGAAGCCTGGCCGCTTAAAGCCGCCGACAGGCAAAAAATTTACACATTTGAAATGTGGCATTGGCATCGTTTATTAAGGACTCCCTGGACTGCACATGGCACGAAGGTATCCGTGCTTGACAAATTACTTTTGTAAAATCACAAACACTTATCCTCCGTCTGTTTTGCTCCGCATTTTGCAATTCTTTAATCACATTACACACAGAAGGGCCGATAGAGTCTCGAAAGAGTTATTGTTGCGAGCAGGATAGGGGACAAACGACCTAGAGGTCGACGTTCGAAACGATGGTGTGACCAGATGGCTGAAAGTCTGGCTTGATTGACAGTGTCCTTGCTCAATGAGGGACTGACTGAGGAGGAGGAGGGTTATTTTTTTTTGTTTACTTCTGAAGCTGCTAGCAGATGGATTACATGTCTGAATTAATGTGCACAGGCATGTGATCAACTGCATGCAGTCATTACTTCAAATGCGAGCAGAGAACAAATAAGTAACGAGAACGGACACTCTCCGCCCCTCCCTAGCTTTAGATACCGCACCACGCCCCGCACATTGACGGTCACATTGACTGAACGAGAACAAGGTTGTCGTTTTCGCGCTAAGACGGTTTTGATATTTGAATATAGTTTTAATTTATTCATTACGAAATGTGTACATTAATATATAACATCATTTTACGTTGCTATTTATAATGGTGGTGAATTGTGCTGTGTATGTCTGTTTATAATTATCTAAACGGGATAAAGAGAGGAGTTTCTTTCGTTATTTGAAAGATGAAAGGAAGTAAGTAAAAAAACTTATGTCTGAGACTCATTCAGTTATTGTTTTCTTTAGTGCAAAGTAATATATAATACAGATGTGTTATATCAATATAATAAGACGCCATAACTTCGTGAGCTAGACTAGGGTTCTCGAATTTTCAATTTGTCTTGCTGATAAATAGTGAATATACCTTATTATTAACTAGGTAATGATAAACTTGGACACGCAATTTATTATACTTTGGTTACCTTATTTAAAGGTACGTCCAAAATATAACATTTTAGTGCTCTTAATATATTTTTAAAATAAATCTTCAATATTATTATAATTAGTGAATTAATGAAAAATATAATATTATATCGATATAAATACCCAATGAACATAATTATTAGGATTTGAGAGGAATTGTAGATAATAGATTCGCATTAGAATTTTCGCTAAGTTGCCACTCTGACCACGTAACGTAATAGTACGAGCAAGTGATTGATAAACCTGCCACTTCACGCACACATTTGCGCCTGAGCAGATAGCGCCTTGCTGTATGTAGTAGTAGTAGGTGAATAATTTATGACCTTTGTATGGAGTGTCCGGGGTGTGACGCAAGCGTAGATGTAAAGCTGCGAAGTTTGTAGAATTAAAAGCAGCGGTTAGCATATTCAAGAGGACATCTTTTTTTTGTGGCCAAAACAATATTATCTATGACTCATGTCATGTTTTTATCGTGACGGTTTATTTATCATCGGGCGACTGTCGTTCTAACTTTATTCTATTCTAGCCACTAGGATTCGGACAGTATCAGTTTCAGTTCTACCTCTTTTCATCGTAACGACAAAAAAGTCGTGAACGACAGTTAATCGTGTCGTACTATATGTGAACAACTTCATTTAAATATACAAACCACGACACTGTAAACTGCACGACTATCTATCGTTACGACATTTGTGAACCGATTTTGACGATTCCTTTTTTTTGTTGGAAATGGGAACCTCCCATTCCCAGTCCCATTTAAATTTGAAGAAAATATTCCACTTCTCAGGGTGGCAAACCTGCAAAACAGTTTCCAGTAACAGATTTCAATAAAACTTATAGGCAAATAGATGTAATTCCACGAACTTTTGAGGTCAGTTTTTTAGTACTCTCTGTACTGAGATTATTTATGATAGCAAGTGACGGAACCAACAATTCGCGCACCTCGCCGTGAGCGCGCCCCTTGACGACAACAATAGGTAAAGTGGCAATCGTTCAACACAACATTCGTTCAACGAGAAAATAATCGTACACTACACAGTCACGACGTGATATGGAACAGGCTAGACGCGACAGCCGTCCAACGATAAATAGAACTTTACGTGGATCCCATACAATTTGACTGAGGCTTAAAAAACGGATCGCGTCACTTGGTGCAATGCCATGCTTACCAGATTCAACGAAGGGGCGTCAAATTTGGTGTGCGACATAGTAACAGGTGACGAAACATGGATTTATAGTTACAATCCCAAAACAAAGCAGCAAACCAGCGTATGGATCTTTCGAGATGAGCCGAAACAACCAAAGTGCCAATAAGCGGATGATTGCTTCTTTTTTCAATAAAACCGGACACGTGGCTACTGTTGCTTTGGAGAATCGTTGTATTGTGAATATTGATTGGTATACGACGATTTGATTGCCAGAAGTTAAAAGTTAAGTTAAAAATAGCCGTAAACGCCTTATCATCTCGCAACGCGAAAATGCCAGTTTTCACATGGCCAGACAGACAAATGAATTTTTGAAGGTGAACAACGTTGACCTAATGGGCCATCCCGCGTACAATTCCGACCTGGCACATTGTGACTTTTATTTATTTCCAAAAATTAAGTACCAGTTATGCGGTCATCTATTTTCATCGCCTGAAGAGGCTGTCGAAGGGTATGAAAAATATGTTCCTGAGATTGTCACGGAGGAGTGGCATAAATGTTTTCAAAATTGGCTCATTCGTATGAAAAAGTGCATTAACGCTAACGGAGAATATTTTGAGAAACAATAAATTCGTTTCTGACCATTTATAGTATTTTTTTCTTATTCATTCCGGAAACTTTTAGTGCGCCTCTCGTATATTAGGGGTTAAAGTATGAAATTGCCGTTTTATTGCAATAGGTTCTTTGAATTTTCATAGAATCTTCATGGTTTGAGGTTTTCGAATGAAACTTTTTTCAAATGGTTTCTGTGATTTTTTTTTTTTAAATTTGAAACATTTGAATATCGACTTTCAATTGTTTTTGTTATTCAATTTAGACAAGAAAGATGGATACTGCGAAAATTCGAGTGATTTTTGAATACGAGTTCCGACGCGGAACTAACGCGGCAGAAACAGCCCGCAATATCAATGCTGCGTTTGGAGAGGGGTCTACTAATGAACGCACCGTGCGATTTTGGTTTAAACGCTTTCGTGATGGAAATTTCGACTTAAAGAACGAGCCACGAGGAAGACCGCCCACACAGGTGAATAACGATGAATTAAGAGAGATAGTGGAAGCCGATCCTAGTCAAACTACCCAGGAATTAGCGGCATGGTTTAACGTTATCTTACCCACAATATTGACTCACTTGCGTCAAATCAATAAAATAAAAAAATACGAAAAATGGGTGCCTCATGATTTGACTGATCTGCAGAAAGAAACGCGTGTTGAAACTTGTGTTGCCTTGTTGAACCGGTACAGAAATGAAGGAATATTGGATCGAATTGTAACATGTGATGAAAAGTGGATTCTTTATGATAACCGGAAAAGAAAAATGCAATGGCTGACCCCAGGTCAAATGCCACAACAGTGTCCTAAAGCAAAACTTACCAATAAAAAGGTAATGGTAACTGTTTGGTGGTCTCAGCATGGTGTTATTCACTATAGTTTTCTCCGATCTGGTCAAGCAATAACGGCAGATGTCTATTGTGCCGAACTCCGAACCATGTTGACAAAAATAGCAGTAAAACAGCCCCGACTCATGAATCGATCTTCACCATTATTGCTCCACGACAACGCGAGACCTTACACAGCACGAGAAACCATTTTGACCCTTCAGGAACTGCAGTTAGAAACCATTCGTCATCCTCCGTATTCACCAGACCTTGCTCCAACGGACTACCATATTTTTCGTGATTTGGACAATTATCTACGTGACAAGAAGTTTTCTTCCCAGGAGGCACGTACAAAATGCTTTCACACAGTTTGTGCAGTCTAGATCGTCGGAGTTCTATCGCAAAGGCATTAATAACCTTCCCATTAGATGGCAGCAATGAATAGATAATAATGGCAACTATTTTGATTAAATAAATTTGTTAAAAATTTAAAAAATAAACAATTTAGATTTTCAGTACAAAACGGCAATTTCATACTTTAACCCCTATTATTTATTTTTTTAGTCTCCATCCATAGTCCTTATTAGTTATTGGAAACTGGTACTTTAAATTCATTACTAAAATGACTATCTAATGCAATTTGGTATTTTGTTTTCAAGTGGACTGGCAGTAACGTTAACACGTTCACAGACCCCCAGAATTTGTGTAAAGAAATAGTGTTGGTTTTTTCTTTTACTCTTACATTATATATAATATACTTATACAACTTATTTTTTTGTTTTTGAAAAATTACAATTCCTATAAAAAACTATCCAATTCAGAAGTTTGATAAAAACAGGGATTTAATCTACAAGTCGAACCAAAATATTATTTAACAAGTGAATAGTATGTCGTTGTGGCTCCACAGGTGCGTGGACTTAGGTATGGTTGAAGCCAATTTGCGACTCCAAGTGGAGTCATGGACTGTGAACGTGTTAAATAATGTCCCAACGCATAATACATACATACGTAATACATTACCAGCAATGTTCGCTTATTCAATATATTCTATACCTGCAGTAATAGCACTTTTCTAAAACGGTCCTAAGATTTTTGCAAAGTTCCAGTTGAAAGCATGCAAGCATTCATAGGTTTGTCCAATAACGCTAAAGTTGTCATAATTTAAATGATTATGTTTTGTTATGTATGCAACACTTAGTTTTTTCTAGGTCTATGATTATGCCGTTGTCATGTGCCCATTTTGCGATATTCTCAAAATCATTTTGTATTTTGTTATGAGCATCGATTCGTGGATGTTTCAGATGACAGCGAGCTCTGTACCCCCGGGCGAAAATGGCAAGTGGAGCTGTGAGGTGTGCACCTATGAGAACTTCCCTCTGTCTAGAAAGGTATCTATCTACTATAATACTGACTTTTCAAGTTGCTGCCGAATATGAACTGAGATAAATACTTTATACACCAGAGCATTAAAAAAAATGCAAAATGTATTTGTTTTTGTTTGTTTGTTATTACTCTTTGGTAATTTCGTTGTTTCCGATTTCCATAACACAAACCAAATCAAAAATTTTATTTCCATAGATAAAAGTTTGATTTAATTTGTGTAATGGAAATCGGAAAAAACAAATGCTTTACTTACCTACTGTGAGTTCAGAGCAACGTATGTGAGGTTACTGTTACCTTTTGAACAAACTATCAATAAAGGACAAACATAACCACTAACTTTCGAAAAAAAATCAACATCAAATATTTTAATCACCACTTGTTGATAATTTTGTTTCATTACATAATTTTATCTGTAAACAGAAGGAAATGTTATGACTAGAAATGGAGAATATTTATTGTCAGTAATAATCGCAATTTAGGAAGATTGTGACTTAGTAGAATCCAACTGTTGAAGATAGTCCTTCAGTGTTTTATATAATAATAATAATAATACAATTTTAGTATAAGTTCTTAATTGAGTCAAAGTTAAAAAGTGTCAGTAATTAGGGAGTTGCTTGCAAAAACTTATTTTGTGCGAATGAACCATGTGGCAAAAGTGTGTATTCCTCTAATTAAGACTATTTCAATTTGAATCAATTTAGTCTTTCACTTAAATAGAAAAGTTCATTTTGCGAGCTCCGTAAGCTGACTCGCCAACTTTTTTTTATTATATAAAATCTAAGTGCGCATTTGACCTCCATCTCGCCTGAAAGTGACTTAGAGGTCGATGACGGAGCATGCACACCTAAATAATTCACTCTCGCCTTGAAAAGGCTTAAGTTATAACGTTCGGGGAACAAGTCCGCAGGCAGGGAATTCCACTCCATAGCCGTTCGCCATATAAATGTGGAAGCGTAACGCTTCGTGCGAATCTTTAGAATATCCACAAAATACGGGTTACTTATACAAATTATTTTTTTATTTTTGAAAAATTACAATTCCTGTAATTTTCCTTTGTCCTACCCAATTCAGAAGTTTAATAAAAACAGGGATTCAATCTACAAGTCGAACCAAAATATTATTTAACAAGTGAAATAGTAGCCCAAGCCTACGTCTAGTCTCCTGGTGTTGGAAAGGGGAAGCCGGAATTAATTCGTGTAATTTCATTGCACAGTCTCCGTGATATATCCTGTAAAATACCGATATGCAGGCAACTTTACGGCGGTGTTTAATGCTCTGTAGCTTCGCCTCCTCTAATTCCGAGTCACCTATAAACCTTTTGGCACGGTTGTCAAATAAATTCAATTGACAATCCAGGTCACCAGTTGGTATGTAGTAGAGCCATTCCAAAGCTGCAATATTCCATGCACGACCGGACTTTTACTTGGCACAGCTGAACCAACTGTCCCGGTGTAAAGGAACGCCTCACCTTGGAAAGGATGCCAAGGTCGCCTACTGCATTTTTGGCCATGGATTCAATGTACCTGCCGAAATTGAAATTGAACGACAGGTCCATTCCAAGCTGGAGACAGTCGGCTATCGGTATCGATATATCACGAAAAGTCGGAGTCAGCTCAAAGGGGTTCCGTTTTGTGGAGAATAGTCTTGCCTGCGTTTTGGTAGCGTTAAATTTGACAAGATTGGCATCACCTCAATCGGAGACTGCCTTGAGCGTCAAATCCAAACGGCTAACCATGGACTCTCGACAAGACTGGATTTCCTCTCCACTGACCCTCACATTGGTCAAGTACCTATCTATAACTGTGCTGTCATCAGCATACGCAAAGGTACCTGGAATTACCATATCATTGATATGCAGCAGAAAGAGAGTTGCAGACAGTACGGAACCCTAAGGAACTCCTGAGGAACATCTATCGCCATATGTTCCGAAGAGTAGCCTTCTAAGACTCACTCGGATCGAACGTTCGCTCAAGAAATCCGAGATCCAGACGCGAACTCTCTGCAAAGAGTGAGGCAAGAAGATTCGCCTTCTCTTCCGCAGTATGAGCCAGCGAGCAAAGATGGACGGCAAAAGTTAGATTCGACCGCTTTAGCCAGGGACCAGGATTTGCTGCCTGCTGGATAAGAGGCAAGCTTGGCCACTATGCGGCGCACATGGCCGAACTTGGCCATATGTAACACACTTTTGCACTTCTTGGCGACCTTTTTAAAAGCTTTCTTCAAATTCAGAGTACTCGGAGCTTTGCGTAGTCGAGCGTTTGCCCAAGCTTGGTGACGCGGACTGTTTTTGTGCTTCAGCACAACTACAGTCACCGTTAAACAGTGGACGAGCTTGGGGTCCATTGGGTATATCAGAGTATGGTATGTCATACTCCAACTGTGACTGATCCAAGCCAATTAAAATAAAAATGTAACAATTTATCGCATGTTATTATCGTTATTACTTTATGATGTCCGTGGTTAAGATTCATTTGTGTCATCTGGCTGTGAAAAATAAATTAGTGTGGACGATAGAAATATTTGTAATGGAGTGGTACACTACCTACGACTCCATTACATGATTGTACTTACTATAAATTACGAAAAATTGTTTCGTTATTCTTACTAAAGTCTCGTTATTCCAAAACAGACTTCTGTATTTGAACTGTGTTAAACCAATGAAACGGCTAAACAGCAAAAACTGTCCGCCGTTCGTCGGTCGTTGCCGTCGATGTGGGAATTTTTTTACCCAAACACCGCTTTGATTTATTCGCAACATACTTTGAATAGTTCATTGTGTATCTCATTTTGTGACTTTTGTATCTACGAGCTCTTATACGCATCGTACTTCTTATGAAAATTTATGCCTAATGTAAGTGGATCTAGGATAATTGTCGTTTTGTAATACATTTTTTTTAAGTTGCAAAGATCTTATGTAGTAAATAGATATTTCTCAAACATGCTCTGAAATGTTTGCATTACCAAGTTTGTCGTATATAGAGCGTTGAACTCCGTGCTCAGGCTACAGGTTACAGGTTATTTGCGCCGTGAGACCTAAGGCATTAGGCGGACGACTGGGGGAATGAAATAAAGGTGTACTGGGTTGGTTTTTCTCACTGCCAGTCTCACAGACTCACAAGACTCTTCTTCTTCGCGAGGGTCTTGGCCGCAGTGAAAGGATGCTGTAGTCAGGAGATAAATTAGACTCGACTGCTGTTGAAAGACCGATTTTACTAATAAATTTATGGTTTTTTTTTTTGTCAAATTTAAATGTATGCATACTGATTAAAATTGTCTCTAAAATGTAAGAGCGTGTTTTATACGCGCCGACGACGTAATTTTAGTTTCGTTTGTCAATTTCAGTTAATTTTTGAAATGAAGTAACTAATGAAATTCTATAAGCTTCTTGTTTGCAACGCGATGTTTGCGCGCGTTTGAATTGATTCACTACAGCGCGTCTGCGGCGTGGTGCGTATAAACGCAGATGATGCACGTTTATGGTGCGTATAAAATACACCGTGTGGGGAGGCTCTACGTGTCTTACACCGTCGTTGTAAAGTGCCGTTGAAGCGTTACCTCGCAGCCATTTCAAAGCCATTTGAGTCGTTCGTCTTGCTGAGTGACGAGCTAAACACTGTTTTGGAACTTGCTTTTGGGTCGGTCGTCTTGATGAGTGGGATGTTCAAAGGTTATTTTTTGTTTTTTTCGCGAAGTTGAGTTCTGGTGAGAAGACCGAAAATACAATAGTGGACTGTACTACTGTAGTTTAAAACAAGAAGCAAATTTTGTCATGGTAAACTTGTTTTACTTTTTCTATTATACATTTTTCTTTATTCTTTAGTAATTGATTATTTCCTCGCGGTGTTTGAGAAAAGCACTATACAAATACAGTGTGTTTTTTGTTACTGGGATAGTATGGGAAATCCGGACCCATGGGCCATACAGCAAAACTGTATTAGGTACTAGTAAGCCCTTTTTTGTGAAAATAATTGTGGCATTATTTTTTTGTTCAAGCATGCGTTGTCCAGAAAAATATCTAATGTAATGTACTAATGTAATGTGCTAATCGACTCAGTTTCATGTAAGTATCATTTAATTGTATTGGAAGAACAAAATCGGGACAGCAGTAGTTGGTCAAATTTAATAAAACATTTTTTTCGCAGAAATAAATAAATAAAATTATTCTTACTTGAAACTAAGTCTATCAGCATCAAAAAAAATTATTAATTTTGTATGAAAAACATTTTATTCAATTTCACCAACTTCTGTTGTCCCATTTTTTTCTTTCAATAAAATGAAATAATCATACATAAAACTGAGTCTACCAGCCCTAAAACTTGATCTATTTTATTCATTTTTATGGACAATCGAAAAATTGAGTATACCAAAATTGTTTTTTGCAGAAAAGACTTAATAGAGTTTCCCTGTCTTTCCCGTAACCTTCCCTGTTCCCTGTCTCTACCGTCCCAGTTAAAAAAACAGCTAAAAAAAAACACACTTTATGCCGACGGGGAACGGGGATTGCCTGACTCGTATAATACAAGACCTCGCTGTGCTCGGCCTTGTAACTCATGTTCATCCGGTAATCCCTTATTTCCCGGCCTCTGTAATAATGTAGTATAAATTGACTGAGTGATTTTGAAAAAATAACAATAATGCGTAAAGTAAAACGTAAAGCAATTTTCAACGAGCTCTCCCGTATAAGAGCGGCGTGTTGCGTTGCAGTGCACGATGTGCCGCGCGCCGAAGCCGCTCCTGGGCGAGGACATCTTCAAGCTGCAGGACGGCGCCAGCGCGCTGCCCGCCCCCGACCTCTGCGGTAAGCGCGTCTCACTTCCTCACCACGTCTCACTCGCGTCGTGCACAAAACATATTCTTAATTCTTTGTAATAAGTTTTCAGTTAAAACCTGCATTGGAAAACATGGAGATGCACGCAAATAATGGACTAATTTTCTGCCAGCAAAATGTACTCGTATATCATATATGTACTGATCACTGGACTATGGGTGATTATTTGAAATGGGTTAGCTGCTGCAAGAGACACGCAGCAAGCAAAAAAAAACTTTTCTCGTTCAATACCCAATACCTGCTACAAAGTTAGAGCATAAAGTTTAGTTACTACTTACATTATAAAATCGAGTCACGAACAGCTTGTGTCAAATTCCGAATTCTTCGGCTTTCTCGATTCCCATCAAAACAACTTACACATGGTTGCTGATATGGTAAAGCCATCATCAACCAGTTATATAATAATGCAAACCTCCGTATTATACGCTATAGTTACAAATTAAATGTTATCTTATTTTTAATGTACTAAACAACATTCCGATTTGTACTAAATACGTAATATAGTTACTTTTTCGGATCTAAACCGCTAAAACTAAATAATACGTTTTGAATTTGTTTATTAAATTAAATTTATTGCGTTAAAGTAAGTTAGAAATACTTAAAACTATTAATAATAATAATTAAGACGACCTCGGTGGCCAAACAGTGCATACTGCGAGCGCTGGATGAAGAGGTCCCGGGTTCGATTCCCGGTAGGACCAAGTTATTTGATTATCACGGCGACGATATAACGATCAGAAAAGTTAGCAATTAAAAGCCAATGCCAGTGAATAAGTTGCGCGGACTGCGTCGCAGGCGAGGAGGCGGACGCCGAGGTCGACTGCGTGGCGGAGCGCCTGAAGCCGCTGCGCATCTCCTCGCCGCCCGCGCAGGCCAGCGCCTCCGCGCTCAATAAGTGGTCTTGTTCCGTAAGTACGTCCGGTGCACGTAAGGACTGAGCTCCTATTGGGCCTCGATACTTTGTTTCATGCAATCGACTTTGACCATGCGGTATGGATGTATTGTATGCGATTTTCAGCTAAATTGTGTGCGTGAGACGTAGAGCTCCTCACCTATTTCTATCGCCGAGTAGTAGTGAGCATTACTGTGTTTCGGTTTTGAAGGGTGCTGGTGAAATTACAGACATGTGGGACTTATCAAGTTATGTCTCAGGGTGAGAGGCGCGGTGGTAGTGTCCGTCGGATATTTGCAATTTAAAGTTTTGAGTGGCGCTGCAACTGTTACGGACAGACGTGTCGCTTAACACCCAGCGCACGACGCTATCATAAAAAAAATTCATAATGTTACATAACATGTAGAAAGGTAATTTTTATAGGCCATTTGGCTAGAAAGAACTATTTAAAAACAATATGAAATATGAATATGACGTTATTCAAACGCTCAACCTGATTGGTTAAATTGTAAGCGGTATTAGACCAATCACGAACACTTTTACTCTATCTCTTTGGTTTTTGTTTTGTAGCGTCGGTTTGGTTTTTGTTAGAGTTTGTTGTCTAGATTTTTATTATCATTAAATGTCGCTTGTGTTTCTATGTCCACTATACGTATATCCTCGGCGGAGACAATCAAAGGTAATCCCCGCGCCCGCTTACCGCACCGCCCGCCCATTATTCCGCGAAGCGCCTCGGTCGCCGCGAGCTCGGCCCCCCGAAGTCCGAGGGCCTGCTCTCGGCGGTCGAGTCGTGACGCGGCCCCGCCCTTGCGCTGCGCAGACGTGCACGTACGAGAACTGGCCGAAGACGCTGAAGTGCGCGATGTGCGGCTCGGGCAACCCGGCGGCCGCCGCGGGCGCCGCCGTCGCGCCGCGCTGCGCGTCGCCGGCGCCGCCGTCGCCCGGCGAGTCGCGGACGTCGCGCGCGCCCGTGGGTCAGTGCCAGGCCAGCCGCGGCAGCCGCGGGCGGGCGCGTCTTAACCGGTGTCGTGCGCAGGCATCAACGACATCTGCGGCGGCCCGCAGGCGCCGCACGAGGCGGACGGGCGCCGCTGCAAGCGCCGCAACAACGCCGACTGGATCTGGCTGCAGGCCTGCCTGGGTGAGCGGCGGGCCGCGGGCCGGCGGGGCCTCGTCCCCCCGCCCGCCTCCGCAACGCGTCCCCTTGCAGGCGTGGTGGAGGGCGACGCGCGCCGCGTGGAGGCCTACCTGGCGACGGGCGGCGACCCCGCGCGGGCGCTGACGCCGCACGAGGTGGCGCTGCTGAACCGCGCGTCGGCCTTCGACGCGGGCCACACGCTGGTGCACCTGGCCATCCGGTAAGGCGCGGCCCGCGGGGGTGGCGGGGCCGGCTGGGGGCGGCGGGGCCCACCGCCGAGCTCTGTGCGCAGGTTCCAGCGGCAGGACATCCTGTCGGCGCTGCTGGCGCGCATCTCGGGCGGCGGGCCGGGGCTCAAGCGCTCGCCGTCGTTCGTGGCGCCCGACCTGGCGCAGGCCATCCGGCGGCACGTGGCGCAGCAGGTGCGCCGCAAGAAGGGCAGCTTCCCCGCCAAGTACCTCGCCGAGTTCTGCACCTTCTCGCTGCCGGCAGGTGGGTGCTTCGGGCCGGGCCGCGCCCCCGCGCCGCCCGCTGACCGCCGTCCGTCCGCAGAGACCGAGGAGCTGCCGGCCGCCATCCAGGAGCAGCTGTTCTCCGAGCTGCTGGACCGCGAGGCGCAGCGCGCGCTGGAGGCCGACCCGCCGCGCATCAACTGGAGCGCCGAGCTGGCGGGGCTGGGCTCGCGCCTGCACGCGCTGTGGAACCGCAGCGCCGGCGACTGCCTGCCCGACGCGCTGTGCCAGGCGGCCTACGGCGTGTTCGACCGCGGCAACACGCTGCGCGCCGCGCTGGCCGACACGCTGGCGGCGGCGCAGCGCGGCCTGTTCGAGCGCTGGCAGGCCTGGGAGCGCCTGCAGGCGCAGCGGCTGGCCTACGCGCCCGACGACGCGCAGCTGCGCAGCGAGTGGGCGCGCCTGGCCGCGGCCGCCACGCGCCCCGGCACGCCGCTGCACCAGCTGCACGTGTTCGCGCTGGCGCACGTGCTGCGCCGGCCCGTCGTGGTGTACGGCGTGGACGTCGTCAACTCCTTCCGCGGCGAGGCGCTGGGCTACGCGCGCTTCCAGGGCGTGTACCTGCCGCTGCTGTGGGAGCCCGAGTTCTGCTCCAAGTCGCCGCTGTGCCTGGGCTACACGCGCGGCCACTTCTCGGCGCTGGTGCCCGTCGAGCCCTTCGCGCCGCGCCACGCCTACATCTGCCGGTGGGTGCCGCCCGCACCGCGAGGGCCGCGCCCGACCGCCCCTGACCGCCCCTGACCGCTTTCCGTCCGCAGCGAGCGCCCGGCCGACGCGGAGGACAGCGCCTTCCTGCCGCTCACCGACTGCGACGGCGAGCTGCTGCCCGTGCACTTCCTCACCTGCGACGAGGCGAGTCGGGCGGGCGCGGCGGCGGCGGCGGCGGCGGCGGCCGTTCTGACGCCGGTGCGCCCGCAGATGGCGGACGCGGAGGGCGTGCTGCGGCGCTGGCTGTCGGCGTGCGTGACGGCCGGCGGCGTGCTGGCGGCGCGCCAGACGCTGCACGCGCGGCCGCTGCTGGTGGCGCAGATGCTGGAGGAGTGGCTCAACCACTACCGCCGCCTCGCGTGAGTACCGACCCGCCGGCCCCGCCGCCGCCGCCCGCCGCCGCGCTCACCGGCCGCCGCTTGCAGACAGCAGACGCGCGGCCCCTTCCCGCCGCGGCTGCAGCCCGCCGGCGCCGCGGACTTCTCCAGCGACGCCGACACCGACGAGGAGTAGCCGCCCTGCCGCCGTCGCCGCCCTCGCCGCCCTCGCCGCCCTCGAACGTGGCCGATTTTAACTTCGAAAGCGATGTGCAATTCTGCCAGTTGTCCGCCGGCGCCCTTCCCCTCCTCCCGATCTGTACCGTTCCGCGTCGTGTCGCGTCGCGCCGTACCGAAAAACGCATAACGTTGAACGTTCAATATAAAGTTCTGTTTACCGAGATAAGTACACAAGTTCGATTAGAAACTTCTAGTAGGGCAGTTTTTCCTTTTATGGGTTTAGTTAATTTAAGTAGACTTAATTCGACTAGGAAAATTGATAAAACGAGAACGTCATCGAAAGTAATACGCCCCGCGCTCGCGACGAGGTCGGAGCCGAACCGGTTCCGCGATTTTGTGAAACCTCGAGGCCCGCGTTCGGTGCCATTGCACGAATCGTACTCTTCGTCGAAGCCGGCCGCGGCCACGCACAACGTTCGTAACACGAAATCACTAGTTAATTAACGTCGCTCGCTCGACAACTCACGTTAGACTTCGTTCCATTCATTTTAGTAGCACTTGCGGGGTAAGCCTCTTTTGCGTCGCAGGCGTGGAGACCCAAGAAGGTCGCGCAGCAATTCCTCGCGAGCGGCAACCGACTTCTAAATCTCAATTTTAATATTAACGCTGTAAATAGGTTTGTTAAAGCGCCGCAGTTTGTCCCGCGGACGGGCCTCCGCGACGGGCGCGGGCCGCCCGTCGACCGATTCCGTCGCCGCTAGTCGTTCGCCCGCGCCCGCCGCGACCGCCTCGCCGTCGCCCTCGCCCTCCGCCGGAACGTCGACGCACCGTTTTCATCGTGGAGATCGTCGATCGCATTGTGCAATTTGTGAAGCTGTCGACTTTTGACTTCAAATTTCGATCGACCTTCTACCGCGTGAAATGGAACCCGACGGCGCTCTCCGCGTCGGGCGCGTTCGCCGTTCGCCGCGTCGCCGTCGATTGTTCCGAAGCAAAAAACGAAAGTGAAATAAAAGAGTATAAATAAATAAAAAAAGAGTCTACGAATACGTTTTTAAAAATACGACACTGTACAGAGAGTATAAGGTTCTAATATTTATTTTATAGTTGGATGTATATATAAAGGGTTTGCAATATTTCTCTAGGTGTATAGATACGCTACTTAGCGCTAGACGTCCTCGCCGGTCGGACGGGCTCGAGCGCCAGAGCCGGCGCTGGCGCCCAGACGGCCCCGTCGGTGGCGCGCCTTATCGCGTCGACACTTCTGTCAGTAGGCGCTGTTGGTTCTTAGCGACGCTTTCCCGGATGCTCCAGGCTCGTAACGCTCGTTTACGTTATCGACGTTTCATTTAATACCTACCCGTAATCCTTAAAACTTCTTATCGTCCACTTGCCGATAATTTGTAACATCTCGTCTCGTCTCGTACAAACCGGTAAACCCTGGGGCGTTCGTGAGTGTCGAGGTAGATTTCGAACTAGAATTGTTAAATTCTAAAAGATTGATAACTTTTGTTCCGACCTGTAAATAACTAGCGACGCAGCCTTCCATCGAGACGCCTACACGCTTTTTGTTAACGATCCACGTTACTTATGTACCTATTACCTACTAATTTTTAATCAATAAAGCACTTATTTTATGAAGCTGTTCGATATTCCTTGTTTCTTTTTGTTTTACCCTCTGAGCTTCACTTTTCGATCAAAGCAGACGAAAAGGAGAACATAAATCCCCCCGTCGCAAAAAATAGTATCAGTCGTAGAACAATAAATACAGTACAAGTGCTTAGTTTGCGGAGCATGTGTGCCAACAGTTGAGGTACCGCAAACTTTGAGCTTATGGTGCGTACCGTTGCAATATGGTGCGTACCGTATTCCAGCGTGACAATGGTCGAGTTTTTAAAATTTGACTAGCCAGATAAAAAGTCGCTATTTAGTCAGTTCTAGTCGCAAAAAAGTACATTTAGTCGGTCCGCCGTTCAAAAGTTATTTACTGACCACGCTGAAATAAGCTTATTCCAATGGTGCCATTTCTCAATCTCGAGAACCACTACACCTACCTTAGATCTGATTACCTAAAAACCCACCCTGTCTCACCTCACGCTGCAATCTGTACACGTCCGAGAGCGCCCCTGCCCACTTAACCATGTCTTGGTGACTATACTAGAAACGGAATATGGTCGATCACCTCCGTCCGGGTACTTATCCAAGAGGATATTGTGTGAGATCATGTCGAACGCCCTCAACAAATCTAAGAATCAGGCAAAGCCGTTTGCGATTTGCGCTTTGGTATATACTGGACAGTATGTTTAAGGCATAGAATGTCACTTTTTGTTAATAGTTTGTGCTTAAACCTCATTTATGGCTTAAACCCAAACTGTGCATCTTGTGTTTTTACGTGCCTTGATAACACACCGTCCAGCAATCCATCCAGCACTTTAGCCACTGTTGTTGCCAGCGATATTGGTCTGTAATTGGATTTATCTGAGACATCCCCTCCGTCCATTTAACTTAACTGTCCATGGCACCTGCGATACAGGGTTTCCCTAGTGAGGGGCTATGATTATGTTTATTATTATTATTTTTTATTATGGGCACTACTACCGTCTTCATAAGGCTATCAGGTAAATGGCAATGAGTAAGACACATGTTAAATATCATCTTTAGGACTCATTACGACTAGAACCGACTAAATTATGACTTTTTTAGTGTAATCAGATCTAAGCTAGGTGTTGTAGTTCTCGAGATTGAGAAATGGTGCCGCTGCGCTGGAATAAGCTTATTTCAACGTGGACAGTACTACTCAGTCAGCTATTAACCGCAAGATGGCAGGACATTGATTATTTCAAGCATAGACATATCTATGTTTGTGGTTTCAAGGTATAAAATCAAAACGCAACTTTCTATAAGTATTGAATTTGATGGTATTGGACTTTCAACGATATGCCAACATGGTAAAGTTTAAATTATATTAACAGTCCAGATTTTTTTTTCTTTTTAAATTTGAAGCTACGACCAATCATCAAGATTTCATAGTTTTGAAATTATGTATATGAGTTTTGGCGACAGATTCTGATAATAATGGACAACAAAATATAAGCGAGATTTATTCTTTGCAAGCTTAAAATATACCTACCCAGTTGTACAACAAAAATAGCTATTCTGCTAAGACGCGGCTATGGGCCTACAGCAAACGTCTCACAGTGTGGAAGAAGGGTGGAAGCGATCGCCGTGCAGCCTGTCAATACGCAAATGTCAATTAATATAGGTACTACGGTTTTCAGTCAACTGTCCCACAGTGTGGTGGAAGCAGTGTGATTTGTCACTCTAGTTGTGCTCTAGTTGCCTAATCCAACTTCCATTGCTTTTTTCTTCCGTGGTTTCAGTCGCCTGCCAGCGTATATATCACGTAAAAATTAGGCCAAGCTGCTGGTTAGGCTGCTGCCACACGGATTACATGCGTGAAGTCGATGCAATATACACAAAAGTTCAGGAACTCAGTGTATACATAATAAATGTTGATGTCGAAATGGAAGCTCAGATGTTACATGTAGTCAGTCACTGTAGGTACTTATAACGTTTATAAATCCAGACGCTGAATTTGCTTTTTATTAAGGAAAAAAAGCATACCTACCGCTATCGATATGCGTATCGATATTTAATTTATCAGCAAGCTTGCGTCCACGATCCCTGACTATACTCTGCGGTAGACACAAAAAACATTTCTTCTTAAAAATGTTAATCGTCAATGCTTGCAGTTCAAGTCTCTACTGCATGCAGAGTTGATAACGACTGCACGCAATGACTACAGATATGCAGCCCATCTGTTAGCAACTTTAGCCTAAAACTGTAAATTTAAATACACGCCCGACAAAGTAGTTGACCTTGCGATCCAAGGGTAAAATTTAGTTGATTTAAAGTTAAAGTTAATTATATTGCAATCATTATTTAAGTGCTATTATTCAGATTGTTTTAATACTTATTTAGTTGGAAAATAACTATTCGCATTGTGCTCGACTTAAAGCCCATATTTAATTAATTTCACCGGATTTAGGCACACATAAGGCCACAACAATCTACAATGAGATTTCATATACATATATGACACCTAATGAATTCTTTTAAAATGTTACGCTATGAAAAATAAAGTACAATGTTTCCTTTAAACTATATAATAAATTCAACCGAATATTTTCTCACCTTCATTGACAATAACAACGAACCCGAAATTTTTAGAGCAACGAAAGTACTATCTAACGTTGTAAATGTAGTACTCTATTACGTATGTATGTACGTTGATTCCATTTTTCCGACAAAGGTATTATGTAGGTATGTAATTTCACAATGCTTCTGCTAACTGTGACAGTGAACTTACTAGAAACCAGCTAGAAAGGATAAGTTTTGTTAATAAATATAGTGTAGACGGCGGCGGCGCCGCAGGCACCTGACACCGCCGAAGCAAGATTTATTTATTGCATTCATAACTTGTGAAACATGACCCTCAAGTTTTGTTACAGTTGAGTGATTTGTCACCTCTAGTTTCCTGGAGTTTCGACATAGAATCTCCGAGTAAAACGCGACCGAATCAGTTGCAATATGAACGCATCGCAGAAAGGTCGGTAGATTTGAAATATTACTGAACGCAATCTAGCGAGGAGTTGATTTGGTTGACGATTTTTGAACGCACGCATTTTCTGACAGCTGCTGTGATAGTGGGAGCGCTACATTTTATTATTTACCGATAATTTATTAAATTGTAACTAGTAGTGTAGGTTTAAAGTTGTTTAAGTAAAAGACCATTAGTTTATTTACGTATTCGCGTGTGTTCTGTGATGTTAGAAGGTGAATTTTCTACGTAAATTGCTTTGTTTGTCGACCGTGCCTGTGTTCGAGCCACTACTACAAAATGGGTGAGTACACCGGCTGCTCACTGTTTGTATTTTGTAAAATACTTGTTATAGAATTATGACTTTTTGTCGAAACTCGAGAAACATACAATTTGATTGAATTTAATTTCTTATCAGAAATATTAGGTTGCAGAAACTGTTGTTTGTTGGGGAAATTATCGATTTTTCTCATACGTCCTTTTCCCCAATTGTAAGATTAAATTACGTGTTCCTCTTCTTCGCAATCGTAATAAAATTATATTAATTTTAGTTCACAATAT